CACACACACACACACACACACACACACACACACACACACACACACACGACCGTTACTGACCAATTAAAAGGTCAAATTATAGGCTCCTGCTAGGTTATGACTTTCTATTACAGGACCGTCTCCACGGTTTCGCTGCCATTGCTTGGATGCCAGCCATCCCTACTGCTCTGCAGGGAATGTTCTTTCTCCAGCTGATTCTCGGCCATCTGTGAATAAAAAAAACTAAGGGAAAAGTGGGGCATACAGTCAAGGGGAGATAAGTCTCCAGGACTTCCGTCCTGTTGGAAAAACATGGAAAGAAGGGGGGGGGGGGGGGGCTCAGTGCTGAGTAAGCTCTGGTCCCATGGAAGTCATGGGGCATATTATCCTTGACTTCAATGAGAGCAGAGTTAGGCCAGCACTGAGGGCTTCAGAAAACCCTACCCTCCATCTTCTGAAAGAATTTGCCAAAGGTAACACTGTTGATGGAGCATCTTTAGCTTTGTCTGTAGTTTGGCACGTGAGATCTTCTGATCCTGGAGGACATCTTTTGATGTATGGGCTGAGGTATTTTGCCAGGAGTTGGTGTTCCCCCCATCAAATAGCTTTGAAAGAAGCCACAGTCCTGTTCATGGCTCGGTATGTGTTCTCTTCCTCTGCATGTGCTGGTTTACGGTATGTATGCAGAGGTTCTGCAGGGGGATCCTTCCAAAGCCTCTGACAAAACAGCGTTCAAGGCCCTGTCGTCTGCTAAATTTGAGGGTAGAAGGATTTTAAAATATTCAGCTTTCACCTCTTGTTTACCCTAATGCTGGAACTTCTTCCGCCAAACTAGCAGCACCAGGCCTGGAAACTAGGGAAGGCGGTTTGGCATTTGAGTAAACGATAAATCCACTGTACATTTCAGCAGGGACTCACGAGACTGAGCTTTTTAATAGACTCCTCGTTTTCATGGCTGGGACACCTTTACACTCCCAGAGGATGGCACTGAAACACCAACAGCTGCCAAGTTGAATGCACCCGGAAACCTGGTTATTTGCTATTACTCCCAGCAGCATTTGTGCAAGAAAAGCATCAGAATCTGAAAGAGGCACAATCGGTAGCACTGATGAGGAACAAAAGCGAGGAATGGACAGGAATATGGGGGTATTGGCGGATGACAGCAGATAGAAGATCCCTGAGGGTGGCAAGATTGGACAAGGTGAGTGGGCGGAAGAGGAGGAAGGGAGAAACAGAGGTTATTTGGGGAGGAGGGAGAGCGAGAGAGAGAGGGAGATAGTGTGTGACACTAGCAAGATGTAGCGGGCCTAGAGAAGAGATGGGCAAAGCCACTGATCTATGGTGGGGAACCCCACCCAGTCAAGGAGCCTATCGGTTTGCAATTTTTAAAAGCTTTTACTGCATGCCATGAAATCTATGGCAATGCATTTACTCTTTCCCATCCTTCCGTATTCCATGTAAAGGTATGAAAATCACCTTCTCTCCCCTTATGGTGTATTATATCTTTTGCAATACACAGCTATGTGAAATCCTCTACAGCTCATTACAACTCGGACCCTTTGATGGACCTGAAAGCAATACTGCTCTGGAAGGCTTTTCATTTGCAGCTGGGACCTCGTCCTGTAGGCTATCAAAGGCCAAGTGAGCGAATGCATCATATATCCATTCCGATGTGGTTTTAAACTAATTACACAGAGACAGCATCTGCTGTCATGGCCAAGCCAAGAGAGCTGACACTTATAAATGTGATCTATAGGCAGTCGCTTCCTTTTGAAATAATCTGGAGAAAAATTCAGACACGCAAACCGTGCAGCGTTCTTTGCGGTGTCATCAAACTTCAAGGTACAGTACACACTGCAAACAGTAGGAGAGATTCACGGCCAGACAAAATCAGCAGCAATGGGTAATAATAATACATCATAATAACAATAACAATAATAAGAATAATATATACACGTATTCATACCAACCGGTTCCCGTGTCAGGATCCCATTGCGCGTCTCCTCCTGAGTGTTAAACATGACTGAACAGGAGAAAGCCATGCATGCCAGATGAGAAAATATGAGTGAGCCACCAGGATATAGAAGGAGATGAACACACGTGCTAACTGCCCAGCACCTGTTCAGGGGCCCACACAGCTACTGACATGCATTACCCAATTCCACCAAGTCTCTTTTTTTTTTAGCTGTGTTTGACTTGGGCATCCAGTATCCCTTTGAAATGGGCAGAGATGCGGTTCTTTAGATGCTGGGCTAGGGTCCAATCCCAAAGCCCTTCAACTGGAGCCAATGGGGTAAGTTATGTGCAAGAGAATTGCTCGTGGGAGTGTGGCTTTGCAGAATCAATCCCTTCCTTAGTTATGCATTACAATAACAATTCATGATGGATGCCATCTGGCAATACATGATTATAGGCTTGGATAGGTATAAAGCATAATTAGCTCCAATGGGAGTCACACACACATGCAAGAGCTGGTGTGCGCACCCCAGAAGAAAAGATCTGTAATCCTTTTACTTTTTTAACTATATCCATCACTGAGAAGTGGTAGGAATTAACATGGTCATCTGTCTGTATTTCACTGATATTAACCAGTGGGTAAGAGATAATGGGATGGAAACATCACACCAGATGATATTTCTGTTTATGATGTTAATGTCCTTTTAGATCTGTGGGATTCTACAAACTATCCCAAAAGAAAGGCCAACATTTTTAAAAGTGGGCCCTTCAATTCCTGTTCAGCCACCTAAATAAGTGGCCTGAGATTTCAGCCGTACTGAGAACCCACAGCTTCCATTCACAGCCCCTGTGAAAGCAATGGAAAGACTCTAACATGTTTAACCCTGGGGTATTCCATTGACAAATATCTTCTAGGTGCTGGGGGCTCTTTTCAAAAGAAAATGTAGCATAGGTACAGAGCAAGAAAACGGCAACAGAGAGAGACGAAACAAAGGGCTCCAAATAGCTTTGAAGTTCCTAGCAAAAAGAAACAAACCCCCAAACCGAAATTTTAGACTGGCTATTCAGCCCTTAAAGTGAGTGGCTAATGCTCAATGGACTAAAAAAAAATCAGTAAAACAGATACAGATATTAATTAGTGAAGTATTTTGAAGTTAAGTCATGAGAAATTGCCCCCTCCCCCCCGAGATGTTTAAGAGGCTGAAGTGCTGGTTTTAAGCCCCTGTGTGATACGTTCAGAATACAACCCCGCTGTTTGGGGCGTGCGCTGCAGGAAAGCTATGGAAGCCGTTGCTTTCTCATGGACAGAATCAGAGTATTCAGCGCGTAGTGACAAAGAATGTGGCTTGAGCAAATAAGGCAGTGGCTTTGTTTACGGGTTGCTTTTTAAGGTGGAAGTTTGATGTGTACTGCAGCAAAACTCTGCAGAGGAAGTTCCAGGAGGCCCACACAGCCTGAGCAGGCTGACTCTGTGTGTGAGGAAGGAAGGAAGATGCTGGGTACATACAGTGGGTCAGTTCCTCCCCTAGTGCAAAACGGTGTAGCTCTAATTCAGGGGTTCTCAAACTGGGGGTCGTGACCCCTCAGGGGGTCACGAGGTTATTACATGGGCGGGTCGCGAGCGGTCAGCCTCCACTCCAAACCCCGCATCACCTCCAACATTTATAATAGCATTAAATATTTTTAATTTATAAGGGGGGGGGGTCACACTCAGAGGCTTGCTGTGTGAAAGGGGTCACCAGGACAAAAGTTTGAGCACCACTGCTCTAATTACTCGGGTGGTGCTGAGGATCTGGCCCCAGGTGTATTCTTTTCTTCCCAAATCCCATTGATTTCCACAGAGCTCATTTCTTGCTTGTTCACAAGTCCAAACAGACCAGAGATTCATTCAGGAGCTTTCTGTTCTTTGAAGGGCCCTGTTCAGGCTAATCATTCCACAATGAGACCTACAAACATAGTTTATGGACCCTCGGATACTGTTCTGTATTTCCATGAAATGCGGTCATTCTCCAGTAGATTTCATCTTTCCAAGAAGTGCAGCTACATCCCAACACCCCTGGGGCACATATTGTAGATCAGTGGTTCTCAACCACGGGGCCCCCGGGGGCTGCAAGGAAGTTTCAAGTGCTCTGCCAAAATAAGCCAGCGAGCAGGGCCAGCGCTGGACTTGCTGGGGCCCAGGGCAGAAAGCCGAAGCCCGAGCCCTTCCCCACCCCAGGCGGGGCTGAAGCTGTGGCCTGAGCAACAAAGCTTCGAGGGGCCCCCTGTGCTGTGGTTGCCCTGCTTGCTACCCCCAAATGCCGGCCCTGGCTTTTAAGCTCCTGGATATGCAGAAAAATAGTTGCGGCAGAGGCAGGCTGAGGAATTTTTATAGCATGTTGGGGGCCTCAGGAAGAAAAAGGTCGAGAACCCCTGTTGTAGATGTTTGTTCATCAACTATCCATGCTTTCCTGCTTTCCTCACTTCCCTGGTTTCTCTGTTGTAGAATGTAGGTATCATGAATTGTTTAACTGACAGAGGTTCTTCTTCCCTTTATAACTTTAACAGTGTCTCTAGGCCAAGTTCTAGTTCACACAGGCTTAGAGAGTATGTGCGTGGTTTCAAATCCTTCTTCTTCAGTGGCTTTACTCCATTTCTCCAAGACTAATGGAGGTGGTGTGGACGTGGGATACTTCTGCTAGGAGAGTGTATTGAAGACAGACTCATGATGTCCTGGACTCAGCAACAATATCGGGACATGAAACTGAAGGATCTAACTCCAGTGGGTTGGCTTATTTCTCTATTATATGCCTTATGTGCATTAGAGTTGGTTGAAATACAGAAAATAATTCACAGACATTTTTGATGGAAAAACTTCCCATTTTTTCACTGGAAAACTTCCTTGTAAAAAAAAAAAAAAAAAATTCTGGCCAAGTCTAGTATTCTTGTAGACCCGATCACTGTGGTATGGAAGTGTTGATCTAGGCTATAGTTAGTAGGTTTTGGTAGCACAGTGATGACTGGTTGTGATTCAGAACAGTGGCCAGTTCCAGCTGCTAGATTCCGCTACCGCACTAAAGGAGCTACCAGTTCCTGCCAGAGGCTCTGATCCAGCAAGGTACTTCAGCGAATGTCTAGTGTTAAGCACATGAGTAATCTCATTGGCTGTTCACATACTGGGCATGTGCTTACAGCCTTGCTGAATTGGGGCCTGCACCCCATTACCTTCCCCGAAGAGGGTCATATAAATGTGCCTCCAATATATTTTAGTCAGCGTTCCACCTTAATTTTTTTTTAAAAGGTGTCCTAGGATGGTTATTAGTCCAACATGCAGAGTGCAAACAGTTTGGCCATAACCAAAGCGGATGTGGCTGACGTGCTCAGATTCAGACTGTAGGGCCAAGGTTAGCCACTTACCAAGGAACCCCGCTTGTACTGACTATACCATGTGGAAGGCTGCTCTTTGGGCCAACGAGCCATTTTGCTCTGTAAAATATGAGACGGGTTAAAGACCAACAGAAAGTGGTAGGGTGCCTCTTACCAGTTTACCGCGCTTGAATTCACTGAACCAGGAGCCCGGGGTTTCCTTTGGCCAAGAAGTAATTCTAGCCTAAATTGTGGGCGGGAAAGTGGAAGAGAGAAAGAGAGAAACAAAGAAAGAAAAGGTTACATTCAATTGTACATCCTGGGTCTGTCTGTCTCACTGAAACTGTCCAACTTTGTTTAACACATAGTTTCTTAAACTTTATACACTGGTAATAAAAACAGTCCGCTGAGTCCTAGGGTCCTGACAGCTTCGAAATTAGAACGTTCACCGCTTGACATTGGGGTTAGGACATTCCACCACTGCACACAGGTATAAACTGCCTTGGTACCACCTTTCATTGCTAAGAGGTTAATGATCTGTAACCTCTAGATATCTGCTGATGGAAAATTGGCATCACATTTTGCAGACGGATGGCAAAAAAAAAAAGAGAGAAAAAAGTATTAGTGGTAAATGATCCATTTATCTACATGGGGATTGGTGGGGAGCAAGGATGGAAAAGCAGCACTGAGAATGGAGAAGGCTGATGTCAGTCCAATGTCAAATCCAGATGTGCTGGAGCAAGGAGAGGTAGGCTAGGAGAATTAATAAAACACCAGCATCTGCTTTGTGTGTTTGAGCACCAGTAACATACTGTAAATGGAATGTGTAGTCCATGGCAGGTAATGAACCAGAATACATGGTGGAGTCCCAATTGAACAGTCTGTAATGAACCAGATTGTGACCTTGATAAGGAGATGAGTTGCCAAACCATCCTTCCGGGAGGACCTTTTACAGCTGTGAATTTGAATATTCTCTTTTCAGTCAGAACAAGGGATGTGTTTAATGGGGGAGGAGGCAGGGATAGAGTTTAGTTAATATTCCCTCATTATTCCACTAACTTCCTCACTGTTCCTTTCACTCTCTCCAAGAACAATGGCTGAACTAGATGTAGGTGCCTTGGGATTATTCTTTCCTTCACAGGAGGAGAACCATAACATGAAACGGTGCATTTTTGCCATGCTGTGGATGCACCGAGATGGGATACATTTTTCAGGCCATGCAGCGGCCCATAACAAAATATCCACAAATACCTATGCAAGTATTTAATGTTAATGAGGTAGATAGTTTCATTATTGCATATGGAATATAATAGGCTGGATTCTCCTCTCACTTATGCCAGTGTATGTGATAGAAGAATCAATTCCACTGGGAATACTGCAATAACTTGCAAAGTCAACACTGTAAGGATTTTAATACTCAGATTTTGATAGTTTAATAATCAATGACTGGAGGAGAACAACGGTGGTCTAACACCAAAGAGAAGAAATGTATCTTCTGTTTAAACAATCCCCAAAAGAACCCCTGGGAAATTCTGCACTGCGCATCGCTTGTTCCATACTGATGTACATTTCTAGGGGTTGAAATTATCTCAGCAAGTGAACATCTTATATCAGGGTGCACAGGAGCAATGAATCGCTCTTGTCTATACCCTAACCCAGCGTGTGAAGACCTTCTTGATGGTACAGAGAGGATCCTTGACAGCCACCTTGGAAGAGATCACATTTACCTAGTGGAGAAACTAAATTTAAGAGTAGGTCTTTACACCTGGTGATCAGCCCCATAATATAAAGGGGATGGATATGGGGCAGTGAGGAGTACCTTACTGCAACTGAAAGACACTTAGAGAACTTGTCTTGGTCAACTGGATGTGACTGGCTGAGTTATTACTGGGGGGATCCTTGGAAGCATGAGGATGGGAGAGCATATCATTGCCCATTACTAAACCGATTCACACCCGGTCTGCGTACCAACTGAATGCCATGAACTCTCCTGATCCTAGGTGTGGTACTTTGGAACACCCAAGTACCCAACATAAATAACAGGAGAAATTACAGCAGAACAACATTTCTCCACTATGTCAGAAGTCTTGGTCAAAGTAGAAGAGAAACCAGCAGTGCTGAGGGACAAAACCATCAGAGTAGCTGTCACTGCTGAATTGGGGATAAAAAGAATAGATTAAATAAACCTCATGGTGAACTACAGTAGAGACAATGATGGAGAAGTTTGCCTTTGTAAAGCAATGCAAAAAAAGTAAGGTATCAGCATTCATCATGCTTCAGAGACCATCAAAACCTTGCCCTAAAACAGTGTAAAAATTGCTTACTCATTCAGTGAAATGCACTCAGTAAACATATTCCAAAACCAATCTAGAATCTGACATTAACAAACACATTGGATCTTTAATTTTTACTTTCCATTGTTGAGTTTATCTGATCCAGGTGACTGGCTATGAATATGCACAATAGGAAACACTCCATTACCAGCTTCAGAGGAAAAATATACAGTTTGTGGGAACTTACTCCTTCAGATTTCTTATCAGGGAAGATACAGGTCTCTCCACCAGCTGTGAAGTTACAGTAAACTTTGAAAGAGTCCCTTGAACACCCTTGATTAGGATCAACCCAGTATTCACCTGGAAGTTGGAGGAAAAGGGATTAGCCTATATGAAGTTAAGAATGTATCAGAACTTCCACAGGATCAAACCCAACCATTTCCATCCCTGGGATAAGATTACATTACATGTATGTGGACAGCCAACACATGTTTCTCCTTATATAGTAATCCAGACCTGGATATAACAAGGCTCCACAATCAACATGCAAAGTGCAGTATGTGGAACAGTGCATACATTCAGAACTGGATCACTACTACGGTGATCCTACTGCAGCCTTATCCGCACCGGGGAAATGTCCAAATAAATGCTTCATTAATTCCACCACCTATTGGTGGCTGTTGGAACAGGTGGTAGCCATAGTGTAGACAAGGCTCCAGTGGCCAGACCCACAATCTGGCCCTCAGTTTATATCTACACAGTACTTCATGCTTGACATGTTGGATTTATAGTAGAGCTGGTTGGATATTTTCTGTCAAAGCTGTTTCAGTGGAAAAACTGGGTTTTTGACCAAACAAAATTTGTCACGAAAAGTGTGTCTACTTCCTGTGGAAATTTTCAGTGTTTCATTGGAAAAAATGGAATGCCTGAAACACCCCCCAGTTTTTGACTTTTGGCCAAAACCGGAAGTATTTTGATTCAAAATGGCACTGTGATGCCTCATGGGAGTTGCCGTTCGAATGCTTTCTGCTCCCATTTTCCTCTACGGGCTAGGCTCTCTGGCCCAACTACACCTCCCAGGGTGCAACTGGGTGAGGGGCTCTTGTGACAAGCCCCTACCCTTCACCTCATGTTTGCAGGAAAATACACATTCTATTTTCCTACCAGCACTAAGTGGTACTAACTGGGTTGTGCAGATTTATGAACTCTGCTGAGCTCTCTCCTGCCCCTAGCCCCACTCACAGCCCCAAGCACCCACCATCTGGGAAGTCAGGGTGGCAAAGCTGCAAATCCTTGCAGGTTCGAGCTGGGTTGTGCTGAGTGCCCAACGGATGCTTCATTTGCTCAATTTCCAGTTTCAAAGAGTTCAAGGAGCCAAAGATCTCCTCCATGCCATCTGCATAATCCATGTAGTTGTCGGTGTTTCCCTCATCAACCAGTTGGCTTGCGTCAATGTTTCGCCTGGTCCTCTTGGAGGACTGGATAGGCAGGGGCTGGATCACTTCCCCGGGAGGACCCTGGGTGTGAGGAAAGAACTTGAAACATTAGTTTCACGGGGGAAACGTGAAAGAAACAGAAGAGACAGCCACAGGAATGAACATGCTGCACTAGTGACAGGAAGAGTCACCGCCACAGGACACGCACACACAGGAGGTCTCAAAGGTCCATTATGGTACTAATGAAAATCCTCAGTCACCAGTGAATTTTACAGGGCTCAGGCATTCAGCCTGTGTAGTAGGAGAGAGTCTGCACAAGGCATGCAGACTGCTGGGAAAGTCTTTTGGTGCTCAAAATATCCACCTTGGTTGGAAAGTGTTTCAAAAAAGATGCTCCACCTTCAGCCTGTGGGTTGATCCTTTCCACGCACACCTCTTTCCTTTTTTTGTTCAGCCTTCTTGCCTCATCTCCCTCTCTGGTATTTCTAAGGCACCCATCTCCTCAGTATGGACCCACTGCATGCTGCCTCTTTATCAAGAACTGGGGTTCTCAGGGGTATGTCACACACTAATTCTAGCTCTCACTTCACCATAGGCTTCACCACAATGGGTTATACTTACAGGAGGTCCTGGTGGGCCTGGATGGCCAGATTCACCCTTTGGACCCGTTGGACCCTGAGTGCAAAAAACAGAAACAAGTGTGAGTGGCTCACTCAGTAAATACCAGCTGTCACAAATTCTCCATGCATGTCATTCTTTCTTTAAATTCCTTTCTACTCTCTCCCTCAGCCTCCAGCTACCCCAAGCACACATGGTTCTAACTAGGGCCTGTCAAAATATTTTTTTGGGATGAAAAATAGCTTTTTAACCAAAATGAATATTTTTGCAGAACATTTTCATTTTGGCAGAAATTTTCTGATATTTTGCTGAAAAAACAGAAGCTGAAAAACTTTTTCAGTAAAAGTTTTTGGCAAAATGTCCACATTTTGGTTAGGATTTATGTAGAAATTTTGGCTCTCCTCTACCCCCCCCCAAACATGAACATTTTAAACCAAAAAGATTTTCAGAAATTGAAACAGAAATTTTAGGTTTTTGTTCGTATAATGAATAAACTGAATTTTGTGTATAGAACATACTGATAAACACATTTTTTTAAATTTCCCCATTAAAAGTAACTTGCATTTTTCAACCAGCTATAGTTCTAACTTCACAGAGGAGAAACTGGTGACATTAAACTAGTTTAACTGGGTGTTTTCCACCCATTTCTTCACTCTGTCACACCTACCACTTTTCCATTTTTCCCTCCCTCTCTCACTGTTCATTTTTAAGGTCTCCATCTTTACAGCAATAGGTTTTTTTCTTACTTTCCACTGTTTTAATATTTCTGATCTTTTCAACAGTGATGTGGCAGAAAGTACAATGGGCTTAAAAGAAATATTTCCAATTATAATTTTTCATTTTAAACAGCCTGAAAGGACTGTGATTACTAAAATAATCTTTAGCTAATTGCCTTGACTCTACTGATTTATAATGGTGATAGTAGGTTATGCACCTAATAAAAATTCCTCTGCCTTTTAATTTTGTATTGTCTATACTTACTGATGACCCTTTAGCACCCTTTGGACCAGGGGGACCCTGAACGGAGGAAGGAGAAAAATATATCATTAGCATTGGGCAAAAAATGTGAAATCATTTCATAGTCATTTGAATTTTTCAATGAATTCACTTCAGCCACGTTTGTGCCCGTTTTCTGCGGACATTTGAAGAGTTTGACTTTACTTGCTTATTAGTGAACATCAGAAATGTATTATTAATAATAACAAAGCACTTCAAAGTGCTACACAAATATTGATGAACTTAGCTGCACAATACCCCGGGGAGGTGTGTATCACACGATTATCCATATTTCATGGAAGCTGAGGTACTAAGCATTTATGTGACTTGTCAATGGTCACACATTGCATCAGTGGCAGAGCCAGAAATAGACCCCAGATAGTTTGACTCGCAGTTCTGTGCTTTTGCTGCTTGACCAAATGGCTTTTCGATTTCAGCTACATACCGGTAATCCTGGTGGACCTGGAGGTCCAATTGGACCAGAAGGACCGTTGATACCCTAAAAAGTAAAGGCAAAATAAAGTTTATTTCAATGTATTCATGTTGGTCATCATCTACGTACCATCCTGCAGGCTTATCCATGCAGGTGTGAGAGTCTACACACGGAGATCAATGTACCGTCCCAGGGCCTGACTCTTTAAAAGAGCCACCTCATTTCCAGGTCTCAGTTTTTTCCATTAGAGATAGGCCCAAGTTGCCCACTTCCCTGACCTTTCAGAGCACAGGGTTTCAGCGTCTCTTTAGAAGGACAGGCCCAAATCCCTAAGACCAAAACCAATTTTGGATCTGGGTCAAAACTTCCCTTAAATTGAATTCCCTTAAGCTGAATAGCTTCCAGCTGGTGCCCATCACTAGCTTCTATAGTATGGTATATTTGTGTAGGAAATGTCATTAAAGAGTTAGCAAAAGCACCCTGTGTCATGCTGAGATGATGTCTCTGACCAGAGAAGGCCAACTCTACTATTAAAAAGCCACCTGATGAAAGGAACAAGGTTTTAATCCTTTAAGCCCAGTATGAAGGCTCAGCATAGCTTCCCAGGCACATTTAAGGAAAGTCTCACGAATGACTCCAAAGTGCCCCTAAAAACACCTACCTGCTCTCCTTTAGGTCCGGATGAACCCTGGGGTCCTGGGAGACCTCTGTCACCCTTTTCTCCCTGCTCACCAGGGGGCCCAATGAGGCCAATTAAACCTGGATGACCCTAGAGAAAATAAATAGCAGAGTTTAATTAAGATCAGCTGTGTCATACTCTGGAAGGTGTTGAGCACGAGAAATTCCTCCAGAAGACCCACCTATAAAAGGAAGAAACTAAACAAGTGGAAGGAAAGTGTTTGTACCTTTTGGGAATCCAGGGATGAGCAGGCACAAGGAAAGTGTTTGTAGCTGAGCATGAAAAGCGGCCAAAAATGCCCACAATTCCTAGTGTAATGAAAAACACTAGCTTTTTGCTAAAGGAATACTGTAAATATGATAACAGAAGGGGCACTGCTGTACTCTGGAGTCTGTTCTTTTCATACATTGGCATATGTTACGTTAATTTCTACAAATAAGGTTCAGAACCATTACCTCAAGCAAGCGTGTCTACCAAGTTACTGCCTCTTTATTTGCCTCTTGCTAGCTGCATGCGCTACACAGCCATGATAACTAAAGATCGCATAGGGACATAAGCATAACAGAATGGATCAGTTTAGTTTCCTGCATAAGGTATCAATGCCAGGTAACTCCTAGGAAGGTGTAAAACATTAGCCATGGATTCCAATGTGTAATGCTACACACTGAACTATGGGGAGAAATTTCTTCCTGACCCACCTACAGGTCTTCCTGGTCAGTGAACCCGTCTGATACTCAACATATATACCCTGAAGATTCATAACTGAGGTAGTTGTCATGATCAACATCTCTTGTATGCTTGAGGCCTGCTCTAAAGAACTGCCTAACACTATTATATCCTGATGTTATGATATCCTCAACAGTCCCTCTTTCTGTTTTAGCACGTCCTGTGGTGAAAACAGTGAATTCTTGGTGAATGTGGAATCTTACTGTGTACTATGCATAGAGGGATACATTCATTCCCATGCAGAGAGACTGCACAAGGCCTATGCACCACTTCAGTCTCATTTAAGACCTCAAAATAGGGTTTATATTGGACTTAAGCAGTGCAGAGACCTTTGTGGAGCTTACTTCACAGGGGTGGATTTCACCCCGAAAGCTACAGAATCTGTTATAATATACATGTCATCACCATAGCAACACTATTGACATCTATTATGTACTGTCCTTAGAGTTGGGGGGGGATCAATGAATTTGAAAATAAAAGTATCTGAACATGTTTTATGTAGCAGTCTCACCTTTTCACCTTTAGGACCCGAATCTCCCTTAAGACCAGGTAAACCAGGTGGGCCCTTAAAAAAAAATAAAAGAAGAGGAAACTCAGATAAAAATAATATACACCAAATGCAAAATTCTGTATATAAGTAACCAAACAACTGGGACTATAAAGACATACCAGTGGGCCCGGAGGACCATCGGGGCCTGGGGAACCGGGGAGCCCTTGTTCACCCTGTAAAACAATGCAATCCACTCAGATTAGGCATTCATAGTAGAGGTTGTCTAGTGGTGAAATTCTAGATCTGAGCACCCCAAACTTTACCCTTCCATATGTGAACTCTGTGGCTTGGGCCCAGCTCTAGAAAAAAGGATTCATTCTATAACCATTATTAAATGTATATATTTTAACCTTAATTAACCTTAATTTTAACACCCAATTAGAAATGCTCCAGAAGCACGCACATGGTCTGGGCCTGATGCAAAGACCACTGACGTCAGGAGTCTTTCTAGCAACTTTAAGGAGCTTTGGATCCAGTCTTCTGAAATTAAAATAAACAAACAAAAAAGCAAAACACAAGGCCCAATCTTGAAGTCCTCCTTTACTCCTGACTAAGTGGCAATGAGAGTTTTGCCCAAGTGCACCAAAGAAACGAAAGTTAATAGGACTTTGGCTCCCGTGTGCCTAAGTCTCTTTTGAAAATGGGATGTAGGCGCTTTGGAAAATTTTACCCTAGAGTTTCTTCAACCTTTAATAAAAAATGAAAGCCAAACAAACACAATTTCCCTTGACTTCCTTGTCCTCACCGTAAGTAAAATAAATACCAACCCACCCCATCCTTCCCACCCCAAAACTCAGCCAAAAGCCACGGAAAAGAACAGATATTCCATCATGCTTTAAAAGTCAGCAGACTTGGCCTCTATTGGACCACTGGGGGTTGGGGGAGTGAATTCTAGAGCCATGGCCTCTCTATTAAAATCACCGAGCCACCAGACATCAGGCATTCAAGTCTGGAGACTGTTTGCTTCTGTGGCCCAGCTACAATGGTGCCTGGGGCGAAAGGCATCCCCTAAGAGAGATGCTTTCTTGTAAGGCCTGGTCATTATTCCTGTTCAAAAGCTTGCCGGGGCTACCCGCAGTTTTTAAATACTCACCACTGGGCCAGGAATTCCTCGAAGGCCATCGGGACCAGGTTTCCCTGGAGCTCCCTGGGGACCAACAGGACCTGTCTTCCCAGGAGGTCCTTCCAGACCAGATTCACCCTGGTGGCAAGCGACAAAGTGATTCAGTTTTCAATTGCTCTTTAAATAGTCTAATTACAGTTGATCAGACCTACTGTGATGCATGCAACTCCCTATTTTTATACCTTCCTGCACACCCCATCCTGCTCTCTACTGCACCCACTGAAAGCCAAATCCTGGAGTTGCAGTACTTTTCCATTTCCACCTGTTTACTGACCAACTTGCAGTATTGCTTAGACTGTACGCTCTACCATCTTTTTGTTCGGTGTTTGTACAGCACCTAACACAATAGTGTGTGACTAGGGCTCCTGGGTGCCACCACAACGTACATCATAACTAATAATAATAAATAATAATAATAATAATGTAACTTACAATACCATTTGCAACACTATTCTATTTTTGGCTCAACATCGTTATTGAGATAATCACTGTTTGCGAATATCATGTTTGCTTTATGATATTATAGAGTCCTGTATACACGGTGCTATTTGCAAAACGGTAAATGACACTTTTGATACCAAAAACATATTCCAAAGCCCTTTACAATTCCATAAATATCCAGCGGAATTTGTTAAATGGCAAAACAAACACTTAGAAGATAAGTCTTCATTTGAAGTTGATGGCCCCAAATTCCAGGTTTGATGGTTTGTTGAAATACAAAGTGAAATGACATTCTGTTCTTCCCACACAAGATTTTATGAGGTGTTGCATACAGAGGGCTGCAGAGGGCACAGCTGAAGATCCTGATTTTATCAATATATGTTCATCCCTTACCTTGGCTCCTTTCTCTCCTTGTCTTCCTTCAGGACCTGCTGGACCAGGAGGACCCTAGTGAGAACATGAAACAGAAGCAATAGCATCTTAGACCACAGTTTGTCTGGAATGGCTGTGGTGGTATTTACAGAGATACTGTAAACAAGAAGGAAAATAATATCAAGGTGGCTATCTGCCAATGGTCTTAAAAATTAACACCCTTATAAATAAACCTTCTACCCTTCTCAGATGAACATTTGGCAGAGAAATCCTGAAATAGGCTGGGAGAGCCAAATGTTTTATCTCATTTTATTTTGGATACCAATAACCTGATCTAAAGCCCATAGAATTCAATAGGCATCTTTCCATTAACTTCCATTGGCTTTGGATTGGCCTCTAACCATCGTTAAACACTGCCAACAAACTATTGCATTTCCGTATGTGAATTTTCTCACATTTTGTTCTTAGTTTCAGAAAATAAATGATTCTGAGTTACTGATTCAGTTTTTGGGGGTGCATACGTGTGAGCACCCCCCAAGAGACGCACATGCATACATTTTTGGGAGAGCTGGTGCCAAATTCCACTGTCTTGGGGACTCCAAGAGCAGTGAACTCTGTCCGTTGTTGTTTGCAGGATCAATCCATAAACAGGCAGGCAAATGCAGATCAAGATATTTCCTTAACAATTGTTTTCAGCCTATATTACTTTTACTGACCATTTTGCACACAGGCCAGAACTCCAGCTGGTTTAAATAGGCACAGCTCCATTGACTTTTGCCCATTTGCACCAGTGGAGGCTCTGGTCCCATATTTCTATACATCAATATGACAATATTGCAAGGTTGATATCTGAAGTGACAAATGTTGCCATGCAAAGCAGATATTTACCATCTTATCAGAACGTTAAGAATTCTACTGAGTGAACTGACTGGGTAAGGTCTGTTAGAATTAAAGCATAATAATGATACTAATTTCAGAAATCTCATTAAAATGTACATGAAACAACATTCTAACAAATTAACTTACCCTCTTCCCCGGGGGACCTGATGGGCCTGGTTCTCCAGTTGGGCCAGGAGATCCCTAGGTTAAAAGTGGAAGAAAACAGCTCATAATTGTAATATGACATGTAAAAGAAACAGACCAGGTATCTTACATGTGACCTGACCAATTCTAGTTTGCATTAGAATTAAGAATTAAGGAGAGGCAGACAATATAAGGTATGAGTGCTAATCAGAAAGCTGATCTCTCATTTTACCCCATCTTATGATGTAAGAACAAAAGGGTGACTTGAAATATAATAGGCATCTTAAAATGCATAAAAGGAAACACATAATATACTCAAGCTATAAAGTCCACTGCTGGGGTCCAGTAAATCATGGACAGTTAGACTTAGAAGAGAGGGAGAGATTTTCACAGCACAAATGGAAGTGAGGTACTTAGCTCCCAGTAGAAGTCAATGGGAGTTAGGTGCGTAACTACCATTTGTCCCTTTGAAAATTTCTCCCTACATTCCTACATTTCTAGTGATCTGGGCAAAGATTAGACCTAGGAACAAGGAGCTGGTGAATACCATACTCCTAATACCTAACAGACCTTGTATACCAGAATGTACTTACAGTCTGACCAGGTTCACCATCGTCACCTTTGTCACCTGTGGGACCATCTTGACCCTAGGAGGAGGAAAATGAGTTTTATATACTAAGAATTGCCTTTCTCCAGTCCAGAGTGAAAGCAGTTCATTCTGACTGCCTCACTGAGATCATTTCTGAATGGTTGGCACTTACAGCCGGGCCAGGTTCTCCAGGGGGGCCAGGATCACCAGGAAAACCAACTGGACCCTGCAAAAGGAAGGAGAAAGATATCCCCAGGTCAGCTGCGGTACAGTTACCGGAGAACTCTAAAGCAACATATATCTGTTATTCCAGACACAACTGAAAGAGCTACTGTACACAGCAAAGTCTTGAGTCACATAGCTCTGACATGTTCAAAGTCCAGATCACCAACGCTGAAAGGATCCTAAGTTTTGGACCATGCCATCATACATGGAGATGAGCTGTGAAGCTCAGATTGGAATCCAAACTTTTGAAAAGTTCAGGGGTGTTAATATACAATGTTTGGGTTATCCCATTATAAACATGGGGCAAGTCGTAAGAACTTTTCCAAACTTTGAGACTGTTTGGAGCTGGAAGTTTTGTTTTGATTAATTAAGTGAGCAGGACATAGATCTTGAGCTGGCCCTCTGTGAGAAAAGGACTGATTATTCTAGTATTAACTGAATATACTATAAACTAGGAGTATTCATCCTTAAAAATCCCAATGGAATTGGTTTGAACTTGGGCACCACTAGAAGGTATGGTTCATTTGACTGCTAAGCAATCTCAACTTTCCCGAGCATCTTTGGAACACAGCTTTCAAAAAGGAACCCTCCGTTTAACACTTTTCCTATATGATGGGCTACTTACAGGGCTACCTTTAGGTCCATCATCACCTGGTGGACCTTTAGGGCCAGGAGGACCAGCAGCACCGGAGGGGCCTGCTTCTCCCTTTTCACCTCTTTCTCCTTTAGGACCCTGTAGGGAAAACAGGATTTTCCATTAGGTAGAGAAAAAGCTGGTATTTACTTTATTTGTTTTATATGTTCAATTATACCTCTCAGAATACCTGGACATTATTTATTATAAATACCTCCTGCTCCAAATAATTAGACGGCCCCTGTGTTGTTCTTATTAAGGCCTGGAGAAGTTTTATTTCACAACTGTTCTTTTTGGCCAGCCTGCTGTAAGCTGCAGCCAATCACAGTCTGTTCTGGCCCCTGCCGTCCACAACCCTTCCTTCCAAAATGGAGGATGAATTCAGTCTCTGCATCCTTACCCATCAATGACCATTATTCCACACAGCACTCTACTGAAACCTCAATCTCCGACTCCTCAAGCCAAAGCTTGGGGAAAGACAGGCCTGAAAAACCTTAGACTTTCAGGGAGCACTGAGGGGGAGAATGAATTCCATTGTTCACTAGCCTTTATACATGTTTCAGAAAGGCTCCAGAGAGACAGGAAACCTTCGACATTCAGACGCACGATCCTCATTCTTTTAATATTTCTGCTAAGTCTGACCACTTGCCCGAGAAGTCCATTGTAAAACAAAAACGACATGCTTTGGCAAACAAAGGAGGTCTGCTAAGCTTTCAAGGCAATTCACACATGTGGGGCCAAACTCACTGTAATGAGAGGGGCCATCATATTGTTTACCCTGCCTTGCAACTGTTCTAAGGCACTAATCCTGTTCAATGTCAGTTAAAACCATGATATACATGTCTATTTTAAAATGTACCACTTACCGGGGGACCACCCTCTCCAGGAAGACCAGGCTCACCAGATTCACCAGGTTCACCCTATAGATCGGGGCGAGGGGGGAAATCACATGGTTATATATTGTTACTGATAGCACACCATAGTGGGCTGTGTAGAAAGTTCCTCTTCAACTGAAAGCAGGCACCCACGTCCAGCAGTGAAAAAACTTAGAGCTGGTCAGTAAATGGGAAAGTAAATTCCTGGAAACTGGTCATTTGTAGAGTTTTTTATCAAAAATTTCCAACCAGCTCTTGTTAAAATGTTCTTTAGAATTAATACTCAGAACCAGCCTGTATGGACCCATCATTGACTGTATTTTTGCCCTGTCATATGTCATGTCTTAACCCTGGCTGCACCGTGTTCTTTGAAAGTACACTTCAATCTCCATGACAATTACATCCTTGGATTCTCCAATGAGATCACCAGCAATAGTGTTAATTAGCGCCCATTGTGATGGCAGGTTTTGGACACCTGTGCACTAGGAACTAGAGAGACCCCCATCAATATTTGTTTTGTAATCAGGCCAGTCCTCAGATGGCGAAACTTTCAGTCGCTACTGAGCTGGGCTGGATTTGAAGAGGAGGTTTGGAACACCTGGTCTATATTCATTACCAATGGACAGAGCTTTCTACGTCCCCTCTCGATTTTAAACAGTTGCTGGTAGCTTAATGGAGAACTTGCTGGTTAACAAGGCCCATGTGCAACATGAGTACCACAGCTCAAGTCGCAGGCCTGTTTCTATTGATGTCCAGGGCAAGCTTCCCGCTGATTTCAATGGAAATAGAATCAGGCCTGGCTCAGCATGCTTTACCTTCTCTCCGACAGCTCCAGGATTTCCTATTCCACCCGGAGGACCTTGTGGACCATCTGCTCCTGGTGGTCCAGATGGACCCCTGGGCCCAGGGGGACCTGGTGGGCCCTACAAGGAAGGAGAGGCATAAGTAATTGGTGAGACAATAAACCTTTTGTAACAGATGCTGATATTAATGATGAAACTGCTAAGGAATTGGATCTCACTTACCATTTGTCCAACATCACCTGTTTCTCCCTTCTCACCAGGCGGTCCAGGCAAACCCTGTGGAAATATGATTACATGGGATATTTTTAGAGGGTTACATCACAAGAGCAACATAGGGACTTATAACCCCAAATATCACACGTCATTGGAAATTACCTGCAAGCCCACTGGGCCTGGGGGACCAGGGAAACCTCTGGGACCTTCATCACCTTTCTGACCAAAGAGGCCTTGTTGTCCTCTTGGACCTGGCTCCCCATCAGCTCCCTAGGGAGAAAGGGATTAGCATTGTTTATTATAAATACTTATTCTATTTATAAATAATTTATTTGTTTTTATATTTATTTTATTATATCTGGGCCCCCATCCTCATCTTCCATTAGGATGTGGAGGATCCTTCATTTATCCAACAGGCTCTGTGGCGCAATGGATAGCGCATTGGACTTCTAGAGTGATGACAGATGAAGTCATTCAAAGGTTGTGGGTTCGAGTCCCACCAGAGTCATATTTTGCGCCCTCCCAGGTAATCATTGGCAAACCTGGCTGTTGGAGAGTAACAGTATGGAAAAGTTGGTTGGTGAAGCAGTTCATTGGGGGGGGGGATAGCTCAGTGGTTTGAGTATTAGCCTGCTAAACCCAGGGTTGCAAGTTCAATCCTTGAGGGGGCCACTTAAGGATCTGGGGCAAAAATTGGGGATTAGTCCTGCTTTGACCAGGGGGGTTGGACTAGATGACCTCCAGAGATCCCTTCCAACCCTGATATTCTATGATTAGTCAATGGCAAAGCTCCCACTTTTCTCAATGGGACCAAGCTGGGTTAATGATTAATAATTCATAATAGCAATAATACTCACAGCTGGACCTGGTTGACCAAGTGGACCTTGTGGTCCAGTAGGACCTGGTGGACCCTGTTTAGAAAAGAGATGTTCAATGGGACAGTTAGCAATACGGACTAAAAAACTCCTGTAATCATCAAGTATGGAGCACACATTGTGCACAATCTAAGAATGAACTCGCCAAAATTCTAAAGTGTTGAAAACAAAAAAAAGAGAAAGGGTCTAATTGGGCTCTCACATGCACCAGTGTCAATTAGTTTAATGTCTATGGAATCACACCACTGCAATCTAGGATGAGTGTGAACAGAATCACACCCTAACATAGTGCCAAGTATCAGGGGGTAGCCATGTTAGTCTGTATCCACAAAAACAACGAGTCTGGCGGCACCTTAAAGACTAACAGATTTATTTGGGCATAAGCTTTTGTGGGTAAAAACCCCCACTTCTTCTGATGCATATGAAGAAGTGGGGTTTTCTACCCACGAAAGCTTATGCCCAAATAAATCTGCTAGTCTTTAAGGTGCCATCAGACTCCTCACCCTAACATTACTGTTACTATATAGTGCAAAACAATGAGGGGACAGAAATCTTTCTGGAAAGTGAGGAACAAAGTTATGTATTACTGTGTAATATAATATGTGGCCAATAGTTATAACACTACCTCGGAACACTATATGAATAGAAGATTAAGGTAGCACAGGTAAATGCTCAAGGGACAGTAAATGTCAAAGCTCAGGTTGCTCTCATAGTCTTATCTCTGCCCCCCAGTATATATGTGCCTATGAACAACTGAAAAGAGGGGTCCAAATGAATATGCCACTTCAACTATAGGGGCTACACCTGCTGTAGTAATGATGGGGCTGTTTCTGCAATGTTAAAATAAGGGGGCATTATACGAGGCCCATTTAAATTTATTTCACTGGAAGACCCTCCATTGTATTTTTCTTTTTACATTCCAATCTTCTTCTTTCTTGCCACTCCCTTATTTGGGGTTGGTGACATTTATAGCCTTATTCCATAACACGTGATCATATACCAAGCTGTCGTGCCGATAGGTCTCTCTGAGGTTCACTGATATCCTGTCCATGTAGGAGCTTTCATCTCCCCCTTTGTCATCTTTCATCCCCAATCAATGCAAGCTCTTAGATCTCTGCTGGACATGCCCACAGCAATGTAGCCTGTCCTCCCTCAACTTTAGGCCCATTACAACCTCATTACATTTCCTGTCATGGAGTGTCCAATCATTTGACCACCTCAACATCTTCATTTCATAGCGGAGAGCATACTGATTTCCTTTCTTGTAGCTGGCCAAGTCTCTGTTTCATACATTAATATGGGTCAAATTAGTTTTATACACTCTACCTTTTAACCTTTACTTTTTCCTTTTCACATTACAATATGTGTAAAAAAAAAAAAAGGTAAATACAGAGGAAATTATAATTAAATACTTAGTTTTATATTTCCATCAAATAATGGAAAATAACCATCTTGCAGAGGTCCCACCAGACTAGCTGCTGCCAAAGACATTGTCTAGGACCCCACACCCACGTGGAGGACAAAAGGGACTGTGAAATACAAAAAGGCTCATCTTTTTATATAACAAAGTTCCAACTTACCTGTTCGCCTTTGTCACCCTTGCTTCCTTTCTGGCCTGGTTCTCCAATCTCGCCCTGTTGGACACAAATGTGTACAAATCTGTCCAGAGCTCAGTGACTACTTGTGTATCAACATAGTCCAATGACATTTCCCCCTACATTCTAGCATGTCTGCGGCCTGATCCCAGAGAAGGCAACTCCCATAGAACTTCCTTGGGGAGTTATGGGAAGGGAGGCAGGATCGCGCCCCCAGGGGTGCAATCTGTTTTTTGAAACCTTTTTTGAAATCTTTTCTCACCTGCTGAGAGATACCAAAGGTATCATTATGCTAATTTTGTTGGTGGAAAAAGGGAAAGCGAGAGGCATATTTACGTGCTAACCATCTCTGAATATCCTGCTGTCCAAAGGGGCTTATTGTAGGTGTTGGGGAAATGTAATTAATTTTGGAAAAGATAGCAAACTGGAGCAATGTCAAATAGAATAGGCTCACAGGAGGGTAGCTGACTGGAACTTAATTCATAGTTTTGTTGATGAGAAATAGAATCCAGCCAATTCTGTCTCAGCTCTACTGACTCTGCAGGGCTAACGGGACGTAAAAAGCAGTAAAAATGTAATTATGTCACTAAATGGAGCAGATCTGGCTCCGAATACACAGAAGGAACAGGTCTTCCAAATGGGAAGGGGCCATTTTGCATGGGTGCTTCTTGGAGTAGAAGTGTACTTAAGAGAAGATTTTTCTCACCTTATCCCCGTCTTCTCCTGGGGGGCCAACAGGACCTGCTGGGCCTGGGAGTCCAACTGGACCTTGAATACCATCACGACCGGCTGGGCCTTGCGGACCTTTCTCACCCTAGAGGTACCGTGAACAGGCATGTTAAACAATGCTTTCTTCCATCCTCTGATTCAAACATACAATCCCATTAACTTCACTGCTTATCATCAGGCAATAACGTTTACTTGTGTTTGCATGTATATAATAGAACCAGTATCTGGCAAACATTTTATAGGTCGATAAGGCTCACTGTCATAAGCCAGTCATAATTTCCATCTCAAAAGATAAAGAAAGGAAAAAGTGTATCTGACTGTGAATACAAAGATTTTGCTACTTTTATGGTATCATAACATTTTATCTTGACTCTTCTATCCTGTCTCTTTCTCTGAGTGATGAACAAAACTTATTCAACCATTTGTCATTTCCAGGAGCCAGATCTTATTGATACCAATTCCTACTCTAATTAATGAAGAATAAATGCTAGTTCTGTATATGGAATAGATAGAATTCCTTCTTTCTTCAGTACCAGAGCCATTGACCTATTCTTTCCTGTGTTTTATGAACTACTGAAAAATACTTTCAGTGAATAAGGCAACCACTGCTGGCTTCCTGCTTAAATATTTACTTTTTTGTATCCTTCAGACAGAGTCATCAATTGAATTCGCTTTTGTTTATATGAGCTGAAGAGTTGATGTTCACTTCCCTAGCACAAAATTTAATTGTGTCTGAACCCCGCTGTAAATGACTAGATGCCAGATAAATTGCATATTCATCTCTCCAATAACACGTTATACATATACTTTGCAGCATAGATGTTCATAAAGCTGTTTCAAGAGGAAATTCTTGCCTCAGGACTAGCTGCTAAAGCTTTCAATAAACCGTCAAATGCAGGAATCAGCGGGGAAAAAATCATCTTTAATAACACAAATAAATCAACCCAAATGTCCTACTTCCGTCTGAAATCTCTGAGGCCAGCATTTGGCCATTTCCCTGGACGTGAGGCTGGCTGTGATGAGCATGATTCAAAAGCAAACAGTCAGTGATATACATCCACACAGCAGCTTAGGCATGGCATGAGCTAGGCAAATAGCCTTCTTCCAAAGGAGACCCACGGAGCTACGCTTTTAAATAATGAACTCCACACTCTCCAGTTCTCCCATGGAATGATACGAGATATTCCTGCAGAATGAAAGAGCTGCTGGTTTTCTCTGGCCTGTGGATGCACAAAGTAATATATTGCAGGAGCACAGCCAGAGTCCACTTCAGGTCTCTTTCTATGTATCTACTTTCCCACCCATCTATCAGGTAGATTCTTACACTGAGGCCCAACACTGTAGGATCTAAGCAAATATCTATTCCTGAGCATTTTTCCCTCCTCACTCCATAGAAAAAGTGCAATTTTTGAATCATAACTCAACATTTGACATCAAAGTGGACTGTTTTAAACAACCCACCATTACTATGATTTCATATATTTATAATACAGCAGCACCCAAAGACCTCAACTGGATTTGGGATCCTGGTTCACATACATATGGACTAAGCTTTCCAGGCAGGGACAGTGAAAGAACTATTGCCGGGATATCTGGAAGAGGATAGTGATTCCTTCCAGAAATGGATTTTAGTAGTCCCTATCGCACAAGGAGACATTGTCCTTTCAACGATAAGAATGATAATCCCAGTTGGTTCTTCTGGACTAGCTTTAGCATAGTTTTGAGATGAACATGTTGTATGGAAGTAGCAGACAGTTGTCCAAGCACTGTTTAGCTTGGTGAAGTGTTAGCACCAAGCAGCATCAGCTCACTGCTGCAGGCATCCAAACCCTCAGCCCCCGTATGGAGATACATTCTGGGCAGCTCAACAGTCTGCAGGCTATGGTTCTCATGGCACCCTGAGCTATTTGAAGACGACCACTAAATGTATAAGACAGATGGAAGGAGGACGATCCGGGCTACAAGACAGTAGGGCTTAGGATTTTTAGACCATTCTTGGCCACTCTTTTAATAACAAAACCAGTTGTTACTACTTTCATTGCCTACCTAGATATGTTCATGATGGATAGGCCCATCAATGGCTATTAGCCAAGATAGTCAGGGATGCAACCCATGCTCTAGGTGTCCCTATCCTGATTACCAGAACCTGGGACTGGACGACAGGGGATGGATCACTTGATGATTACCTGTTCTGTTCATTCCCTCTGGGGCACCTGGCATTGGCCACTGTCGGGAGACAGGATACTGGGCTAGATACACCATTGGTCTGACCCAGTATGGCCATTCTTATGTTCTACCTACACCACCACAATTGTAAGATGACTTATTCAGTTATATACATTTTTGTTTAAGGTACATTAGCACACATTCAGGTCTGTATTTATCCAAACAGAACACCATCAGTGCTGTACTATTTTGTAGATTGCAACAATTATTTTCCTCCTTCTTCAGGTTCAGACTCTAATAGAAGATTTTTTTTTGCATGTCTTAAAAGAGAAGGAAATATAAAGATACAAGGAAAAAGGAAGAGAAGAAAACATCTACATTAAAGATGCCGTGGTTTGGTTCTCATGTCTAATGCTGAGGGTGAAATGAACTGCCCAGGCGCCCACCCTAAGAGTGCTTTTCACCAAGAAGTGTTATGCCCTGTCATTTCAGCCTCCACCACCTGTTTTGAAAATAGAGTCCACACACCCTCTCTCTCTGCTTGAAGCCATTTCTGACCTTTGGACCATACACACGTTCTGTAGAACAGACATTCAACAGGGCGTTGCAAGATCACATTCCCACTGCAGGGCTCACCTGTAGCATCAGTCTAACATGGTTAAGAGAAGTGGAGAGACAGACAATACTTCCACTACAGTACAGGTGAGATTTTCAAAAGCAGACTCTGCTGGCATAGCTTTGTTCTCCTAGAAGTCAATGACAAAACTCCCATCGACTTCAACCTACATCTCCAGTTGAATGAAAAGAATCGTTAAAGATGGTTCCCTAAAGCAACTTGCTCTGTGGGGAATGTGTCTGCCTTTCTCTTTTGCCTGGGCTTGCCTCACTTGTTTATTCTTACGCACAGCACTGACAGTGGCAGTTCCAGTGCCTGGGCTTACAATGGCAAAATCTGCCAATACCCACACAGCAGGATTTCGATTTGAAAAGCTGGCAAGGCTGCGGACAAAAGAAAACAACTTGACTTTCATCTAGCACTGAGTCATCCAGGATTTACTATACACAGGCCTACCCTCCTGCTTGCACCAGTTTGGAGAAAATATCAAAAGAACCAGTTAGCACTTACTAAGGCTCCCAGAATACAACTTTAGAGAAATCCCTCCTTGGTACAGAGTTGGGAAGCAGTTGAATAGGTCGGTTCGATTTTCTTTTCTATAACTGCCGTGGATTGAAACATGTTTGCTGCCTTCAGGAAAGCTAACCGTGCCTGGGGTTTTAGGAGCGGGGATAAGTGGCTCATAGACGACGTGAAAAACATAGAATCAGAGAATTAGCCCCAACTGTGTCTGCCATGGAGTTTCCACAGGGGCGCATAAGCACAAACACACACACACACACACACTGAGGCATATTTCACCCACTCTAACTTGGATACAATACTTACTGGGGCACCCTTTTCACCAGCAGGTCCTGCAGGTCCTTGGGGTCCAGGCCTTCCTGGTAAACCAATTGGGCCAGCTGACCCAGCTGGACCTCTCTCACCTGGAGAACCCTGTTGGTGGGGGAGGAGAATGGAACAGTCATTAGGCATCACATGTATTAAAAATAACAGAGGGAGAAAAATTAAAAAATTAGGACGTAGAACATGTATTAAGTGCAAAAGTCAGAAGGTAAAAGAGAGAGTGTGATGGTGTGACTGCCATGCAATAATCCTGCACTATATGCCCGAGGGATCCTGCCTATTTTTATTTTAATTAAAATCACTGGAATGGCTGGGTTCTTCTCTGGATGGCACTGGAGCTCAGTTGCTGGGTAAACATGATCAGAGCTTGGAACGAGCGCACAAGCCACTTTACTGCTAATGTAGCAGAGCAATAAGGGTTTAAATGATGAATATTCTCTTCTGGAAGGGCTGCTCTGAACAGGGAATCTCAGCTGGGACAGCTTTCAGTGGGCAAAAACCTGGGTGGGCTTCAAGCTGGTGACTAAGGGCTAGTCTACACTGGCAACGCTGATGAAGGCCCGCCTCTGTGTCCAGGCTTCCAGGCAAGGAACGGGGTGGGCTGCATCGCTCGACATGAGCCGAGGCCCGACTTCCTGACGGGGGAGATGAGCCGCCTGGCGCAGGTCTTAGCTTGCCCCCAGCCCTGTCCTTCCCCTTGCAAGGACTGTCCCCTATCAGCCTACTTTGATTTCTTGGCTGGGGCCGTGGATGGGGATCGGTGCCGGCTTGTCGCCAGCGGGGCACTTTGCTGGCATGGTATGGTGCACTACGCATGGTGCTGGGTGCCGAGTCGGATCTTTGCTCCAGGGCCAGAGTGAGCCAGACTCCATCAGGAGCGCTTTGAGTCTGATCTCACGCTCTTTCTTGGTCCTAGGTTTAAAGGACTTGCAGATTCGACACTTATCACTTATGTGCCCTTCACTGAGGCACCTGAGACAGCTATTATGCAGATCGCTCATTGGCATGGGCCATTCGCAGCGATCGCAGGGCTTTAAGCCTGGGGAATGAGGCATGCCCCGTCCCCCGGCTAGGTCCTCGACGGGACCAACAAAACTCTAACTATTGCTAAGGGTTATCTACCTCAACTACTAACTATGTATACTAAGTATCAGAGGGGTAACTGTGTTAGTCTGGATCTGTAAAAAGCGACAAAGAGTCCGGTGGCACCTTATAGACTAACAGACGTATTGGAGAAAGCTTATGCTCCAATACGTCTGTTAGTCTATAAGGTGCCACAGGATTGTTTGTCGCTATGTACACTAACTTTACAAGAACTCTAGTTCGTACGAACGAAGCCTAAGCAATGCTAGTAAGAGCAGCGAACGTTCCCATGCACCGTCACTGGTGGCAAGAAGGAACTGAGGGTGGGGGGAGATGGCAGCGCCTCTTATACCGTGCCATGCAGGCGCCACTCCAGAGGGCGCCAGAGCCGCTCCCCTATGGATACTGCTGAGGGAAAAACTTCCAGCACTGGTGCATGTGACGAGCACACACACCTAATGTGGAATGGACATGAGCAAGCACTCGAAGAAGAACTAAAGGCTCATTCTCCAGGTTGCCAATGCCCTGAGCCATCTCGTCCTCTCAGCACACATGTATGGTCAACAGAGTTATAGGACAGTGACTGAACTGTTATACATATGTCTCGTAAAATAAAGTGATACTCAAATACTGATTAGTTAACACCAAAAGGGACAATGGGTAACTGCTTGTGAACAGTGATTAGGCCTCAGTAGTTACTTATTAGGCCTGTAATGTATTAGGTAGTGCCAATAAATGACAAAGAGCCAATACTTACTGCTGGGCCTGGTGGACCAGGGGGACCTTCACTGCCTTTCAGCCCAAGAGCTCCCTGCAACCAAAAAGAGAGAAGAAACAGTGTCATTCATTGGAAAATATGATGTACTGTATATTGCATCACATAACACTATGTATTGCATCACTCCAGTGGGAAGGACAAGAGGAGCTTTTACTTACAACTGGGCCAGGGAGACCTCTTTCACCGGGGAAGCCTCGTAAGCCAGGAGGGCCGTCTTTTCCTGGAAGGCCGGCAGGACCCGGGTCACCCTGTGACGGGAAAGGTTAATAGTTTAGAATCTTTGGAATCAGTAAGAGCCTGGCTCCTTTGGCCAGGGTATAATGATATACAAACTCTTGTGAGGATTTGAAACACTAAGCTTCTGTTCTGAAGCTGATCTCTTCATCTGTCCAGCCTAGGATCTATCTACATTCCCCCTGACTACAGGATCAACTGTTCAGCAGCGTGTCACATTGGCCTCTTGTTAAACATGAAGAGCTGAAGCACCTAGTAACTGTCTCCAGAAGCCACTGACAGGGATGGAGCTGCAGAGTTCAGATCCAGGTTTGGATGTGGGATCTGTATTCTGAAGGTCCGTGCTCCTAAAGTTCCTAAAGTTCAGGGCATGTTCAGGTCCCTAGTTCTCGTTTAGAGGTGTTCACAGTGCAATTCTGATCCAGGTTCATGTCCAGCCACTCAAAAGTTTGGAGGTGGGGGACAGGTGGTACAGTTTGGGGTTTCTGGCTTGGGCCCATCCCAACTTCATACAAATGGAAAGGTAACCCTATACGGTTTGCTCACAAAGGGGGAGGTTCTTAGATCCACTCATGCCAAAGAGCATTGTAATGCAAATCTCAGTCAGTTCAGCTCTCAGGACCTAGTCTGCACCCGCAGCCAGGTTGCTAGAGGTGTATGCATTTAGACGTGCATCCCCAGCACAATGGCAGATACAAATCATACCTGAAAAAAAAGAAGCCAGTACTTCTGAAAATTAACCTCTCAGTGTTATCCAGTCAGACCCCCAGAGGTCAGTCATTACTCAGACAGAATGAGCCTGATTCTAACCAGAACTGGTCCTCTCCTCCATCCCTGTTGCCTGAACATCATGCTCCAATGCATACCTGAGCTCTGAATGAATATGAAGTCAGATCAAATGTACCAACAATGTACCTTGGTTCCTTCCTTTCCAGCCAGGCCAGGTAGACCCTGCTCACCTGGTGGACCCGGTGGACCTGGATGCCCACGCTCACCCATTGGACCCGTCTCTCCAGTAGGACCCTAAGAAAAGACCAAGAGATACTGAGGGAAGAGTTCAATACTAGAGAGACAAAGAATGAGAAAAGTCTGTAGATCAGTGAATGCCATTCACAGCTGTACCCATCCATCCTCTTTAATGGGCAGCCCTTTCCTGCCTACCTGCTAATTCCCACCCCCAGAGGGGCTAGGACTGAGCATGCTGTCAAGCTCGCTGGTACTGCGAGTGAGGCCAGTCTCCAGCAACTCCAGTGACTCTTAGGACGGCCCTAGTTAAATCTGGCAACCCTCACTGATGACTGAAAAGCTGCCGATGCTGGTGCCCAAGCACGGCTTATCTCTATAAAAAATGTGGATCCCATTTCAGACTCTTTTTCTTCTGCCAGCGATGTTTTAGGGGGAGGCTAGTACACTCTTCGGGAAGGCAATGTAAATGGAAAGCTAATTTCCTTGGAGTTCTTCAATAAACACAATCAGATGACCTTTGTCGTTACTAGTGTGTGTCTTTTGTTCTCCCACCACAGCTGCCACTTTTAATTCACTAAGGCAGCATTTCCATCACCTGGGCCTATAACACTGAAACAACAAGTGCACTGAAAGGTCACCATATTCATTCAGGCCACTTTTACCACCCAAAACTGAAACCCATCATATCAAATGCATGGAGCATTCCTCTTAGAGATCACCTAAGCTAGGTCAGAGGGGCCACACCACATCAACGTCTTATTACTCAAGCACCCACATTAGAAATGAAACCTCAGGAAGGCTCATATAGCTCCTACTTGGTTTTGCTCAGTTGTAGTATTTTTATTGACCACAATGGACAGCTACCATTTGTCTTATTTTCAGTTACATACTTGTTTTGCATTGTTATCCAAAAAAGGCAATTTCGTTCTTTCTAAATTCCCCTTGAAGTTTCAACTGGATACAATGTTTTCTTCACTTCATTGTCCTAACAGTGTCACCGTGCACTGTTAATAAGACACTCAATTTTACTTCGGAAGGGACTTCATTCCAGTGTAGGATAAAACTGCATCTCTATACAGTTTGTATATCGGTTTGTTAGGTGGGGTAGGATCCTTCAGAATGAAAGTAGCTGTATAAATGTGCAACATTATTATTATGCTTAAGGTTTTATTGGAAAGTTTCCAAAGTGCACTGTAACCTGCCATGTCTTTCTTGTACTGGGCATAAATAATTGATCAATAATTATCTCATGTAGTCATAAAATTAATCACCTAAGTACTATACATGGGGACTAATGGTGATGAGCATGGTATAACAACCGATATAGAATAGAACACAACACAGGAATTATCCTGGAATTTCTGTGGTAAGGTAGATTCTGATATGAAGAAAAATGTTACTTGGTGGTAATTAATCTTTTAATTATGGTATTTGATAACATATGATTCACATAGAATCATGTATTTACTTTGAATTTTACTATGTAATTGTAAGGGAATTCTGTGTGTCTTGATAAATTGCAGGGTGACACTTATTGTAGGTTGAACAATAAACTGTGATGCCACAGTCCTGCATATTACACTAATTATACTTAGTAGATCCAAATGCAATTGCCACGCAATCAAATTTATGTTTTAAAAGATGGAAATGATCATATATTTGCCCTTTAATATTGAACTTTGCCATTAATCTGAGCGGACATGTTAATTACTATGTAATTAAACAGTGAACACCTTCCCATGTAATCAAAGCAAGGAGAATTTGTATATAATCAGTCCCCATTCATTCTAAAACCTTAGCAATAAAAATGATATTATAGAGACTGATCCAGCACACACTTATTCAAGTAGGTAGCCACACTGACTTCACTGGGGCTGAAAGGGTTTTGTAGACTCTGGCAGTGTTTTAAGAATACATTAAATAGTGATGCATTTCCTTATGATGACATTTAACAGAAATGTTGCATTGCCATGAAATGTACCAGTGTGGCCATATTTTGTGTAGCCATTCAATATTGCTTTTATAGCTTTGGTTACTTAACATCTTACAATATGGTCTATTATAACCGGAGGCAGGACGCCAAATGGGCCAAATTTCGGGCCCGATTGTGATCTTACACCAATTTTTAAACCAGTGTAATTCCACTAATTTCAGAGGCATTACCTATTTTACACCAGCATTAGGAAAATCAGAGCCGGGACTTTTACTCTCGGTTATACAGATGCAAATCTTTAGTCACTTCACTGAGCAGAATGAGAGCATGATGACTTCCCAGGACTTCGAGGGAAGTTTCTCCTAAAAGCTCTATCCTGAGAGATATCTAATGCCTTGACAGATTGGGCTGGTGAGTGAAAACTTCAGAGTTAAATTTAACACACAATGAAAAAAAGAGAGGTTTGGGTGTTCACTACCATCTCTGACCAGGAACATAAAGATGCCAAATGGCTGTTCCGTAGCCCCACTTTGAAAATCCCAGCCTCTGGCCTGTATGTTCTATTCATCGTCCTATTACAAGAGTGTCTATAGTCTGATGTGGTTTGTCAACAGGTGTGAGCAGGGCAGGACCGCTGTGAATGCTGCGTTCATTTCTTACCTGCGGGCCAACAACACCTGGAGGGCCTGGAGGACCTGTCTTGCCTTGGAAACCCTGTTTTAAAAAGAAAAATGAATCATGATTAGCCACAAGACATCGTAATACAAGAATCTCAGCATGCTACTTGAGTGTATCAAGCTCAGCATGCTCTGATAAAACTTACTATAAAAGAATGGAAATCCCCAAAGACAATAAAAGGAGGAAATCAAACAGGAGATGGGAAATATCTTTCTATTTATTCATAGGGGCAAAACAAGAAAAAGAGATTATCAAACCCTTTCAGCTATGGCTGTGATTCCTAGGGGAAACACTCAGTAAAGGAACTAGTTGTTTATAATATACAGGGCAAATCCTCAGTGGGCAGAAATCAGCAGAGCTTTATTATTTCAATGGCACTACGCTGATTTACCCCATCTGAGGATCTGGCCTGACATATATATTTGTAAAACACTTTTCCCAGAATCTGTGAACCTGGCGGAGATATTAAAAAAGAAATCTTCATCGGTGTTAGCAATAACAAGTGAGATTATTAAAGTTGAAGGAATTTTAAAAATCGAATTCCCTTTATTCCTATTTCTTATGCTGTTGGTTTCTGTTTTGTGCTCCACTCAGTCCCAGCTTTGAGACTGAACTGCTGCCTTTCACTTTCCGCATACAGTCAGTTTCACTTCCTGGTTCTAACGGAGTAGCACAAGGATGTGGTGTTTGAGTTTCCAAATGCTATTTACTTTTTTTAATCAACATTTGTTGCAAACAAACCAGAAACACATTTCTCTTTGTGTCTTTCTGAAATTATATATGGAAATCTTGGCAGCTTCCAGTTGAAGCTGTTTAATGCAGTCCCTTGAAAAATTGCGAAAACATTCTTCTCTCCTTTCATAGATGCAGAGGTATTCTTGGACACTTACTCTCTTGTGGGCGCTACAGGTGAGCAGTACCAAATTCACAAATTTTGAAGGCCCTTGTTCAGCAAAATTAATACAGCTCAGCTCTGAAGCATGCTTTAAAAAACTCCTAATCCACAATGTCACGTGTTGCATGTGCATGCAAGTAACTTCTATTGACACAGGACGGAGTATATGATACAAATAACTCCACTGACCTCAACGCGAGTTATTCACACTAGGAGCAAATGATTTAAGTTGTTATTTAAGGAGCAACTACAGTCCATGTACTGTAGCCACCAAGACTGTTTCTGAGATTTCCTAGGTCACAAGGTACCTCGGTAATTCTTCAGAGGATGCACAACTGACATTTATTCTGTAGCCTGCATTTGTGATTAATCAACATTATTTTTAAGGGTCTTAGATGGAGCTTCCGTCTGCCACAGAAGATGGATAAATATGTTTTAAACCAACACTACTCTGACATGCTAGAAAGCTACTGAGAACAACTCTAGATGCTTGCAGATCACAGAATGTGTGGTGCAGTTATGGGAAAATGGTAAGCATTTCCCACAAAAAATAAAAATCACCAAATTTTGGAAAATGCAAAATATTTCAGCCATCTCTACATTTTTTTTTTTGAGTAAGAAGGGGGGTTTTCTCCAGGTCCCTGCCTGAAACTTGAACAAGGATCCCTATGATTCTCCCCATTTTATACACCTCAAATTATAAACCTGACATCATGACCAAGTATCCAAAGATGCTTCAGCATCCCTAATGCATGCAGGACTGAAAGGGAAGTGGACTATGGACCCTAACTGGGATCTCTTGCATGCAGGTATAGAGTGCTCCAGCCCAGCTACCAGTTTGGAACCATTATTTCATCTGTTTTTCTGTTTGTCTCCTCCTACTTCCCATCCCTTTCTCATAACGGCATAAGGAAACAGACCAACAATGAAAAAAAGTTATCGGAATTAGTTTAATAATATAGATTTGGTCAAGTGCATTAATAGTGAGAATTCAAGCACCGTGATTTCAAGCACCGTGCTTGCCAGTTTAGTGTACAGTATGAGTGATAAAAATGGGCCTGCAAGAATTTGTGCTTGTACAACTAAAGGCACAACATTGGAGGTTACTTCTGCAGACTGGCCCTTGCGTGAATTGTATGTTTGATCCCCTAGCAGAGTATACAACAAACATTAAACCTGAGGGGCTTGTGCCAATCAAAGGTGAATTGAAATGTTTTTTTCTCAAAGCAATTGCCTAGTATAGGCAAAGCATCAGCAGAATAAGATGAAGAAAACTACAGATAAATAAGGTTTTGAACAAGTTAGTTGAAAGCCAATTGTTCCTTCATTTACATGCCAAGCGTGGAGTGTGATGCTCTGTTGGGTTTTTCTACAACAGCTGATGACATCAGATGCAAGCAAAATAAAGACTGCAGCGTACTTGAATTCAGGTGTCCCTCCTGGAATTATTGATGATGTCAGAGAAACTAAATGCCACCTTCCAACCTCAGCAGGGCAAAATCTTTCAGTTCACCTTTACATTAATCTGAGAATATAGCTTTACTGATCTAAAGTACCATGTTTGTCACTACAAAGCCACTCTTAACGACTGTACATAAATGTATAGCGTTGCACGTCACAGTATTTGCATTGATGTGCTTATCCAAATGCCAGGCAAATTAATTAAACTTTTCTGTGATAAGTCAGGGGGAAAATGCATAATATGCAAAGCCTTTTTAAAGCTTATCTGCCAGGAAGGGCAGGGAAGAAAAATGCAAAGCTCAGTAGAGAGGTTTTATTTCTCCCGTAAATGAAATACCAAACACACGGCCATCTATCTGCTAGCATGCAGCATGCAATGTTGATTGAAGCATAATTATAACAGTAGCAAATGAGTTGGATCATCAGCAGCTGAAAAAAGGCACCCAAAAGAGGCAAAACAGAAAGTTATGAATTACTGCATCCAAAAATTTACATTGGAAGAATATACATTTTTGCTGCAGAACATCCTTTATGCAAACTTTCCCAAAGGACAAAGAAAACAGAGCCATATTTTCATACCTTCTTCATGCCTCATCATTCTCCTTTGGTGAGAAACAATGCTTACATCTGCACAATAAAATCCTTTAAAATTGATAAAGCGGTATGCATATAAAGAGAGAGAATACACAACAGGGCAACTAGACAGCCAGGAGCCACTCCTTGAGTCACAGCCACATTTAGCATATGGTTATCTTGAAGGCTTGGGCAAAACTTTGCCTGGTCCCCTTGAGTTGCTTTAGATAAAGGGCAGCATCAGTGGAGATGCCATTCTTACTAGTCTGCTAAAGCTGGTAGATGTGAGTGTGCTGCATACACGGGCATGTACAGAAAACAGACTTCTTACTGAGTTCCCAAATTCCCATTGACTTCAATGATGCCAGGATTTCACCTTCCTGATTAAAATGAGCAAACAAAACAGCCAATAATTTTGGCCACGACTAGCCTTCCTCCAGATATGCATACACCAAAACTGCACTGGAATTCCCTATTGCTGTGCAATAGTTCTTCATGCTGGTAGTGTGATGTACTAAGGAGGAAAAGTAGAATTTATTCCAGCGTTCTAGGTGGAAGAACAGATAGAAGTGCTGAGAAAACTGACCATTGAGCTAAGCAACTGTAGTGTTAAATATTTTCCTCTGATGAAAAGGATGAATCCTATTCAAATTAAAACATGTGATATCACAGACCTCGAATAGCTTTACAATGTAATCAGAGCACAGACATTTTAAAATTTGGGAAGTAATGAGAGAGAGAGAGAGAACATGGACAGTTTCCATAAAAGTCCAGCAAAGAGCTGTCCAAAGAAATAGACTCTCTTTCTCCTCTTAAGTGGCAAAGGCAAGATCGGAAGTGTAGATCATTGGAGTTACAGAGGGAGTATGACCATTGGGACTGCATGGAAACCAACTGGTCTGACTTTGCATCTTTTTCTCCATTTTCCTATACTATAAAAGCAAGTGCCAACAATATGATAATTTCTTTCTTGTGTTATTCTGTTGATACAAAGATGACCTCAGCAAATTTTTACCACTTTAGAGTGGAAGTTGAAATGTCCTAATCAGAAGTCAATACTCACTTACCTGATCCTGCAGCTCTTACACATGCAAATTTTCCATTGATTTAAGTGCAAGTTATAGAAGTGTAAGAGCTGAAGGATTGCTTTCAATGTATCTGTTTGCTGGTGTCTTCTCTATGCATGACATAGAGTGATGGGGGAAGGGGAGGGAGAAAGAGAGAGAAAGAAGCAGAATGGGTGGCCTTCCTGCAAATCATCATTAGACTGATCTGTCCTGCTCAAAAAGGTGTTGATTCCCATAGACCTTCCCGTGTAGTTGAAGAAACACAAACCGTTGGAATAAAACATGTGGCAACATCTCCTCAGCTACACAGAAGGGTTTAGATGAACCAACCAGCGAGACAGACTCAGGACTAATGATCTACCCAAGGTTTCCAGCTACTTACAGTTTCACCTCTCTGTCCGGGGTGACCGGGCAATCCATCCTTCCCTGGTGGACCCTAAAGAAGAAAAAAAGAACGACAAGGAATTTGAACAGGTTTCCAATAGTACCCTGCTAAATTGTACCATAGTGGTTGGTGTGTGTATAGCAGTACCAACGCTCTCCGCCGGATGGAATCAGATCTGCTCATGTGTTTGGACCCAGTCCTCCAAAATGCTGAGTATCCTCAACTCCCATTTGTTTCAATGGGATTTGGGCTCATTCAGAGCCTTGCAAAAGCTGGCCCTTTTCAACAGACCCTCCAAAGATGATGAAACCAATGGAGAGTCTTCCTTTCGATCAAAAGGTGGAGAATAGTCCTGACTCCACCAGAGGCAAGGAAATCAACCCCCAAAAGAGCTTCTCTGGGCATATCGCTGTTGAAGGAGTAAAGGTGATGCAAAGAGAGGGCTGATGGCTTTTAAACATTATTGAGTCCTTAGGGAGTGGATTGTGTATTACTAGCAGCATCTTGTTTGGTTAGTTAAAATCCCAAGCTGTTGTGCTATTAACACGGGTGCCTCGCAAATGCCTTTCGTTGGGTATGTAACCACTGGTCAGTGAAGAAGTTAAGACTGAATTGGTGAAGGTGATAGCAGCTGGATGGAAAATGCCCAGCATATTTCTTTGCTCATTCTGGAAGTGGTGTTACTTACAGGGGGGCCTTTTGGTCCAGGAAATCCAGTTGGTCCTTGAGGTCCTGGCGGTCCCTGGGATGCAAAACAATCCAGTAAAAGTGCATTAGACGTAACACACATTTTACTGTGAACTAGTTCAGGAGTTTGGAAAGCAAATTGACAAGAGACATGTAGCACTAGCCCTGCAACCAAAGAAACATCAGTAACATGCATGCAGTAACTGAGTAAACTTATCCCTTAACGGAAGTGCATGAATGAATAAATACCTCTGGGCAAAAGTACCAAAGCCTTTGGTCTAACTGGAAAGGAGGTTGTAAATGATACGTGGGTCTTTAGGCCTGTTGATCCCCTCCCCCCATTTCTGCAATGAGATCTTTTCCCACCAGGATTGACGTGGAAGGGAGCAGGTATCAAACTCTGTAGCTCAACTACGTTATGAAAAGACTTACTAAAACAAATTGGTCTGATGACTTTAGGGCCATTTCCCTCTGCAACAGTTTAAGCTCCAGTAATTCAGCATGTTTACAGGTTTCAGTTTGGCTCTTGCCTTTTTTTTTTTGGACATCAACAATTCCCTCTCCGCCCACTCACACACAATGTCAAATGTGGGGGTCTGTAACTAAAGAATATAGACATCGTTTTATGTGAGGAAGATGAATGCAATTTTGTTTTGCCCTTGGAAAAGGGACCCAGGAATTCTAGAGGTGCCATGTCTCCACAGAACTAGAGCTCAGTTTGGTTAATGGACGACTGTGGATAGCTCTTCTTCCCTCTTCCTTTTCACCATGGGTGACCTTCATCCCTACAGAGTTCGGCACCCTGACAATACACCACTGAAGTCTCGCTTCAGCCCTCTATTGGAGGGATAAATGGGATTTAAGTGGTTCCTAGGCTTTGTGCTGGCTGCCTGCACAGGGGTGAATTTCATCCCTTATTTTTAACCAGAATTTCACATTTTTGAATGACTTTTGGTGAGCTGTCCACAGATCCCAGGTTCAGGTAGGTACTGGCAGGACTCAAGGTCAGTTTTGTGGTTAAAGATGGCCTGTTCTAGGCATGCTTTTTCTTCTTTGCTAAAGGAACAGCCGTTTCAATTGTTTCCGCTGTAGCTACATCTGGATTATCTTACCCTTTCGCCAGGAGGACCAGGGGGCCCATCACCACCAGAGTTGCCCTTTTAAGAATAAATAAAACACGGTATTAACAATCATTTCAGCCACTTCACACAAAGCTCCTAAATGGCACCAGGCGAAATGGGGCCATCACTCAGCTTCTGTCCCTGATCCTCCCCACCTCTTTATTAATAATACTGTATTGGAAACAATGGCCTATGACAAATGAGCAACAGACTGATTCACCTCCCACCCGGCTGGCCCCCTCCAAACCCTCGCATTTCTGAATACAAATATAGAATAGATAATGTCAGTGGGCTTAGGAGATTTCTACCAGATAATAGTCTCATTCTGTGAGATAAATGCTGCGGCAAAGCAGAGGTACTTATCAAAAATTAATGTTGACACAAAGCCGAGACGTTTATTTTTAAAGCAGCCAGTGCTGCTGCGACAATGTTTCATTACAAAGGCTTTATTTCCATTATGCCGAGTGATTGATATTGACTTAATCAGTTTATCTAGCGGATTCTGGCACAGCAGAGTGGCTTGCCCATGGTGTAATTGACCCTCCAACTCCTGGTTGGCTTAGAGAACAATGCCTATTGCATGCGCCAGCCAATCGGAGACCATCAATCGTCATAAACAGCACTGTTTTGTTTAAAGAATTATACAGTTGTGGTCATCTGAATCGGTTCCTGTTACCCTACGGTGAAATTTGCTCCTTTGTAGAGAGGCTAGTAAAAGGTCTATGCATCATCTGAAGTTCTACTTAAGTCCTCACAGAAAGGCTTAAGTGGGATTTGGGCTGGTCCTCAGCACGGGGGTGAATCTCACCATGGGGGAATAAAAGCTCATGAAGGAATTGAGTTCATGCACGAAAGGCACACACTCTTCCCCCACCACATTTTCAGGAGTCCGTAACTATCAAGATACCTTACACCCATTTTACAGTCGTGTGTCGGGTAAGGAGTCAAAGCGTTTAAGACCAGCTGAAGTCTGGGGACCGGACTAACACTCTGAAGCCTGATTTTGTTGTTAAGGAGCGTTATGCCCACCTCAAGACTGCAAAATAAGGATGCTGGTTTGTTGTTTTTTTAAGAATTTTTATCAGGGAATAATGGACGTGACTAGCTGACAAATTCTGCTTATTATGTAAAGAAGCATTAAGTAATAATACTACATAGCACTTCTATTTAGCCTTCTCTCAAATGATTTCAACATGAGTTAATAACACAAATTAATTAAGTCTTCCTATAACCCTGTGAGGCAGGTGAGAATTATTATCCCATTTACAGATGGAGAAACGAAGGCAGTTTACATGACTTGCCCAAGGTCACATTTTTGGGTCGGTGGCAGAGCTGGGAATAGACCCCAGGATTCCTGTCTCATAGTCTCTAACCGGGAGACATTTGGTTGGGTAATGATTGTTAGTTACTCCAGCCTTTCATAGTGGAACATTTTCTCAGGAGGAAAGGAATATGGATAGTACGGGACCAGGAATTTTACACACAGCTATTTCTTAAAACACAATGATATTTTCAATTACACTCAAAGGCTCCTAAAACCTACCTTAGGGCCAGGCTTTCCAGTGCTGCCCCTCGGACCTCTTTCACCACGTGGACCCTTAAAAAGACACAAATGAACAAGTCATCAAACGTTCCAGCACTTCCTGCTGCACAAGCGCGATTTTGATTCTCAGGCCCTGATCTAGCATAGCACTTAAGCACGGGAGTAACATTAAGCCAATGAGTAGTCCCACTGAAGTCAACGGGAGGACTCATGAGTTCAAATACTTTGCTAGATAGAAACCTTAGCCTGGGCCAAGGAAACCAGGTTTGGCTTTGGTAAAATCTCAGTAGTCAATTTACCAAAGCAAAAGTCAGGCTCTAGGTTCCACTACCCCCAAACCATCAAAATCAACTAAAGAGACGAATCCTGCTCACTTTATTCACAGGAATAGTTCTAGAGACTTCAATGAAACGGCTCACATGTGTAAAACATGCAGGGTTCGGATCAGAAGGTTTCAGTGACATACATCTCTATAATGGTTTGGATCTGGGTTCCAATCTACCTGAACCACCGACGTTCATGGGAGGTGAGGGAAAGGAAAAAGAGAGGAATTACACTAAAAATATTCCAGTTCTGGCCCATCTCCATTTGACAGACACTGTCGAAAAATCAAGGAGGGAATTAAGGTGGTTCATATCCTCAGCAGATGCAATCAACACAGGTCCACAGAAGACACTGGATGAAAGCCTGGCTCCACTGAAGTAAATGGCAAAACTCCCATTGACTTCCATAGGACCAGAATTTACATTAGTTCAGGACCTGGTGCCAGTGTATGTTTTATATTTTTAAGTGGAGATGAGCCACATTTGGAGACCTGGGTTTCAAACTTTCCTAAAATCTAAGGGTTTGGTTTTGGTTTTGGTTGGCCTTTCAGATGGACAGGAAACAGTTTGCAAAATTCAGATCTAGATCTATATTTCTAACACCCCCAGTTGCAGGAGTGAGATCTGGGGTTTTGGTTTGGGTCTTCCACTATGGGGAGATTTCTAGACACAAAGGTGCCTAACTCCTAATGGTTTTCACTAGAATTAGGGCACCTACCTAATTCTTCCACCCACATGTATAATCTTAGAAACATGCCGTTGAAAGGTATTGTTAGGAAAAATGCATGATTACCGTTGGACCTCGTTGCCCCCTTGGACCTGATTTGCCAGGCGTACCCTGGAATCAAAGAGAAGAAGTCTGTAACCAATGACACAACATTTATGGCTGTGCTGCAGCATTCATTCAATGGCCGAGCCTGCATGGAATGAACACATCTGTAGGGTCACTGAACAGGAAACAAGCAGAAGATGGGCCCCAGCAGCTTCTGTGACACAATTTCCTTTTGATTTTTGTTTTCAATAAAAGGAAAACAAGGGTTATGCAGAGTGAATAAATACATTTATTTGCCTTTTGTGATGTTTGAACAGGCTAGATTGTAATATGAATGCTCTGATGAAACTTGACATGATAATTGGAACTGGCGGGTAGAACATGTGTTTTTCTCCTCTCTAATCTATACTGATGCACAGGGGGGTATTATCTTTCACAGAGGGATATGTTTTTTTTTTTTTTTAAATCTTCTCCTGCTCAAGAGTCTCTCTTTACATGCCTTACAATGACATAACGAACAGGTAAATCCAGAGGAACAGCTAATTCTAGAGCTGGTCAAAGAAATGTAAACCTATTTCTACAAAAAAACTGTTGATGTCTGAAAGTTGTTTTCATTCCAAAGCATTTGAAATGGGTTGATTTGGGGTTGTTTCAAATTGCTTTTCATCAAATGTTTGCTTCTTTTTGCTTTTAAATACTGCAAACATTATCAAATTAGGTATAAAACTTTTTAAATCTACCAATCAAACCATTTCTAATATGCTTTGGTAGCACTGTTGATGGAAAAAAAGGCACTTTTTTGTTTAGAAAAATGTTGACAATTTTTTAAATGAAAAAAGTCATTAAAAAAGGCCATTTGTCCATGAAAGAAATTGCAGTCTCTAGGACAGTCAAAGCAAATCCACTTTGGATCAGGCCCCTAGAAAGGATTCTGGCAGAACATGGGGAACAGCAGTTAAATGCCCAGCTGATGTGTCTATATCCTGACCTGATGAGACCACCTTCAGAGGACAGGGGACAGTTTATTCTCCAGGCCTATTCAAGTTTTTGGTCTCTTTACCAACTAGAATGCCAGTTAGTACCAGCTGCAGTCATCTGTCCAAGAAGGACTGGTTTCTGTCCACCAATGCATCTCACTCCAGTGAACAGTCACCAGGTGGAAATAACTGTTGGACTAGATCTGAATGGGTGACCTAGTGTGAAAAACACAGTATCCTGTTACAGGTTCTTGCACCAGACAGTCCCTTTCATGAAATAGCAAATAAACAAAGTTAAAGAATAAGCTTAATTACTTACAGCAGCTATTTCACTGATCGCCTCTTTTCCCTTTGCATCTACTGCATTGCACCTTGAAAGCTTGTATTTTCGCCAGGCAATACTAAACAACGGTGGGCTGCATTGTATAGATGCGTGAAGGCGACAGGTTGATTTAAGTGGATGTGGGTAAGACTTGTGTAGTTAAATATTTAGAAATGACAGCAGCAGCGCTGGAACCCTGACCTAGGCAATTATTTTATGCAACACAAGCCAATTAAGCTGCCCCACATATTCACACGCCTTTCTTCATCTTTGCAGACTTGGTACTAAATAAGTCATTTAAGACACTGTTTTTGCAGCAGTGACACAACAGCAGGCTTATGAGATCTGACAGATGAACTCAGTTTCCTGTAATAGGAGACTATAATTAAATCAGACAGGAAAAAGACAGAGACGGCTGGGTCCTAAATCTAACATCATATAAAACTCCATTACCATGTGCCTAGAAGAAAAGGAGTGGCCTTGTTCTTTCTCTCTGAAATCCATGTTCTGGCTAATGTCAAGTGATCAACAAACCAGCAGTGAGTTGAATGTTCTTATTTTGGACCAGTGGTCCAATATTATAACTGGGCATAACATTCAGAAGGCAGAGAATGAGTGACATTTCTCTCATGTTGGCATTATAGGTGCTTAAATTACTGCTTGTGGTTTTCTGCCCAAAATCCACCACTTACAAATCTTGACTTTACTTATTTGGCATTTATTAACCATCAGAACAGGTGTTAGAGCATGTTTGGAGTCAGTTTGTTTTTAAGTCTACTAAAATGAGCCATGTCGTATTCTGCTTGTCATAAATTCACTTTTCCTAGAATGATCATCACAGTAACACTTCAACAACAACAACAAAAATGAAGAAATTTCCTGGCTGGCTTCTCTTTAAATACAGTGGGCTAAATTCAGACATGGTATAAGTGGGTGCATACATCCCCATTGCCGACTATCCCATATGATCCTTTGTTAAAACTGTTGAAGTTATAAACAATTTTTGCACTGCTTTTCGCTATGGCTAATCATTTATACAACACTGTGTATTGGTATTGCTGTTACTAATCATTTATATAGCACTGTAAGGGCACACCGGCCAAGTTTTTCAAATATGTATGCCCAAAACAATCCACCTAGAACAAGATTATTATTTAGGTACCTTTAGACATGGGTTTCAGAAGTGCTGAGGACCTACAGCTCCTATTGGATGAGGATAATCTGCTAGGACTTCTTGTTCCCCCTACTGAAAGCTGTGGGGACTCACTGACTCTGAAAATCAGCAAAGGTGGGTGGAAATTTTTCGATTAGACTTTTTTTGTTGAAACCGAAATTTTCCCCAGAAACATAACGGTTCAAGAGAACTTTCACTGAGAAGATTTCTGAGGTCCAGGATGGAATTTCTGGTCCAAGAGAGAGACCACAATAGCCTGGTGTTTAGGGAACTCAGTCGAGAGGGGAAAGACTCAGATTTAAGTCCCTGCTCCAAATCGAGCAAATGGGAACTTGACCCATCGATCGCATACCTCGCGGGTGCATACTCTAACCACTAAGCTATTAGCTATCCTGGAGCACATCTTTCTTGCAAAATATTTTAAAATGTCATAATTTCATTCTACATCAAAACAAAAACAAATCCAAAAACCTCAACCTTTTCTGCACAAACAGAATTGTTGTTTTCCAGCCAGCCCTATAAATCAAGCCACTTATTTGGGTGTCTAAATATGGATTTATGGTGAGATTTTCACACTGCCTAAGGGAGTCAGCGAATCAATTTCTACTGGCTTTCAGCGGGAGTAGGAGACAACTGTTTTAAGTGCTTTAGAAAAATCCCACCCTTTGGTGGCCAAATTGGAACATGGTGTTGGTCAGTGAGTCTAATCCCCTGAATCAGGCTGCATCATGTGAATAGAGGTTTGCAGCCACCAAGACAACTGAAATCCAAACTCAGAGCACGTTTGTAGAAACAAGCCCTTGTTGAAACATCCGTGCTTCTCTCCAGACCACTCAAGATCTTAATAAATGTATTTATTTGTATCATTTATAATTTGTTTAGTACAGGAGTGAACACAGGACCTGGCTGTGACCTGAACAGTAATAAAGACAGCGCCAGCCCCAAGCACTTCCAATCTGTGTGTTATTAGAATTTATGATTTGTGGTAGCCCCTAAAAGCTACCGCCGAGATTGTGCTAGATGCTGTACATGCACAGAGTCAGACACATTCACGGCCCCAGTGAGATTACAATCCAAACAGACAAGGCTGGGGAAAAGGCAGCATTATTATTCCCATTTTATGCATGGGGAAAATGAGGCATGAAGAGTTTAAATGACTTGCCCAATGTCACAGAGGAAGTCTGTGGCAGAACCAGGTATCAAACCCAGATCTCCCAAGTCCCAAACCATAAAAGCCATCTTTTTCCTCAATACCAGCTGAAATAGTCTCTAACTCAAGGCTAGAAACCAGGCTACCCTGAGAAATCCAGGTATTTTAGAGGGTTGTTTGCTTGACTGTTGTGATTATTCTAAACTCGTTTCTTTTGCGTACCAAGGAAGCAGTGATTTGAATGAGGAGAGTGCTGGGGGGGCGGGGGGCTGTCAGAGGAATAGCAGAGTCAGGGGACAGCTGAGAGGAAGCTGCAGAGATGGGAGTACCGGAAAGGAACACATGGGGTTTCCAGGCTGGAATCACTGGTGGAGCACATGGACCTGTTGACTAATGTGACTTTTTCTTAAAAGGCATTGATGATTTTTCATTTGTTCTGAGTGCGCTTGATTCCAAATCCGTTTGGTCCATTGGGAAGGATGGAGATACAAATAAATGCTACGGTGTATGTTTTAGTCCCTGTGCTTGCTCTCTTTGAAATGCCAGCCTTTCTTCTTGAATAACAAGGCAGCCTCCCATTCCTTTAACAAAATCAGCTCAAGGTCTTTCCCAAAAGAGATGGATTTAGGCCCTATTTGCTGAACTGATTAGTAGTACAATTGCACATCATTATTCAGTGGGTTTGACCTAGACCTCTCTGAAACATTGCTTCTTACTGAAGCTCAAAGGAAATGTATCTGCCATACAAAACAGATCTTAGATGAAGCTACTGTCTAATGAGCATGCTGCCTGCTATATGCACTTGTCAAAACTATCAATATATTTAACATGCTAGAGCTAAAGGAATTCATAAGAAGTCAAAGGTCCTTTTTTCTGAAGCTTTCATGGTACTGTTGTATAGTTTAAACAGTTTAAACAGAGGTCTCTCAAGGGCTGAAAGCTTTCACATCTCTGTATGTTTTCAACAGCATTGGAATTTAGCGGTCGGCAATGGGGGTCAGAGAGGTAGGCAGGTTCTGCAGTTGGTGCTTCTATGTTTCATGTGCCTTTTTTTTTTTTAAATGACTCAAGAAGCCATTTGGGTAGCTTAAATAATGAGAGTTGGAAAGACTATTTCAGTCCCTGCATGATGGAAATGCCATAGATAGTTGCCAGAGGCAAATGCAAATAATAAATACATAGAAAATCATGAAAATCAAACACAAAATCAATTTGGATTTATTCCAATTGACCTGTGAGCTACACCCAAATGCAACGGCCTAATAGGAAAGGAAATCTGTCATTTACATTACTATTCCCTTGTCACTGGTGCTGGGGGTCTTTCTTCAACCACACAGGGTTCAGGGAAGCTATACATATCATCATTATTGAGCCCAGCAAATACTGAATATATTTGACCAGAGATGCTTTCTTAGAGCAGTGCTCCTAGATTTGATTTCACGTACTCCATGTTCTGTTGTTATTTTAATCAATAAACCAACGTCTTCCTTGGGAGCTGATTATTTTGAGTCAAGCTGACTGAAAAACACCAAAACCCGTGAAAATTTTCAGCCGTGTTTCACAAATGCATCCAGCTGTAATTTTGAGGAACCCAGCAGTTCTGGATGTACATTAGGCTGTTTCATATAAAGAACAGATTTGGCAACAAGTGCACCGCTCCTCGCAATACGTACATACGCTCAGGGATAGAACTAGCTTGAACTGCTGAACAGTTTGTAAAGATGGTTTAAAAGGACGAACTGAATGCAGGGCAAATAATAGATGGTGTGGCAATAGAGCCCAAAAAGTGACCATGTAAAAACAGCCTCTTCTTACTTAACAGAGTTGATCCCAGTAGGTGGAATTCACCCCAGTATGAAGCCTACAAACCATTTAAGTTCCATTTAAATGCTTCTTGAAGGCTTATGTGGGCATAGGCCTTGGGCTGGCTTTCCTGCATATAGCATTCACCCCTTGTCTCTTCAGAGTCCTAGCTACCCTTTTTACTGCTGTCTGCCCTGTATAGCCAACTAGCCATGGAAGGGTATCGATATCAGATTTGTTAGCGAAGTTTCAAACACAAACTCTCAGTACTGGTGATGACATGTTGGCCGGGTTGACTGCAGCTTAACTTTCCCATGCCAGGAGGCGTTTCAACTACAGAAGCCATCTTTTTTTAACGTGTAAATTGAACAGCTTAGATCTGGACTTGCTGCGACAATAAACAAGGAGTTGCACACTGTCACTGGGAAAGAATCACTCTTCAGAGCACAAACTACCACCTTTTTTTAAACAGGCCTCAGTTTTGCACATTCATGTCCTCCTTTTCATGGACGATGAGTCAGGAGAGTTTAGATCTCCCCTCCTGGCCACTCCTTCCTTGGCCCTTTCAGTGTTTATATGGTCAGATTTCAACCTGAACCATCATAGGTCTTGAAATATGTCTTCCCGCCTTTTGAAAGAGCTCATCCAATTTGACAGTAATGCAAAAAAGGTGGAGCTGGAGATCATTTCTGGAGCACTGGGGAAAAAAAAAAAACCTTCAGCTCTGTCTAAACCGAAAGAGTTATCAGAGCGCTGGAGATAATTGGGTGGTGCTTGCACTGCTGGCTTGGTCCAACTCCACATTGCATGAAAAGTGACCTTAAAAAGTTTGTGAACCCAGCAATCCCATTGTAACTCCTGGTGGAATAAAATTAGCAAACGAAACTAAGGGGGCCCAGATCCTCAGCTGGTGTAAACAGGATTGGCTTCCTGCAACTACCATGCTGCTGTGTCAATTTACACCAGCTCAGGATTCTGGCCCTGGGATTTTCTTTTTGCATTTCAGATAGGCGGCTTGGTAATTACAGGGCCACGCTGACTTCTCGCCTGTCAGGAGAGCCACCTTATTCACGCCTCCCCCCGTCCCAGTACAGCCGAGTGGCTCAGCAACTGAGTCCCTGCCAAAGCGGGGTGGGAGGGAAAAGGAGACAGATTTGTAGTTCGCAATCAGGAGATGAAAATTACTCAGTGGAAGAAAAGAATAAAAAATCCCTCAAAGATATAAACTAAAATTAGGTGGCACAATATTAACGCTGTGCAAAGTGATTTATATTCTCTGCACTCCTATTCAACATGCCTGTTAAAAGTAATTTGTATTTAAATGAGAATAAAAGGGAAAGTAATGCTAGTCACTTTCCTAAACGTCCCCCCTCCCCCACCCCTGCCCTTCGTCACTGTGACAGATCCGCTGCACAGAATGACTTTCTACGTGTTCTCTGAATCATCTAACCCACGCTTGTGTTGCATGAAATAAACCCTTTATGTTAGCTAGCCAATGCCCTGATACTCCTTCATTACAAGTGATGGGCAAACATCTAGAGGCTTAGAAATCCGGGTGCATCGGGCTTGCAGGTGAGACACCCACATTTTAAGGATCTGATTTTGAGCTCATTTGCTGAGTTGTAAATCTGAGATCGCTCCATTGAGTAAAGGGAAGATTGTATTAGAGTTGCTCCAGATTCATGCCAGTCTAACTGATCTAGCTCCAAGAAGCTTATCTGAACCATTGAACACTTCTTCTGCATCATCAGACTGAGAAATGGGCTCCTCGATCAGCTTTCCGGTGCCTCCCATTTCTGTTTGGGTCAGGAATGCCATGTGGTGTTTCTGTTTACAAATAAGAGTGTAAGCATTTGTACCACACTAACACAAGTGGGTTCTAGTCGGGATCAATGCCATTTCATTATATATGAAAATATAAATGATAAATAATAACAGCAGCTCCCCCACAGGAATCAGGAAGTGCAGAGGCACCGGAAAATTAAAAATATATTTAAAAAAAACTTTCAACTCTGAATTTTGAACTTAAAATTAGGCTCCTGCTGGTCCATACTGCATCGGAACAGATTCACCCATCTCTAATAATTACTGTTAATTAAAAAGTTCCTCATGCCCTAAGCGGCATCTCATGGTGTGGGAAGGCTCAAGATTCAGAAAAAGCTCTTAGGCTAGGTCTACACTACAGCGGTGTTCCGACCTAAGATACGCAACTTCAGCTACGTGAATACCGTAGCTGAAGTTGCGTATTTTAGGTCGGCTTACCTGGTGGTGAGGACGGGGGAAAGCCGACCGCTGCCGCGCTGCCGCCGACTCCGCTACCGCCTCTTGTCGAGGTGGATTTCCGGAGTCGACGGCAGAGCGATCAGGGATCGATTTTACCGCGTCCTCACGAGACGCGGTAAGTCGATCCCCGATAAACCGATTGCTACCCGCCGGATCGGCGGGTAGTGAAGACGTAGCCTTAGACTATCCCGAGGGAGAAATATCCAGCGTTTAATTGACAAGCTGCTGTCTGCACTGTTAGTTGCCCTGTTACTGGAATCCCTCTCTCTCAATAGCTGAACTCAAGATCCTTTCTCTACTTTCGGCGCTTGCTGTTCCCAGAGTCAATTTTGATATCTTCATAGTGGCTTTCATCTCTTAGACTGAACCGGTGAGAGAGAAGAGGGTGTTCTTTGGTTTGCCATGGATAGGTGAGCTTCTCGTGACTGCAGAGAGGGTAACCTCCTCTTATGATCAGCTTTCAGTATGACACTATTTCCCTACTCACGGTGTACGTGCAAGTCTCTTGGTTTCTGTAGGAAAACCTAGGAAGAGACTCCAAGGAAGCTGCCCAAGGGTTATTAACACTCAGCTTTAAAACGGATCTTCTCAGCTACGGTTATGTCTACACTACGAGCTAGGGAGGTGATTCCCCCTGCTTGTGTACACATACTCACACCAGCTCTCATCGAGCTAGCGTGAGTGTAAATAGCTCGTAGCCCTGGGGGTGTCAGCAGAGGCCTGGCCTACCCGTGCTGAGTACAAACACACCGGAAGCTGGTGCACTCAGCACCAGCCATAGCTACACTGCGATTTATACTCGTGCTCAGTCAGTAAGAGCGTGAACGTGTGCACACGAGCAGGGGAATGCGACACAGCCTTAGCCACCAGAGGGAATGCAGTATCCATCTGGCAAATGAGCTCAGCTTTGCTCCATGCAACAAAGGTTCTTTGCCACACTCTATGCGGAGTCCATTCAGAAGGGCCAGTTTTCACTTGCCAGACATCTCTACCAGGTGGGGCTGGAGATTCTGAATGGCACAAGCCTTTCATGGATGGAGCATAGAATAGGCCAAAGTCAGCCCTGGTGAAAGCAGGCACAACTCCCCTGGAGTCAATGGAATTACAGCAGCACTGAATTTAGCCCAGTGTGTGTCCTGCTATGACATCACATTTATGATCAATTGTGACCAAAGGGGACTTCATCGCCAGGATTGAGGGGGCATGAGACAGAGAAGGCTCTGACTGCACCGGACTGGGCTAATGCATGTGAATATGTAAGGAATGACCCTGCTTAACATTTAGACACTGTAAATTTCCTAGGCAGCTGGTTTGTTGTGCCAGACACGTCCTGTAAGTGGCATGGAAATAGAATGAAAGGGGATTATGTCTAAGGACGTTGGGTGGCTGAGAGACAGGAGTCTTTTCTTTTCTTACTGAAAACTCCCAAGCTGGGTAATACAATGGCTCCGTCTGAGCTGACAAAGATTAATCTGGTTTTCATTAATGACTTTAGACCTTTTCGATGCTACGTTATCTAGCAGATATCTGGATTTCATTTTCTGCTTGTCCTCCAGCTCTGATCCTGTGAGCTCATTCACGGATACTGTATTTTCTCATGCTCTTTGCTCGATAGCATCGTTGATTGGAATAATCTCTTCAAGGGTTTAATCTCGAAGTTCACTGGGTTTTGTGTGAAAATCAGCAAAGCAGCCAAACAAAATGGCTCTTACCCTTCCACCCTTCTCTCCGTTGGCTCCTGGGAATCCTGGGAATCCAATTGAACCCTGGGGGGAAATAAATGAGAGAAGAGGGTACAATGAGCTGAAATTGGCACTGTTCTGGTCTACTATTTTAGAATGAGGGCCAGATCCTCAGCTGGTGTAATCTGGTGTAGCTTCATTGATTACGATGGGACTATGCAGATTTAATGGGCATCGGCTTCTGCAGTTACACAGGCTCATATTCGGCTGGGCTTGGGTGACAAATGGCTGGGCCACCCACTTGTGGCCATGCCCCTGGTAGGAAAGCTCACATCCATACTCCTCCCTCAGCCCCCTGTGGTCTTACGGATACCTTCTTGTGCTTACATGCCAGCTAGAACGTGGCCCTCAGTATATAAAGTAGGGGCATGAATATGGGACAATACTGCACACTGGCTTAATATGGTTAAGAAGTGGAACATGTTTTCAAATGAGTTGGTCCAATGTTCCTTACCCAGAGGGACATCATTGCAGGGTACCACAATAGTGATCACCTAGCTCTACCATTTTTAAAGCATTTCAGTGACTTGTGAGCCTAAGCCCCATTTTCAAAAGTCACTCTCGCATTTAGGAGCCTACGTCTGATTCAAAGCCAACAGGACTTGCGTTCTGAAGGGCCAATTTTCAACGGTATTTAGCTGTCTCAAGATGCAGAGAGATGCCTAATGGGATTCAAAAGCGCCTAAGGTGGTTAGGTACCAAACTTCCATTGGGTACCTAACCTGCTTACTCGCTTTTGAAAATCTCACTAGGCATCTCTCTGTATCTTGAAGTGCCTCAATACAACCACAAATTTGTCTCTACTTGCCTACATCATGGTGGCTCTCAGGCTCTCTGAAAAATGTTACCCCTAGTCTTTTCTTTTCCAATGCAACTGTACAGAGAGTAGCTGCTGTTGCTAGTTTTCAAATATGCGTTAGCTAAGAAATGCAAAAAAAAACCAAAAAAAAACCCCCACAAACACAAACACAAAATGCAAATTAAAAAAAAACAGGAAACAATCTTTTGTGGTTAATTATGTCTCCAGTGTCAAGCAAGCCTGTTTTTTCAAGCAATGAACATGAATAATAAAATATGATTCTTAGGGAAAAATTAATGTTAACAAAAACGTAAGTTCCCAAAGCCTCCAGGGCATGATAAAACCAGGCTGCAGCTTTTATTCTATGTAGCAGAACTCTCAGTTTTAATTTTAAAAAGAACATTTGACAACAGCCCAAATGAAGGTGGGCGTGTAGATGAGATACAGAGCATGCCTGCAATTCTGCAAATGGCACTTTTATTTTAATGTCAAGGAGACTTTGCCTCATTAGTTATGCTCCTTAATTAATTAGTTAACAGTAGTTCAGAGCTTTGAAGATGTAAAGCATAATATGGAGGCTACGTTTTTTTATTATTACAAGCCTAAAAGTGCACATGCACTTTGTTGATTTCTATATATCAAAGGGTTCCTGGAGAGCCCTACAGGGTGGTGGCCCACAATCTTTTCATTTTCCCATCCTCTCCCCCAAATGCTTCGCCCCCTACATTAACCGACTAAAGTAACATCAGAATCAATAATGTAAGCTACATGGCCTATTTACACCAGGTGAGAATCTGTCCCTCTTTTTTCATGTTTGTAAATTTCTCCCACATATGAGGTACCAATTCCAATCATTTGTTAGATGGTCTATATTATTCTCTAAAATCTGAGGAAGGCTGTGCATTAAAGAGTTAAAAATACATGGCAAAACCTGACTTTCCATTGCCTTACATTTTGGGTGGCCATTTAACCTGAGCAAAGTGATCGGATTTTCACTCATTTAGTACAGGTGTAATTGACTACACAAGGCATGGAGAGTCAGGCCTGTAGGGCATGGGGCCACTCATTTTACTCATGTAAACAGCCTCTACTGACTTCATACTTGGTTAAATACTCTGGATCAGTGGTTCTCAACCAGGGGTACATGTACCCCGGGAGTACTGAGAGGTCTTCCGGGGGTACATCAACTCATCTAGATATTTGCCTAGTGTTACAATAGGCTACATAAAAAGCACTAGCGAAGTCAGTACAAACTAAAATTTCATCCAGACAATAACTTGTTTATACTGCTCTATGTATTATACACTGCAATGTAAGTACAATATTTATACACCTCTACCCCGATATAATGCTGTCCTCGGGAGCCAAAAAATCTTACTGCGTTATAGGTGAACCGTGTTATATCGAACTTGCTTTGATCCACCGGAGTGCGCAGCCCCGCCCCCCCCGGAGTGCTGCTTTACCACGTTATATCCGAATTCATGTTATATCGGGTCGCGTTATATCGGCGTAGAGGTGTATTCCAATTGATTTATTTTATAATTATATGGTAAAATGAGAAAGTAGGCAGTTTTTCAGTAATAGTGTGCTCTGACACTTTTGCATTTTTATGTCTGGTTTTGTAAGTTTTTAAGTGAGGTGAAGACAAATCAGACTCCTAAAAGGGATACAGTAGTCTGGAAAGGTTGAGAGCCACTACTTTGGATGACATCCTCCACTGGTTGAATCAATGGTGCTATACTGATTCACACCAGCTGAAGATCTGGCCTTGTAGGTTTATAGTGATAGAACAGAAAGCTGAGTTCAGCCCATTTCCCGCAACTTCTCATAGATGATATCTGCCACGCTTCCTGGAGATGAGTTTAACAACAGTAAAATAAAAAATTACCTTTGGACCTTGCCTTCCTGGATAACCTGGGAGCCCTGGAACTCCGAGTTTTCCCTGTAATATAATTAAAAAACAGAATGTAGTGTGTATTTTGTGACTGTTTCACCACACCATTTTCAATGGTAATCTGGATTGTATAAGTAGGTTCAATAAAGGGTTGCATTATGCAAAAGGAAACACAGTAAGCTTCATAGTAGTTCAGATGTGAGATCAGATCACAGGAATACCATGAAGCTGAAGATACTTAAGAAGCAGTGGCACTGTCAAAAGCCCCTTCTCTGCTGGGAGAGGCCTTCTGTTTGATTAGGTTTGATTCCTCTCTCTCACGTACAGCAGGTCAGGACATTTTTTTTTCCCATGTGAAAAAATTTTAACAAAAAATTGGGTTTTACACAGAAAACCTGCCATAACCCTTAATATTTTCAAATCTGGAGGATTTCAACCAAAAACTCAACATTTTCTTCTAAAACCATAGTTTCGTTTGCAACAAAATCCCATTTTTTTGACAAAAGCTTGTGACCAGCTCCACTCTGGTGGTGTTGAACTAAAGCAGAGTGACTCTAGAGCTGGTGACGTCTGAACATGCCTGAGTCTATCCAGTGCAGCATGGCTGTATCCTGTGGGTCAAGTGCTTCTGTGTATATCAGGGATATCAAACAGCACCACACCCCAATGTCTTCAAACAAAATAGAGATCGGCCCAAAAATCCGCCTCACTTCCCCTCCAAAAAGAAGTCTCGTCTCAACCTCCAGACTCCCCCATCATCGGCCCTCCCGCCATCCACCAGAGGATATTCTGGGTAAACAGGTTGGTGCAGCACACTGTAAAACTGGGCCGGCCCTGGCCATTCTTGTCTGCTTTGACTGGGCATTGAAGGGATAGTTCCAGCTTTAGCACGGTTACCTTTTCCCCAGAAGGACCAAGAGGACCTGGATCTCCATTAGGACCTCCGCGACCTTTAGGACCTTCGGGCCCATCTTCACCTCGTGGGCCGGGAGGACCAATTTCACCCTGTTAATCAAAAGGGAAGTGATGATGAAGATGGCACTCATGCAATCTCGTGTCCCAGTGCAAATCACCTGAGGCTGGCAGGAACGTACACACGGCTATGTTCCGGCTCACCCTGGCGTCACTAAAACAATTTGCGGAGAAGTTAAACCTTTACCCAGTCACTGCTCAGACCAGATTGTTGTGCAGTAAATTAGAGTGTTATTAGAACAGACATGCTGCTTTCACTCACATAGCCCGGCTATTATGTCTCAGCACAGCAGTTTTTCCCTACACTCCAATTATCCTCTCTAATTCCAGCTCCCCTCCACTGAAATAGCTTTCATTAGGTCTGGCTCCTATGAACCCTTGTTTCTGCTTCCTGATCTCCAAACCATGGGTTTATACGCATGCAACCCCTGGGAGGTGTTACAATTTAGGGCCAATCTGAAAAACTGCAGAAGAAAGACTGGTATGAAAGCCTCAGCCTGAAAATCACTGGGAAATCAGGCTGAGGAACTGGCTTGGCTATTAGTTACAATAGACGTTTTCACAGTGGAAACACACAGGCAGCCTGATATTTTGCTCACAACTCACTGAGATGGCACCCTATTTGTCTGCAAAATTCTCAGGTAGCCCTCATCCTCAAGCAGCTTGGTATTTATCATAAAAAACAAACAAAGGACCTTGCTAGCAGGCAGCAGGGATTGTATGTTTGGTGAGAACGGCTCAGGCGGGTACCTGTTTGGCAAGAGTATGCATAATCCTCCTGAGATACAAACCTTCTAGCATGGTCTGCCGCCAGATGAATTTCATCTTCGAAAAGAAGGAGGTGGGGCCGGAAAAGCTTTCAAGTGATCGACGGAGAGTGACTTTGAGATGATGTTCAGAATGGGGCCCTTGGTATGGCTCCATGGTATTCTTACATGCCAGGAGCGATGGAGGATTTGCTTTGCATTTTTCACAAGTCATCAAACAAAGAGCAATTTTTTTTTTAAAATGTGTCACAAATGACTGTTGTCGATCTCGCTCCCTTGGGTCTTCTCACCCACAGCCTAATATCTATTAATGAAACACCAAGCTAAGATGTGTTTTATTGTTCAGAAAGGCATGGCAAGAATGTCTCCAGCCATACGTCAGCAAGGTGGCATTCTACAAAACTATTTCCTAGTTGGCAGATCCCTGCACAGGTGCGTTACGCAGATCCCTGCACAGGTGTGCTACGCAGCTGCTGTCTGAATCTCTGTGTTAGTTTGGGCCGATGATTTGAAAAGCTTTTGATGCCAGGCAATGTGCCCTGCTTCTAAAGATACACGTCTAATATGAAAATGCACCCCTGGTGATTTCCATAGCCCTGTTCTCACTTCTACTGTAGTGCATGCCGGGTGACTTTAAACTTTGTTCTGGTGCTATGAATCGACATCCGGCTTAGCAAATAAAGAGGATGTAACACTATGGGAGGGGAAAGAGATACTGGAAATAAATAAATGATCATGCAGGATGCACAAGCATCAGGGCTGCAAGATTGGGTTCTATGTTACTACTAGCTTTAATTTTACTTCTGATATGGGAATAAAGAATTGAGAGATTTAGAATCTCCTTGATTCCAGCAAGTCTGAGAAGCCAGGGATCCTATATAGCAGCTGAATGTACAGAATGGGAGCAGAGTCTCATCATGTCCCAGTCTAACTTTCTGCTCTCCACTGAGCAGATCTCATGAGTGAATACAGGAGTAAGCGTTATAAAGATGATGCAAGCAATTTGCTGCTCGCAGAACACTCCTTCCCAGGATACCGGTGTGAAATGAATTCTGATGTATTCCACTCTGGGACAGAATCTTTATATACCAGGCACTTATCGGGAAAACACCAACAAGAAAAACCTTCTAGTTCTCCCTTGAAGCTGCAATAGAACGACCACCGTGTTCCACCCCAGAGAGAACTGCATTTCACGACTGCACAACAGGACAGTTATCTAGTGCTTATGAGGGACTTTCAAAGCCCTGCCCCCTATTATTATGCTCAGTGCTTCATTTGGTTATTGAAGGGTATCACTGAATGCTAACATGCCCGAAGAACCATCCTCATTACATGAGACTGATTTCATGAAGCATGAAGGACCCTGTCCCAAATCTGCTCTCTCTCGCTCTCTGTGAGGAAGATGCATTCAGCATATCTCGCCAGATCAGCAAACACTCACCCGGTCTCCCTTGATGCCCATGTCACCTTTGAAGCCAGGGAAGCCATCTTCACCCTGAATAACAGGAGGAGAAAAACAGCTGATTGTCCAAAGGGGACACTGTGACACAGGTCAAATATAAGCCGTGACATTCTGCACCTTTGGGGAACAGTACTGAGTGCTGAGCAGGGATATGAGCGAGGGAATGAACCAATTTCAGCCCCCCGTTCAGCAGCTGCAGCAGAAATGTCAGCCTATACACTCTTCCACAGCAGGGCCAGTGAATCCATGTAGTGGCAGATACATTCCTTCGCTTGGCCACCATGTCACTGCCTCCCTCTCCCTCCATGGCAGCATGAAGGCAGCCTCTGTGAAACTCTGAACCGGGGGTGCACAATGCTTGTGTATTTCCATGGCATCAGGGCATCGCTGTACCAAGGGGAGGGCAAGATGGGCCCACTAACCCCCATGCACATTGCACATCACATGTGCCCTTCTAGAGGGCTCTAGAGGTCTTTGATTCACCCATCAAAAATGTAAGCATGATTCATGGTGAGAACAACATATCCATGCAACACAGCCAAGCTGGAAGTGCTCAAGATCCTACCTTTGGGAGTATCATATCAACAGACAACTATAATCCCACTGGAATTACAAAGGTGCATTCTCCAACCAATCACACCTTGGCTCCCAGTAGAGATCATCTGCCCAGATGGTATAAATACCAGCAATTTACCAGTACTAGCAACAAATGATTTTGAAGAATAACAGGGTTTTATTTTCACGGAGATCATTTTACACTATCCTTCCATGAAACCTCAAGGACAGTAGTAATATTTCTTCCGGCCAAGACAGTTTAACTGCAGAGCTCAAATCGATACTGTATCAACTCCTAGAGCAAACCCAGGACAGACTAAAACACAGACACCGTAACCAAAACCAACTTTGGATTCTGGAAGGTTCCTCTGGCTAACTCCTTGCCTCTAATTGCCAGCTCTGCTGCTGATGGACTATCAGATATGAAAAAGGAACATGGGGATACTTAGGACTGGAACAGCGCAGCAAATCTCCATCTCCTGATACTGCTTTGGGAGACCACAGCTGAATCCCTGAAATATAATCTATATTTTTTTCTACGCACATTCTACTTTGTCCAATTCCTTTGTAAGACAGATTTTACAAGCTGCTCCAATGGCTGGTCTTGGCAGTGTATTCCATACACTATATTCCCTGGGCCAGATTCTGATCTTTGTTACCCAGATGTAAGTCACAATGAATTCCATTTATGTCAGTGGAATTTCCCCTGGCTAACAAAAAAACCAGAAGCCTGCTCCTGGGCAAAGGACTTCTGCTAAAATGTACATTGACATGCTTTTTGTTTGCTATTAGTTAGGAAGCAGTGTGCTTCAGTCACCAGTGTAAGGGGGAAATCCAACACGAAACCAGACTCCCCTCCCTTCTAAGGTATTTAAACCATAATAATAATACTAATGGCTGGCCTCAGGAGTCGGGCCAAAGACTGAGTAGGTCATGGAGACTGCGTTATTCCCAGCTCAGAGTTGAGACATGCTGGCTGAGCATTGTGGAGGATGTCTATGCTATGCCTGCTCTGGGAATAAATAGAGAGCAGCTGTTTCTAGGACTGACAGTCCAGCTCCATTCACCAGCAGAAATATTCATACGTGTATGTCACACAGGACTTGATCCTACATTGGCAAAGCAGGTCTGGCAAAACTGCACACACAGGCAACCTTCCTCCAATGGAATGGGGTAACTCACCTTTTCACCCTTGGTGCCCTTCAAGCCACGAACACCGTCTGCCCCCTTAGGAAAAAATACAGAGGCACATTACAATGTTACACCTGCACAAGGTAAAGCATACACACAGCTAGAGCTGGGTGAATCATTAACAATAGTGAATTTTGCTTCACTCTCTGCTGCCAAATTGTCCTTGTGCAGATTGTGATTTTCCTAAATGTACTGGTGGTTTATAATTATTTGCTGAATAGTTTTTGGTCTGTTGCTCATTTGTGAATATTTGCTACTCAAAATTTGAGCTGATTTCATTGGACAGAAGGGACACGTGATACGTCTCCATTTCTCAATAAGATGAATGTAACAGTCAGAATCAAGTTTCCAGGGAGAACATTCATGATTGGAAGTTTGCTTTCTAAAAAGGTTTTCCAAAAATTCACTTTAAAATAGGCAACTTTCACCAAAATCTCCTGCCAGTAAACCGAGCTGACTAAGATATTAGGTAAGTGCAAAAGGGGTACAGACAAAGTGACGTCATTTGAAAAAATACCGAACACACATTCACAACATCTTCCTTTATTCCTTTGTAGCATTCACCCAGCAGAGAGTCTGCAGATTTCTGGCTCTTTTTTAGTGCGACACTCAGCTCCATTGTGCATTGGCTGTAGGGGTGAATGAATTGCACTCAAAGAAACATCTACACTGCAGCTGGAAATGCGCTTACGAGCCTGGGTAGACAGACACACATTAGCTCCGCTTAAGCTAGCGCACTAAAAATAGCCGGGGGTAGTACAGGCAGCAGCTTGGGCTAATTGCCTGAATACAAACCCTCCCAGCATACTTGGGCAGCTAGCCCAAGCCACCACCCATGCTATCCCTGGCTACGCTGCTATTGTTAGCCTGCTAGTTTGAGCAGCGCTAGCACATCTGTCTACCCGCACTGGGAAACTTGCTCCCAGCTGCAGTGTAGACGTACCCTTGAAAGTCAACGGGAAAAATCCTCATTTATTTCAATGGGGCCAAGATTCCACCCTTTCGTACGGATCCACCAGTTGAGGTGGGACTTCAAACTAAACAGCAGCGATTGTTTTCCGAGTGCCAGATCCTCAGCTAAGTATGAATGGACATAACCACACTGCAGTCAAATGAAAGTGTTCAGGACCATTTATAAACCACCTATTCATCTATATATGTCTGGCAAGGGCAGAGCAGAATCATTCTAATTCATGCTTAACGTTCATGCCGTTTATTGATGGTCACGATTCTGGAGAAAGACATTACAAGGGGCTAAAGCCGGCGGGCTCTCGACTGAGACTCAGTTTGCCAAGTGCCCTCTTGTGGTAAAAACACATTATGCTCCCAGCCTGATACAATAACTCAGCACAGCAGTCATCCCTTCACAGCCCAGCCGGCTTTGAAACCAGGATAAATCTTTAGCGCAACTAGGATCTGAAGAAGCATAATGTGTAACCTATGATTGCCTCTGTGTGAAATGACACTGAATGGACACTCTTAAGCACTCTGCTACTTAATCAGCCTCTAACAGCAGAGATCCTTAGCACTAAATGGACAAGGTGAAGAAGATGTAATTTTCCTGACGATAGTACTAGTCTCGGGATTCAAGAGACAGTCAAGTATTATCTAGCACTCCTTCCCCTGGAGTTGACTTGTCTCCTTGTTTGCTATTATCTTGTACTCAGTTCCCAAGCCATTACATCTAATCAAAACGCTGCCGACACCAAGATCCACGACACGGAGTCGGGAAAGCGGGGCGGGGGGAGAGTGGGGCGTTAGAGATCGGGGGGGGGAAACGTAGCGAATATAAAGTTAAAACCAGAATGCGAAAGCATGAAGCCTGAGAATACCTGTCCGTTATTAATGCAGCACCACATTCACTAATTATATGAATGCGGGACAACTCCCTCATTTTCGGAATCACTGGTCCTGTACTGAATAAGTAGAGGTAAGCGGAACAGCAGTATGGAATGAGATGACTGATCATCCGGGAGAGGGGCTACTGGCCGGGAAGAATGCCTAGGAAAACTGGAGAACAGGAAGCAGTCATACTGGATCTGTGGTCCAGTCTAGCCCTGCATCGCGTGTCCAACAGTGGCCGGTACCAGCTACTTCACAAGCAGGTGAAGGAAACCCTGAAATAGGCGGTTAAGGAATCACCTGCTCCCGGGGAAAAATTTCTTCCTAACCTCTGTCTCTTAGAGAAGTTGGCTTATGCCTTGAAGCAGGATTTCTACCCCTGCCAAACTTTTTGGGTTTATTTATGTATGGATATTTAAATCAATCAGCACTAGGGCATTGAACAGAATGGAAAGGAAAGGGAAAGAATGAATAGAGAGTCCGAAGTATACAAATGTCAGGAACATGACATATTATTATTAATTGTTTGATTGTAGCACCTAAAAGCCCTGGTTATGGATCAAGACCCACTGTGCTAGGTGCTGTACAAACAGAGAACCAAAAAGATGGTCTCTGCGCCAAGGAGCTTACAATCTAAGTGTCTAATTGAGGGGGTTTCAAGTACATCTTGTACTTGTCCCTCCTACCCAGATGCCTGAGGTAAGCATGTGATCTTGCACACTACGTATGTGGCACAACAGAGCCGGAGCATGAACTGAGAATTTAGCCTGTGCACTTTTTGGTTAGTATTGCAACGTTATTGAAGAGTTCTGCTGTGGATTCACCCACCCTGCTCCCTTTCCTCTCACTGTCCTGCACATGCATCAAACAGTGGAATTTTGTCCTTAATTTTTTAATAGATTATTTTAGCTACTTAACAGATTATTTTAGTGGTTGTGACATGGGGCACACGTCCCTAAGATGCTATGGTAGTGCATATGGGAAGTTTACATACAGTGCCTGCCTGCACTACATCTAGATCTAGCTGGTGCAACTGCTTCACGCGTCCCTGTCTATTTGACCTTGGTTGCTTAGAGCTGCCAGAGTCTAGCTGCTCATGCACTGATGGCCGAAGGACATAGGAGGAGATGCCCCTGGACAATAAGGAAATCTGGAAGCCTGGCCATACGCAGCTGCAAATCATTGCTGTGATTTCACCAGCCTACTCACTGAGCTGCAGTGGATTGATCATGCTGTGTGTGTCTGTCGAGAGACTGGAGAGTATCAATATAGGAGACAGTCAATACTAATGGATTCTGAGATCTAATTCTCAGTTGGCTGCTGTGGTTTCTTGCGGCTTTGGGGCTGCAAGTTCTATTCTGAGTTTTGAAGACTTTGTGAGCTGAATTCTGCCTTTAAGCACATGAGGCTCACTTGGAAAGGGGGAAGCTGGGTATCAGGGACCTAATGGAAGGTCAAGGCAGAATGGTTTAAGGAGTGGAAGGTGCGAGATTCAGCAGTGTGCCTTACCGCTGCATCCCCCAGTGCTTGCAGCTGATAGCAGCCGAGGGTGTCAAAGGCGTGATCGAATCCCTTTGTTTGTCATTCAAAGCATTGCTAGGCCCATGTCTAGCCTTGCTTGGGGCAAAAAGTAAGACGCTTCCTGCACACTGATTTTCCCTCAGGAAAAGCAGGCCAGAATTTCACCCCAGGGAACACACATCTCATAGCTGTACTATGCAATGTAACTCTTATATCAACAAAAAGAGTTGTTTAAAAATGAATTTAATTTTACCCAAGATATATTTAATGTCCTCCCCCAACCGCTCCTGCATGTAAAAAAATACAAATGAATTTCAAGTGCAGTGAATTCATACAGCAGGAGAGAATTTCTGATCAGATGGACAAGATCTAATGATTGATGATGGCAAGTCCAAGGGAGACACTGTTCTTTGATTCCCAGAACTGAAGCTTTATTCAATTAATAGCACGCTGATTGAGGGAACCGAAACATTTTTGATAAACAGTGAGGATTGTGCAGACGACACACTTTCTCTATATCACTGTAATGAGGAACAGTTCCACTTTAGCAGTAAGCATAATGGAAAACCATTCCTTAATGGACCACTAAGTCTCAAGCTGCTGCGCTGCAAGACATGAGACAAAAACATGCTTTGGTTAAATAAATCTAGTTAAATTTTTGGAAATGGAAGAGTGAGTGGCTTTGTGCTGCTGGGAAAATGTATGGAGGGTTTGAATCAGTTTTCACTTCATCTTTAGCCTTTGATCCAGTATCTATATCCATGAGCATGGAACCCTGCAGTTTCACAGTTAGATCAGGGGCAAAGTTAACAGATTTTGATGCAGGATTAAGAATCAGAGTGGTAGGGGAAAATACCCACTACCTTCTTATCAATGTACACATACTGCAGATATCAGGAGCAAGCTGAAGAACTGCAAATTCAATTCAGTGAGAGGGAATGGGATGTGAGTTTAAATCACACACAGAGAAATCTTGGCTTCAAATAACACGATTTCAGAGTACTCGGAGCGCACAGACACACTGTATTTTGTTTTAATATTGGGCTACTTTGTTTCATTAACAGTCACAGCCTGTTAAAATCTTCATGTACAGGCGGAGATATGTTTTGTTTTCCAACAGCAAGTGATTGTGATGGAACTGTGCCATGTTCCGTGGGAATAAAAATCTAGCTGAAGCTCTTCCAGAAAGCAGTGGAGCTTTATTTCTACTAGGCCTGAGTTGATATGTCAGGCCAAAGGAACTGATCAAATGTTAAGTATGACTGAACACTAGTGCTTCAGTGTTTCTGCTACACTCCGCAGTAAGACATCTAAGTTTCTTCTAGGCTCACTGATAACACATCTACCATAGGTATCACATCCATATTGAGTGGTAATGCTCCTGGGTAGCCTCTAGACTCATCTGTAATACCTATAGGTTTCTCCCCAACTAACTGAGTCACCACCTAGATTTCTAGATTTCTTCCAGTGCTCTTGCAGCGCTACCCCTTCTATATGACCATTCCTTAGTTCCATTTACATAGAACCAGAGTTGCTAACCCTTTTTAAGCCAGAGAAAGATTTGCTAAGAGTAAGTAGAAGAAATTCCTTCTTAGGGCTGCTGTCAAACTCAGTGAGATCCAAGATGGCCTCCTTTCCTCGAACACAAAACACAGAATTCAGCTCAGAAATAAAGACGTAGGTGTGTGTTCCTGCCTTCCCATCTTCCTTACCTTGACGCCACGAGGTCCTGGATATCCAAGTGGGCCCTGAGGGCCAGTTGGACCCTGTGATTTAAAAACAACGACAAAACAACATTAAGATACAGCAATGGTGGAACTTTTTGATAAACTATTTGTCCTGAACTGCACAGGAAAATGCGTGGCTGGCTGAATGGAAGGCATATGGGAAGTCAGCTGTGCTTAGAAGAGGCTACGGAAACCTAACTTAGAGATCGTATTGCTCTGTGGTCTGAGCACAGGACAGAAGACAGAGAGAGGAGACACCAGCTGTGCGACTTCTATACTGATTAGCGACAAAGAAAACGTTTTATACACAGGAGCCACCAACGCTTTGCAATGGCAGAAGTGACTTCACTGCTTAGTTTCAGGTAGAGCAGGTTGAAGCTGAATTTCGAAGTCATGATGAAATTTTTAAAAAGAAAAACATCGTTGAAATGTTCACAATTCTTTTCTTGCCTTTTTCCAACCAACTATAGAATTGGTCAGAATTTTTCAAAATTCAAGGTGTAGCAGTGTCAAATTTGAAAACTTTAGATTGTCAAAAAAATTTAAAAAAAAGGGGGGGGGAAGTAATTGTATAAAATGTGAATTTCTCTTTTTCCCCTCAACTAGCTCTAGCTTCAAGAGTAATAAAATAGGAGCAATGCAGGGGTGCTGCAACAATTTGTATAGTAGGGGTGCTGAGAGCCATTGAACCAAAGTGTAACCCTGTATATAATGGAAACCACTTCAAGCCAGGGGGTGCTGCAGCACCCCCAGCACCTCTAGTTCCAGCACCTATGGAGCAATGGGATAAAATTAAAAAGTGAAAATTTAGACTTAATGGGTAAAACTTTCAAAAGTGCTTAAGGAACTTAGGGGCCTAAGTCCCATTTTCAAAAGTGATTTAGGACTTTCGATGAGATTTAGACTTGTAAATTCCTGCATCACTTTTTAAAATGGGACTTACGAGCCTAGGATCCCTAGATCCAGAAAACTACAGATAATGAGATCCATACCAGAACATGTGGAATAAACTCCCAAGGGAAGCAGCGGAAACCCCATCACGTGGCACATGTGAACCTAAATAGCACGAAACATTAGCACATGTGCAATGGGGACCAATTCTTCATGTACAAGGAGATGCATTGGATGCCCTCAAGTCTAGCTTGTCACCGATTTCTAGGACTGTTATTATAATGATGGCTCTATTCATAAGATCCAATGGTTGGAAGCTGAAGCTAGACAAATGTAGCCTAAAAATAAGATGCAAATTTGAACAGGGAGGGTCATTAACAACTTACTTGGGCATGTGATGGATTCTCCATCACTTGAAATATTTAAGTCAAGACTGGATGTCTTTTTAATAGATGAGCTGTAGCTCAAACAGAAGTTATGGGCTTGATACAGACATTTTCAGGTGAGGTTCTTTGGCCTGGATTTTGCCGGAGGGCAGACTATGATGATCCTAATGGTCCCTTCTAGCATTCAAAACTATGAATCCATCTAGTCATCACTGACTCCAAGGGCAGAATTGTAGTTCTTGCCAAACCTGGATGGACAGACTCCATGGTAACTTTGTAAGTACCTTGCACCATCGCTATAGTGCTGTATTGAGACTCGGTAAATCAATCACATTTTCAACTAAGTTTTTTTCTTTTGCTCAACTAACTGAAAAATACTCTTCCATTTCTTTAAGAGAGTTCTGGATAATTTTTCCCAGCCTGACAGCCAGACTGAGCTGAAGGATCTATGCTTCTTGGGGTCTGTTGGAGTCTCAGACCTCATGCTAGGGTCAATGGGAACATATCTAGCAGCACAAACACTGCTCTGAGATCATAATTGCTTAAGTAATAACTCATGGAGAAAGTTATAGCCTGGATCTGGACTTTTACCCTGACACCTGATGACTCCCTGATGTTTGCGAAATGTCTCCCAGCACAGCAAGTGAGCGCAGGACTGTTTACTGGGTTTTAATAGTCTACAGACATGAACATTTGAATTCCTAGCCTCACGTGATGCCAGCTGGAGGAATGGCCCCCGTCAAGGTTGCAGGCATCATTTTCCTGCTCTACACAGTACCTATGCAATGCTAGGGTGAGCTTCAATCAAGCCGGACGGAACTGTAATAAAAGACTTTTGACAAATGTAATGTTTTTCAACTGAATGGGACACAGCAGGAACACAGATGGTAAATCTCCCAGACAAACTAACAACCATATAATTCAAGGACTCTGAGCAATGTTTTCTAAAATATTGTTAAAGAGGGATTTTGACATGGGGGCAAACTAGAAAGAAAAGAACATTAATTTTTTTTTAAAAATAATTTTCTGCAGCACTGAGGATATTTATTTGTGTCTGATTAACAGCTTTCCCCTTCACAGGTTTCTGTTTGTATGTTTGGGAAGCTTTTCAGTGCTGCTTGCCAGGAGAGCTGGGGTAGACAATGCTGCTAACCAGATCTGGTGCAACTACAGGTTTATAGACAAGCTGCAATTGTCCCATGACTCCTTCCTCCTCATCCCCTGTGGCCAAAATCACAAGTGAGAAAACAATCAAAACGCATCTTAGATTCCGAAGGTTCAGGTAGGAAAAACGTCCAAGTTTATCTAGATTTCTAAATGAGCCGCAAATCTCACAAGATCACCATTCCTGGGACATTTCCAAACAGAGAGTGGGAGGTGTGTGTGTGTGTAATATTTCTATACCTTTGTTTCTAGACAAAGCCAGAAAGTAGAAGAAGTAGAAAGAACATTAAAAGAAACACACAGACAGATGAATTGAACTTGGTTTTAGGAGCAGGGTTGGTGGCTTCTTATTCTTGCCACGTCTGCTGACCCATGCCCACTTATTTTACAGTCATGTGACCTTCTCCCAGCACATGTTTAACAAAAGTTTTGCAAGCACAGCTATGTCCCTTAGGAGTGTGAAACACGCAACCCCCCCCCCCACTCCTTATCTGACATAGCTATGCTGGCAAAAGCCCTAATGTAGATTCAGTTATACCGGCAAAAACGTCCTTTTGCCAATCTAGCTTATTTCATTCGGGGAACAGGTATAAGTTATGTCGGCAAAAGAACTCTTGCTGCTACGAGCTGCAGCTCCACTTGGAGGGTTTGCTGGTATAGCTCTACCAGTCCAGTACCAATTTGCTGGTATAGTGCCAGTTTGCAGGTATAACGATCTAAGTAAATCCTCCCTAGTGTAGACAAGGCCTCGCTCCTTCAGAACTGACCAGAGCACTTGAATGCCTCCAAGGCAATGAAGTCATCTGCTCAACGCCTAACATTGCATGGGGATTAATTTCTTCCTCCACGTTCAGTGACACTAAATAAGAATGATGAGGGTCTAGTTAACACATACCTGACTCCCCTTCTCACCAGGAGGACCTTCTTTGCCAGGATGACCCTATTAATAAAACAGACAGACAAACCAGAGAGAGGAGATTAATAATCAGATCACTGATTTGGAAACTGACCATCAGTTTTGGTCTATTTCCAAGGGGATCCTTACACATTAGTGAGCACTTACTCATGCGAGTGGTCCCGTTGAGGTCAACTGATCTACTTGCATGAGTGCTCACCAACATAAGGGGACTGCAGTGGTCCCTTAGTGGAATTCTACTTTACACTGCTACACCACCTTGCATCTGCGCAGCACAAGACATTTGCAAATATCAATAACATCTCGCAACACCTCTGCGAGTTGGGCAACTAGCCGTGTATCTATTTTGTGAAGAGGGAACTGTGGCACAAGGCGGCTAAATGTCACACCCAAGGCCATGTGGCAAGTCCATGGCAGAGTCAGGAGTAAAACTCAGAAGTTCTGGATCCCACTCCCGTGTTTTAATCACTAGGCCACTTTTGCTCCTGATATTTGCTGTCATTAGGTTGGGGATGGGGAAAAAAATCCAGTTGTGCAACCCTGGAGAGTATGTTGGGAAGGCTGTGATGGTCAGATCTCCACACTGCAGTCATTTGCTAATTACTGGAATCAATTGCACAGTCTCATGAGAAACACTCAGTTAACCTGCATCCCCACTGCATGCTGACTGTCTGGACACTGGTCGGCTTTCTTCTTGGGCCTGGGAGCTGAATAACCCAACGTCCTGTAGCTTCCAACACATTCTTATTCAGTGTCTTTAGAAGCCTTTTGTTGAGATTTCTATTGGTACAAAACAAAAGTACCATTTTCCATCCTGAAAAATTGCTTCTAATCAAGCACAGTGCAGTAGTGAAGCATTGTGACGAGCCAATGAGTGCCTTTGCAACGGATTTGCTTACTAAAGGACCAAACACACTGCCAAGGCAAAACATCCCTCTTGGGTTTGCAGTGTCTGCACAGAGACATTAACCTCTTAGCTGTGGCACATAATGCACATTCATATGAAAGAAACATGAGGGCACCCAGACCACACCACAGGCTCTCAAAGCCCTAAGTACCTCTGCTGTAAGTCAGTTTTTCATCAGCGAGCTCCTGTCTGAACATGCCAATGACCTTCTTGCAACCACTTAACAAGCATAACCATAAACCATTTCCCAAGATCACCCTGCATAAAGGAGAATGTCAGACCAGCAGGATTTCATACAAAGGATCTGATTTAAAAAAAAAAACAAAAACAACCTCCCTTTTCAGACTCACAAATATATGCTGCTATTTTGATATCTGAAGGTGCCATGATGTAGCCAGATATCTAAAGGGCATCAATGGCACCAAAACACATCTGTGGGCACAAAACTGTGCCTGCACCAATTTGCTCATCTCTAGATCTATCGGGGCAGCGGTGGGTGTCAACGGAAGTCCCGGCTGAGGTCTAAATCTGCACTGTATATAATATCGTCACCAATTTCAAAAAGTGCAGCTTCATTACCAGCCCTGTGATCAATAACTGAAAAGGGACTTTGTTGGGTCTTGCAGCGAGATGCCATATGATTTGGGGGATTTTTAAAAGGAATTTAGTAAATGCCATAGATCTTCAGAGTCCAGTTACTACAGAGCATCTGGGCATCCTGTTATTCCTTAAGATGGTGCAACACTCACACTTAAAACCTGCCCTAGACTATCTTCAGGATACATCGTTCCCAATTAGAACAAATGGAGCTGCGTGTGCACAGGATATATGACCCTTAGTCTACATAAAAACTGGACCTGACAGATTTTATAACTGAGAAGCTTCCACAGAGGCTGCTCTGAGAATTTCACACCGAGAGCAACAGCCTCTGTTCTGTTGACTCAACTAACATTTTTATGAGACGGCTAAATTCCCCGAGTGGGAAGGATAATCCCCAGATAGAAAAATGTAATTTTTCAGCATGTTCTGCATTTACGTTAGGGAATGTAACCGTTTAACGTTTGTTGCTTTTAAAATCGGACGTCTCCTCGGTGTGTAAAAAATTAGATCGAGTTTAAAGGCCAGAGATTTTCAACAGCAGCTTCCAAGAACGGATAATGTTTAAAGTAGGATTATCATGAGGCTGCTAGAAGAGAACTCGAATGTGAAATTCAGGTTGCTCTTACTACTGCATTGCAGCAGTACTTAGGGTACGTCTACACTGCAATCAGACACCCATGGCTGGCCCGGCCAGCTAACTCAGACGCAGACTAAGGGGTTGTTTAATTGTGGTGTAGGGCCCGAGCTCCAGCCCAAGCCCGAATGTCTGCACCACAATTAAACAGGCCCGTAGCTCAAGCCTGAGTCAGCTGGCCTGGGCCAGCCGCGGGTTTTTAATTGCAGTGTAGACGTACCCTCGGAGTGCTAAGCACTACAGGCGGGGATCGAGACAGCAACTGAATTCAACCCTATGGTCCAGGTAAAAGGGTTCATTTTTATTCACAACACGCATCGTCCCCTTTCCAGGGACTGGTTTGAGATGCACTCACAGTGCTAGTGCTCCGTTCAATACACAAGCATGCATTTCAGCGGAACTACTGGGATTTAGCAGGAGCCATAGTGTGGGTTAAAACGATGCCCATTCCTTACTAACCACGTTGTTTACTGAAAATGATTATTACCAGGCCAATCCTGAGAGCTGCTGAGCACTCGCCACTCCGGCTAGAATCGATGGGAATTGAAGTAGCTGCGCAACACACAGACGAACCAGACCGGTAATGTGGGGCTAGAGGAGAACCAAACCCTGCAACGTAGGCCGAGACGTTTGTGTAAATTCGGACTGAGGCCTGATCTTGTAAACCTTGAGCGCTACTGAACTCCCAAGGAGGCTGGGTGCAATAGTGATACAGCATCAGGTCCCTAGTGGGTAAGCAGGGTGGGGTACCCTAAGAACAGACTACTTACCGGAGGGCCGTCTGCACCGGGCATGCCAGGAAGACCAGGTTTACCCAGAGGTCCCTAAAAAATACCCAGCAACAATCAGAATCACTGCAGCAAAAAAGTGTCCCCATGAAGTTATTAAACACTGACAGTCAGAGAACAAAGGGCCCCATGTTTCAGGCACATCTTTTGCTTTGTCTGAATCTGGTCTCGCAAATGTTGTATGTAAAGGTAGATCCTTTAGGAAAGATGCAATGGCTCAACAAGCAGGGCCTGATCCTGCCCCGCCTTTCACATCAGTGCAAACTGAGCGCACGGTTGGTGCAAAGCACTATCATACTGACTGGGCAGCATTTTGCACTGATGTCAATGACCACGCAAGGCGCAGGCTGCTGGAAAACTGGGCCCACAGAGCATAAAATCACATACTAGAAAAACCAACAATTATGACAAATGGAAAGAATGGGGGGCTGCCCTATCTGCTCCCCCTTCTTGTTTGAATACAGTTATGTTACTTTCCTTTCATAATAGGAATCCCGATCCCGTGACCATGTCAGTGAGTGGCAGTACTGACACAATTTGCGCGTGTAACTCAGCAATTAAACAAGAAACGCCTTTATTCTTTAAAATTATAATCCGTTCTGTTCATTTTTCTCCCGGACAGCCTTTGGTCAACGATCCCATAATACTGTACAATAAGGGGAATTCTCATGTTGGGGTCAATGATACATGCCAAGGAAGTCAGTGGAGTGGGAGTTATGCAAATGCACTCGGGAGCATGAATTAGTCCCGGTCATTCCAGTGGGCAACATTTTGCCTGATTTAAAGTCCATGGTGTTGCATGGGTGGGAGGGTAGAATTTGTCCAGTGAGAGCAGTACAATAAGCAAAAATGGAAACTCGCTGTAACTTGGCCCATCTCCCTGGGGGAAGATCCTCATTAAATTATCTGAATCCCCATGCCTTTACAAATGCTATCCCTTTATACATCTCGGCATATTTAGCCTCAGAAACAAACACTTTAAAGTCATCTCCTAACATTTTATATAGGCTGTCTTCAAAATGTTTCTCTTAAAAGGGGACGTGAATACAAATATTATGAATTAGAGACAAACTCTGTTTCCTCCTCTCTGCCCTGACTGGAGCAGGAGATATTAAACTTTCAGGCATACAGCTGTAAACAGATGTTGCATGAGGGAAAGGGAAGTATCTGAAGAGGCAAATGCATATTAATGGCAACAGCTGACTTATGTCACAGCTGCAGTGTATTAACGTACTTTATCGCCTGGTGGACCAATTGCACCCTGTGGACCTGGAAGACCCTGTGAAAAGAAAAAAAGGGAGGGGCATTAAGAAACAAATGAATCATTCTAAATGTATTTTGCAGCATCTCAGTGTAGCATCCTAACATTTTCAATGACTTGGTATTTCCAATAGTTATCGAAATGTCTCACGGAAGATACTAACACTTCATTTTTAGATATCTTATTTCATCCATAGAACTGAAAGTGCTTTACAAATGAGGATAATTAGGATGAAATTCAATAAGGATAAATGCAAAGTACTCCACTTAGGAAGGAACAATCAGATGCACACATACAAAATGGGAAATGACGGCCTAGGAAGGAGTACTGCAGAAAGGGATCTGGGGGTCAGAGTGGATTAGAAGCTAAATATGAGTCAAACAGTGTAACACTGTTGCAAAAAAAGCGAACATCATTCTGGGCTGTATTAGCAGGAGTGTTGTAAGCAAGTCACGACAAGTAATACTTCCGCTCTACTCCGCGCTGATTAGGCCTCAACTGGAGTATTGTGTCCAGTTCTGGGCACGACATTTCAGGAAGGATGTGGACAAATTGAAGAGAGTATAGAGAAGAGAGACAAAAATGATTAAAGGTCTAGAAAACATGACCTATGGGAGAAGATTGAAAAAATTGGGTTTGTTTAGTCTGCAGAAGAGAAGACTGAGAGGGGACATGATAACAGTTTTCAAGTACCTAAAAGGTTGTTAACAAGGAGAAGGGAGAAAAATTGTTGTTGTTAACCTCTGAGGATAGGACAAGAAGCAATGGGCTTAAATTGCAGGAAGGGAGGTTTAGGTTGGATATTAGGAAAAACTTCCTGTCAGGGTGATTCAGCACTGGAATAAATTGCCTAGGGAGGTTGTGGAATCTCCATCACTGGGGATTTTTAAGAGCAGGTTAGACAAACACCTGTCAGGAATGGTCTAGATAATACTTAGTCCTGTCAAGAGTGCAGGGGACTGGACTAGAGACCTCTAGAGGTTCCTTCCAGCCCTGTGATCCTATGATAAGTATTGTTTTCAAGATGGGGAAAATTGAGGCACCCGGAAGGGAAATGACTTGCCCAAGGTTACGCAGAAGTTCAATATCAGCACTGAAGACTATGTCCCCAGGTCTCCTGACTCCTAGTCCTATAGTCACTGGACCCTACTGCTTCCATAATGATTACATTAAAAATCAGAGATAACACTGTGCAGCAAATTTTGATTTAGAGCCAGATACCGGACTCCCGTAGTCAAGGAGATGCTTGGATCTGGCTTCAGTCTATTACAGCAGAAGGAGCCAGCTGCAAAATGTGGATCCAGAATGAGGTTGTTTAGATTTAGAGCCCAGGCTCCGCCTTTAGGAAATGCATTTATTGCTAGTCAACACTTTTTTTTTGCGATGTCCAATCTGAACCACTCTGCAGGTCAGGACTTGTGATGGGAGGCAAAGCGCATACAGAACTATAAACCCGACTCTTTCCTATCAAGGAGGAGAGCTGTCTCTTGCCTTACCTGAGCACCTGGATTGCCCTGTTGTCCGGGTGGCCCCGGCTCACCTTGAGGACCCTGCCAGGAAGCAAAGCAAGAGCTGAAGGGAGCTCAAAACCATAGGAGAAATAATGTCCATCCATAGCATTATGGCCAACAGTTATATACACATCAATTCATGCTAAAGCAGGGGTAATGAATTCTCATGCGACTAGGTGTAAACTGACTATTGTCGGGGTCAGGAAGGGATTCATCATTCTCAATTGTGCAACTGTGGAGGGCTGTGACTGCCTATCTCCAAAGCACTGCTAGTGGCCGCTGCTGGAAACAGACTATACCAGCTACCAAATGCTATGGAGTTCAGTTATTTAGCCACAGAAACCATTTCTTCATAGATTTTATTTGTGCATGCTGACATGGAGGGTAGAGTTATTTAAATCACAACCATAATCAAAAAATACTTTGCTCTTACACACATACACACTTATGTGCTTGTGTAAAAGTGTGTAACCCTTCATTCAAGGAGTCGACAAGTCAAATAATTAATCCTCACAGCCCAGTTATGAATTACGATCACAGCCCTCACTTTAGATGCCATAGCCAAGTGAGGAGGACAAGATCCCACAGGCTGAGTCTTTGGCAAGACCAGGAAAAGAACCCAGGAGTTCTGATTGCCAGGGTCCTGGTCTCACAACTAGACAACACTTCCTCCCACGTGTATATGGCAGTCTTCTCAGGGGAGGCATTATTGATGGGTGAAGGACCATTGTAGAGGACCAGCCTATACAATGATTAAGTCCAACTTAAACCATGCTTAGGCTTTGTCCTGGCTCCTCTGCACAGAGGTGAATTTGAAAGTATATAGTTTCTTTGTTGATTTAATGATTATATTTTGCTGTTTGGCATAACAGCATAAATCATGATGAAAATGTTTGATCTTCATAGGGATGTAATATGTAATTTCATTGCAAATTATAATAAATTCACCTCCATTAACCATAGCAAGATATTCTCCATGGCTTGTACTGGCTTTGAAATCAACAGGGACTCAACAGTGATTATCTTATCTAGGTATAGTCAATCTTACATTAGATTTGTAGATCGATGTTAGTAGTGAAGACTTACCACATTCCCCTTTGGGCCTGTTTGTCCATCCATACCAGTTACACCCTGAGTAGAGATTAAAAAAAATAAACAGCATTAAATTGAGAAAACATCTGGCTATTTTGAGCCAAAAATAGCAGGAAGGTGCAGTAAAAATGAAATACTCTGTGGCCCTTTGGACTAATAGGAACAGCTGAGTGGAAACAGAATGTTTTTCTAAAGGTGCCTGGCAAAGCAGCTAGTGCCAAGAATTCATGCCAGGTTGTTGGATTATTTTGATTTGTTGGGTTATTCAATTTTTGGGGTTTCTTTCCAAAGGCCATTTCAACATTTTTTCCATTGGCTTTACCTGCCTGCAGAGAAAAATCAGCACCATTGTGCAAATACTTTATATTGACTGTAGGAAGATTGTCTGAACAGTGGACAGATTTATAGAAATGGTGGGCCAAAAGATATCACATTAGAAGACAATAGATGAAGTAGGCAGAGCAATGTTAATTTACACCAGGTGAAGATTTGACCCACTGTGTTTTTGACGGTGTTTTTGCTGAAGGCTGGTTGAGACCCCCATAGAGATGTTGCAGTCCTTTAGAAAATGCAGCCTCTTACATCGGCAATGAAAGGAATTTATATATGGAAACCAGGGGAAAAAAATTCAGCTTCATACATTCACGGAGTATCATAGGTAAGTCTATGACATCACTGCTCACAGCCAATCAGAAAGCACCAGCTGGGGGTCCAGCATTCTACAGGTTGATTCCTTGCACAGGACCAGAGATCAGTTTTTATTGTGCACTCTTACTAAACAAGCCACTTTAGGGACCAGATCCTCAACTCCCATCAAGTTTCAGTGGAAGTTGAAGGCCTCTGAACTCACTGACTAAGGGTGTCATGTCCTCTTAAAGTGGCTGGTCCATGAAGGGAATAAGAATCTATGACTGTTGCCAGTGACGGGAATATCAGCTAGAGGCATTGGGTGTTGAAGTCTTGGGGATCAATCACCCAAGACAATCCCTAGAGCTGGCGAGCATTGGTCTGCTAAACCCAGGGTTGCGAGTTCAATCCTTGAGGGGGCCATTTAGGGATCTAGGGCAAAAATCTGTCTGGGGACTGGTCCTGCTTTGAGCAGGGGGTTGGACTAGATGACCTCCTGAGGTCCCTTCCTACTCTGGTATTCTATGATTCTATCTCCTTGAAAAGCTGCATGTTCTTCTCTTGGATTTAGATTGAAAAGCGGGGGAAAAAAAACTATATTAAACCAGGCTTCAGAACACGCAGGCAAAAGTTAATAGAAAAGCCACAGTGGTAATAAGTTATGTTCTTCCTTTCAACTTTGGGCTAGATGTTGAATTTACTCTATGGGCCAAATTCCACCTTGGTATGCACAGGTGTGACTCCACTGAAGCTGGGCTCAAAGCAGGGCTGAATATGGCACTAGAGCTTTAACTCTCTCTTTACACCTCCTGCTAGGGTGACCAGACAGCAAGTGTGAAAAATTGGGACAGGGGGTGGGGAGTAATAGAAGCCTATATAAGAAAAAGACCCCAAAATCGGGACTGTCCCTATAAAATCAGGACGTCTGGTCACCCTACCTCCTGCTTTCGCAACACAGATGCATAAAATTATCCTCTTGGATTATCTGCCTGAGTGCCTCAGTGGGACACGCTAGCTGGGACTGGAGAACTCAGCAGAACTTATTGAGCAGAACAGCAGGTATGTGGAGTGGTCTGTGCAACTTACCGGCGGTCCTGAGGGACCGGGTGGCCCTTTTGGTCCCAGCAAACCTCGGGGTCCCTGCAGGCGGAAACAAATACGCTTAGAAGCTCCAGTTAGGAAGAGCCCAACCCAAAGCCTTTCTGAGGTCGATGGAAAGACTCCCATTGACTTCAATGGGCTTTGGCTCAGGCCTTAAGAGAATCGGGAAAAAAAGTATTGCCCAGCCAAAGTCCACGCTTGGAAGCTCAGTTTTCAAAGCGAGGCATCTCAGACAGATCCCTAGGTAGACAGACTGGGCATGTGGGTCTGTGGAATGCCACATTTTTAAACCTAGGCCCTTTGTTACATCTACACAGAAATAAAAGACCCGTCGCAGCACGCTCGGGGGAAGTGACTCAGGATCCCAGGGCTCAGGCTGCGAGCTATAAAATAGCAGTGCAGATGTTTCGGCTCAGGCGGGAGCTCAGGCTCTGAAACCCCACAAGGTGGGAGGATCTCAGAGCCCATGAGCCTGAATGTCTATACCGGTATTTTTAAACCTGCAGCCCAAGCCTGTCAGCTGACCCAGGCTCAGGGACTCACTGCCATGGGGGTTTTATTGCTGTCTAGATGTAGCCTTCGATACCTTCATTCATTGTCATGGACGAAAAGTATGTTTAATTGATGGACAGAACAGAAGAGTAAAAATAAAAGGTTACAAGATAAAACACGATAGTTTTTAACATTAAAACAGAGTGCATGGGCCTGAGCCTGGAAAGACTGAAGCTTAAGTACAACTGGTCACTAATGTTACCATTGATAGTCTGCGTATTTTGGCAGGGCTGGAAAATACCCATGTGCTTAAATCTTTGCATGCCTGGGCCTCCGAAAAACAACTCCCTGGACTGAACTGGCTTCAGGGATTTTAACAAATGACAGCAGAATGGAATTAGATGCCTACAGGAACAAATTCTAAGGTGCCACCAGTAAAACATAAAGGGCCCTACTCTACCATCAAAACTGGCATTGGTTTTGATGGGACCAGGATTCGGCTGATGGTATTAGAAGATGTTCATGCAGATTGGGGAAGTATATATATCAGCCAAAGTTTCTTAGATTATAATTTCTACCTACTCCCAACTGGGCCCGCAGCCATTTTTTTCTACTACTCATTTAAAAATAGTTTCCATGTGTGCATTATTGTCATCCAAATGTCTTCTCCATTACTGTTATACCTGAGCACATAAATGTTTTTAAGAAGTTAATAACCCAGAAGTTATTGCTTTAGACATGTATTAAGGAGCTAGCTAGGTTGATGAATCTTTCCCAGAAGTTAATCAGACATCTCATGTATAATTTAGTCCCAAAGAGTCTGTAAATGCCAACCCTTTCCTTTCCTACGTTCCCAACATTTCTCATCAGTTACTCTGGTATCACTAATCTGGTATTGACAACAACAAAACAGGACATGATAAAAGCAAAGCCGATGGCATGCAATAGTATTAAAAGGGATGTGAATTACCTAAGAAAATGTGTTTTGGGCACCAGAATCAGCTGATTTTAATGAAATGACCATTTCATTGCACAGAGGTATCTCCATATTGTCAGAAAAGGTTTTTGTTGTTGCCAATAAAGTCAGGAATATTTGGTGCTAGTAGCCACTGTGCTTTTGGACCTCCCAAATTGGCAGAAATTAATTCTTGGGAGAGCTGAGTGAATACCGCCCAACATTCTCTAGCAATATTGGTCTGAACTTCTACACTACATTTGCTCTGGTCACGTTAGCATCCCCTTTCGGCCTTGTCTACAATAGGGAATTCCCTCCATTGCTAACCCTGGATCAGCTACTCCCAGGTTAGCAGCACCAGGAGACTTAGACCCTTATTCTGCAAAGATTTGCAGATGTACTTATCTTTTATGCCCTGTGGGTGGAATCCTGACCCCACTGAAGTCAATGGCAAAACTCACAATGGGACCAGGATTTCACCACGTGACTCCAATTCACAGGGCATCATGCTAAGTATCTGTGCAAGCCTTTAAGGTATAATGGCTTTAGTGTAGGTGGGTTGGGAACTGCCACTAGCATTTTAAGCACCAGGCCGTTTGGCCATACTCTGAGCAGGGTTAGGTGACACAGTGATGTCTAACAGCCAATTCGTATTTGTAGTCTCAACAGCCCAGACAAGGCCCAAGTGTTCATTTTCCCCAAATACTCATGTGATCAAGTTTTTCCGGCATGAATGCCCATGAAAAACAAATGCTTAGCCTGTGTGCACTTGAATACTCATTGAAACCAAAGCTTACGTACACTTTCCATGAGCCATTCGCTCCACAGCCAGGCTGGAGGAGTTCTGCTCCATCCTACTTGACCAATCGCTGCTAAGCACAGCTCAAATTCTGGACTTTAAATTTTGACTAGGAGGCCACTGAGGACACAAAACTACTGAGACGTTTAGCTGAAAATGTTGGAAGAATAAATAAACTGGAGGAAATGTTTCTCGATTTATGAAATGGCTGTAAACAGGAGAGACAGAACAGATCTACACGTGACAACTAGAGTTCATTGTCTCTTCACTGCCTTGAAGATTTAATCTAACACACTGTGTAGCACTTTGTGACTATCTGCCACTATCCCTGCAAAGCACAGCATTAGCCATAGAAGCCCTGGATGACAGAATTACTGAGGTACTGCAGAATATGATGGCCACATTTTGAACTAGCAAGTACTTACAGGTTCTCCAGGTAGACCTCTGGGTCCAACTTCTCCATCATCACCCTATTTGGCAGTGGAGGGGACAAAAGAGAGAGAGAAAATCAGCTACATTTCAGTCACATCGTAGGTGTCTCACCCTTGTTAAATAATAGAAAACCAACTTCCCTGGAGTAATAAAATGGTAGTCGTGCATAAGGAAGTCCTCATAAGCCTGGAGACTAATATCATGCGTGCAGAATTTACTGAAGATTAGAAATCCTATACGGCTGTTTCATAATTCATGTCTGTTTATAAAGATGGATTTTGTTAACAGATGAGATATTGACCCACACTTCAAGGCTTGTGGGTCAATAAGCAGCAGATTTAGTAACTAACTGAGCGGAGGAACCAATACAAAAAAGCCAACATGGCAATTAAAGTTACCCATATTAAACTGTTGGCTCCTTAGATTAGAGAAATTTAAAGATGGGGTGATTTTTACGTCATCTACTCCATCACCTACTAATGCACCATTGTTCCCTATAGAATATTCTTCATTGCTTTGTCCGGTTCATTTTTAAATTATTCAAACAATGGGGCTCCCTCCAGTTGACCTGGGAGACTATTTCACAATCTGATGGATATCACGCTTAGGAAATCAATATTGATATTCATCTTAAATCCTCTGTTAATAAAATACATCCCATTATTCCAAGTCAGACTCTATGTGTGTCATATTCCCTTCCCAAACAATTCCTCTTCCCTCTTGGGATTTAAGACTGATCACATACTCAGAGAGAGTTACTGTATCTCCTTACATATTGTTCAGCTGACGGACAATAATAATACTTAGGTCTTTTCAACTCCAAAGCACTTTATGCTTAACTAATTAATCCTCACAAGCTATCAATGAGCTAGGAAGGTGTCATGCCTGTTTTAGAGAGGAAACAAACAAGTGACTTGTCTAAGGCTAACATGAACCATTCCAGAGGTGGGATGAGAAACCATTTTAATGTTTAGTCCCCAGCAGAGTCTGGAACTCCTGTCCCTGAGACCTTGTTGCATTTTACTAGCGCTTATTGAAGAAGGGTGAGTAGGTAAGTGTATTTCACAAAGAAAAAAAATCATTCTTGGGGGGTTTTTTTGTGAAAAATTAAAAAAAAAAACTTCTCCATTTTTCTGACAAAAAAAATATTTTGGAAAACATTTTTCAGTTTTTATTTTTATCCCTTCTCTCTCCCTTCCTCCCCAATATTACATCCCTTTTTCTTTTCCTTCTTTTTATTTTACCACCGAAAAAGGGAGATAAAAGGAAAAATGCAAGCAAAAGGGGGGAAAAAAACTCAACATTGTTCAGTAAAATTACTAGTAAAAAGAAATGGGAAACACTGAAAAATCCAAACATTTTCCACAAAAATCTTCATTTGGGTGGGGAGGGGGGGAGGGAGAGACATCAACATGGGTTTCCATGAAAAATGTCAACCAGTTCTACATTTTCCCTTCACCGTGAACCCTGTTCAGTGCCATTGCTTAGTGCCACTTGGAATTAACCAGTTAAAACAAGTGCCAAACAGAAAGCATGATCAGAACTACTGCAATATAGGCTGCGTTGTGAGTATATGTATGAATGTTGCGTGGATGCAGAATTCCAGTCTACCCCAAGACCTACTTTTAAAGATGATCAGCATTTTGCATTAAATAACGTGCCAGCGCTGGCTTGCTCTTTGTTTTCATTACATGTCTGATCTCACGCCTGCTTCTTGTTTACAGGGCTCGGTTCTGAATTCAAAAGGAAGCTGCATTCAGGGATAAACTTACCCTCTCCCCGTCATCTCCGGGTGCTCCTGGTGGACCTGATGGGCCTGGATCACCCTAGGAATGTAAGATTAGAATCAGCCACTTCAGGAAATCCCCAGAGAAGCCAAGCCAATTCTCTTCTCCCTCATGATGTAAAGCAGGTGTGAGGGAGAGCAGCGTCAGGCCCCACCACTTTGCTCCCCAATCTTCGTGGGACCAGGTGCTTAGTTTTCCCCCCATCTCCTAGTACCCTCAAAAACCCACTAGAATTATGGCCACTACTCTGTAGCCATATAGGACACTATTTATCGTGTGCACACATGTGATCCATCAGGCAGAGAGGAGCATCCTCAATCAACATCCGTGGTTCCCTTTTGCCACGGAACAGTGAGAGATCGTGTCCCACACTTGTCTCTCCACTCCCACACTTCTTGCTGAGATAGTTGTGCTTCTTCTCAACCTCCTGTCTTCCCAGTCCAGGTAGGGGAGATCACAGGGCTTCAGGAATGGAGGAGCAGATTGTGTATGACAAGTATGTGGCGGGTGCGGGGAGGGAGAAACGTCACCATAGCCTATGGAGACCATCAGGAACTGGGTTGTATTACGGGTATGCAAAGGTGGGGGCCACTTGGTCATAGCCAGAAGAGCGCTGGATGGTGCCCTGCATGTGACACTTCACAAAACCTAGGGCCAGCCCTATCCTCCATGATCAGTTTCACTACTAATGACCATGCCTCCCGAGCTGCCCCTCCCTGATGTGAAACGGGCAAGAAGGAAACCATCCCTGTGCGAAGAACAGGTGCCTGTTCCCCCACCAAACAGGGAGATCGTGTTATCTGAACATCCCTGTAACTTGAATTAACTTGGGATTTATTGGGGGATACCAAGATCCTGTTGGGAAATGCCTTGTGGCTGACACGTTTTCTATCATCAAGGGCTAGAGCTTAATCTCAGGGTCCTTTCTACAGTATAACAGCAGCCTCAGAACTCACAGGGTCTGCTTCACTGGACTAGCACGATCCATCACAAGCCTTCCCCATGACGTCTCACAATGGGTACGAAAACCAACCAGTGTGTCTAAGGTACGCACAGCAGCTTCTTTGAGAACAGGGACCTTGGCTTTGCTGCATAGTTACCATTCCAACCCAAACACATTACAGCATTTTCTAGCTGGTTAAACATTGCCCTTATGTGCTACCTTTCCGCCCCAACATAGCATGTAATCGCCATGTAATCTCCTCCACCGCTAAAAACACTCCCCCCTTGCTTTATAAAGTAATAGTTACTTTCTTGGGGGGGGGGGGGGGGTTGCTTGCCAAAATAGTTGGCTTCTTGCTTAATTACAAAGCACACAGACGAATCCCTTTTTTTTGGCTGCGTTTCCATCAACGGCACCATAAAAGCAGGTTTCGTTTCTTGCTTCTTTTCTACTTTTCTGGGGTTTGTTACCTCCTCCAAAAAGTCTGCTGTTGTTTTTTCCCCTCCCATGTGTCTTCAGAAGCTTTCAATGGCTTCCTGCCATGTGGACACTGTGGTTGGATGTGTTTTTATGACATGTCCTGTGCACTCCTACAGAGATCTGTAATCCTCTTACAACGGCCAGCCCATGATGTCTCCCTCTCAGTTCTAACCACACTCCACGCAACTCCCAACAGCCTCAGAACACCGTATCACTCCCCCCCCACACACACACACACCGGTCCATTTGGGAGCTCAATAACCCTTTCTAATGTTCCATGGCCATTTTTTAAGATTGTCGCCAGGATGCTGTGGAAATGAGAACTTACCCTGTGCCCCTTCTCACCAGGCAAACCAGCCAACCCATCAAAACCTCGGTCACCCTACAAGAAAAGACAAGGTTAGTCCAGATTTCTGTTCACCGTTGTACCTCTTTCCACTTTGATCAGTCTCTGGGCCAAGGAGGGATCAGTTTTATCCACAGGCATTGGACAGTGTTTCAGCTTCTTATCACAGCCCCAAGGACGTCAGAATTAGAGATGAGAACATTCCATGATGTCATCTTACCCATCTCACCGATTACTGCCATTGTCCATGTCATGATTTTTCCAGCCTATCTTTGTTTCTCAAGCAATGTGGCTTCCACCAATTCCCCTGGGACAGTATTCTACTGCCGAACACATCCCCCTTTTGGAAAGTTTTTGAGATATTCAGTCTACATTTTCATGGTCTAAATTTCATGCCATTACTAATCAGAGCCCCCTGGTAGCAACCTAAATACCAACTTTCCCATGTCCATCAGCACCTCTTCAAATTCAATCTCTAAGCCCCCTCAGAAAGCATCCCACCTTTCTGGCCAAAGCTTTCCCTGTAATCCTGCTAGGGACTCAAGTGGAAAAAAGAAACGAAACAGGAAACGGCGTTAATAAAATTAGGATCAAAGACAAGACAGTTTATGGCCTAAGAAGGAAAATAGACAGATCTTAAATCTGATGTCTTCACTTTGGAGTTTAAGTGGATGTTCCTTTCAATAAAGTGACTGAGGTTTCTGGTCTTACTTGAGAACCAAGAGGAAAGAAAATGCACATCATAAAACTCCTGTCCATCTATTATTCAGCACCCTGGGCAGCCTCTGCCCTGCAGAGGTCCATCACATGAAGCTGGTGGGATTTATCCTGTGCAAACAGAGCCTGTTGGAGGATCTCTCACAGCAGCACTTATCCATTGATATTTTAATTCATAGGAAGAAGTCGTGTGTAGGACAAAAGTTGGGAATTGCACCTCTGAGCTAAAACAGAGACGTTCCCATGGATCAGTTCAGCAGAGACTTGGCTATGCTGGACCTAGCCCCTGGGGTCTGCAAAGCAGAGTGTATAAGTAACCAGTCACCTCACCAAGGAAAATCACTAGTGGGCATCACACTCTATGGCTTAGTCATCTGTAACCATAATGTACTCTATAGTGCACCATGCACTCAGCAGTTGACCCCTTGCAACCCACCTTCTTGCCCACAACCTGCTACATAAATAAAAGTGGGGAGGAAAGAGGGCCTTACGCTTAAAGAACAACAATAAACCACCTGGGCATCCTTGGGCAAATCACGCCAGGATCAGAATTTGAGAGGAAAACAAAAAGAGGGCACTGATTTTGGGTGCTTCCATCTACGATGCTGGACTTGGCACACCTCACCCATAAAATAGGTTTTGTTATCCCTGTGTAAGTGCTGAAGTTACTTGTCCCCGGCCTCATAGTAAACTAACAAAGTTGGGAATCCAGAAATCCTGTCTCCCTGCTCTGCCAGCCACTATACACACGCTCGTGCTAATTTAACTTATAATGGAATTATAGTTGCACACCTCTTCTCCTGTTCTCCATCCCGCTACTTTATAAGTAGGAATAGTCTGTAACGCCAGAGCAATTTAAAGGATAAATCCACCCGGCAAGCAATCGAACTTGCCTACACAAGATACATGAGCCGTAACAAGATGGCTATTTTTTTTTGTCAAGTTCTAGAGTGCCCCTTGAAGTCCGCCCACAATAGAATTAGTCACCATCTCGGTTACTATTCATTATTCTATTTTTCACATCTCCCTGGCATTCACTCCTCTGAGGGCAGTCAACACTCGTTAACTTTACTGGATAAATGGTTTGCAGACTCCTTTCTCTGTATCAAGAAACTCCCATCTATTCCAGTTTTAAGTATCTACATAATTAACTACTTAACACTTCTAATATACAATTCCTTGGGCAAACTTTCTCTGCATTCAATTTGGTGGAACAGCTCCTTTCTTGCTTGAAAATAGCACAAGATGACAGGGATGTAAGGGACTTCATCTCAAATATGACATTAAAATTCCACCACACACTTTGTAAGTTTCCTTACCCAGTTAATGGGTGTTTTTCTGTAGTTCGATTTCATGACGTTTTCAATGGCTCATTGTGTGTTTTTCATAATTGGGATTCCAAAGTCTTTGCTCTTCAACCACACACACAGAGGGAGCATATTTCTTACTCAAAGGAATTTTTTGGTTTAACAAACCTTGTACCAAAAATCTCTCATTATTTTTGTCTGACCCTGGTGACTCATTTCCACCTCTAATGTTTCGAGCCCATGATTATACAGACACTGCTGGACCTTTCCCTTCCTAGTGGACCGAATTCCTTCTGTCTAGGGTCCATTTGGTTTGTGTTTGCGAGAGCAGACGTGAATGCAAAGAGTATATAAATATGTAAAGCTACCTTTGGTCCCGTCTGCCCTGGCATTCCCCGGGCACCATCGCTGCCAGCACGTCCCTGAAAGAGAGGAAAGGCAAGTCAAGTACAAAAGCTGAGCAAGACCACAGGGACATCTGCTCTTTGGCTTGTGGCTAAATGAAGTTTTATTTAAGTCAGAACCCACTGGCAATGGGACTGTTTCCCTGGTGGAGAGAAAATGACCGTCTGTTTTTGTGGCGGCAGCAGCCCTATCTTTGCCTGGCTCTCTAACGAAGGGTACAATATAAAATGGTAGGGACCCTGGATGCCGGGACATGGCCATTGATTTAAAAGAGAAGACATGAATAAAATATCAATCAGCACATTGCAAGATATGTTAATTATGGTGTTCACAGATCGTAATGAGTTAAAAAACTTATTAGTAACCCAGGAGTGGGTCATGCAAAATAGTTTCTTAATTCTCCCGCCAGCAAGCAGAGCTGATGCTCTAGCAGGCAGAAGCAACATGTCGTTTAAGCTCAACCTCTTAACGTGCACCCATGGAGATGGGTGCACAGGGTAGGAGTACAACGTATGCTATCTCCTGTACGTATCCCGTGGGTCTGATCCTCCGCTCACACTAATGAGAATCCGGAGTAAGCCAGTGATTCCAATGGAGTTACAGAAAAAGCAGTGTGAGAGGATCAGGCCCAATGCACGCACGCAGGTATATTTTGGACGACTGAGGAGCAACCGTATCGGAGAAGATGGGAAGCGTGGAATAGAATGGGAAATGCACCTCACCCCATCATCCCTCTCTTTATGCCTTAGGACCATTAGGCCTCTCCATTATATGTATATAAATTTAGAGGTACTGGGAGGCCTCCCTGTTACAGATATCTGCCATGCACAGAAGCCCATGGGTGGGTCTGTGACATAGGGCAGCTGGTCACCCGCAATGTATCACCTTCTCAGGGACACTCTCATTGCCCCCTCTCCCTCAGCAGTTGCTTGGCAGCAGCAGGAAGCCGATTTCAAATACGTCAGAGAGTCTCTGAGTGCACCTACCCTGCGGCCTGGTTTTCCTGATGGGCCTGGGGGGCCTTGAGTGCCTCGTGGACCCTGCAATAGGTTGAAGAGAGTGGGGGAAAAAAACAAAGCAGATGATGATACACCGTATGCATGTTCTCCAGAGGACAAGACCAAGACACAGGCCCACTCTAGCCAGGCCCGTCCGGTGCAGCTAAAAGAACGGTTAAGTCCTATCTTGCCATATCTTTTCAACTGGGCAGATTTACAAAGATATTTAGGAGCCTAGAGATGCAGATAGGTACCCAGTGGGATTTTCAAAAATGCCAAAGTGAATTAGGTGCCTACCTCCCATTGAAAGTCCATTGAAGTTTGTCACCTTATCTACTTAAGTGGTGTATAAAGCCCTATCTGCACGCTTAGGTGCCTAAACCCCTTTGTAAACCTGGCCCAAAGTAAGCAAATGTATAAAGGCAGATCCATTCATTCCTGAGGTGGCTCAGTGGAGATAAAAGAACAAGGGTGGAAACCAGAGAAGGAGAGGAGTAATGTACCAGCTAAGACAATGCCACTAGCAAGGGTTACAGGGATCACAGAACATGTGACATTAACCTCACTGGACAGAGTCCTCCGTACATCAAATACAGGCGAGGTCCGTTGTGCAGGGGATGAGGACAAGAAACTCCCACTGTGTCATGAGGACTGATTGGTGTGTCCCCAAAGGGAAATCTGAATCATGTGAACCGTTTCACACTTGTTGCTGACGCCATGTTCTGGAGGCAAATCCTTCAGTCCTTCCTCGGGCTTTGCACTGTAGAGAATGGGAGTTTTGCCTGAGCAGGAGCTACGAACTAACTAGGGGCCTTCAGGATTTCTATACTGGAACTACTGCCTGCGTTATGAAGGTGGGACCTCCAAGAATCCTGTTGCATCTTGTATTCAGTGTTTGCCCAGGCTGTGTGGATAGACTGATTCCAGTGGAAGCACTGTTAGCGATGAAGATAAAATCACGAGGTTTAGGCTGATACAGGTTTAGAGGTGCTGGTAGGCAGAATAGACAAGAGCACTGTTTTCCTCCCTTCTTACCCGGGTGGAGCAGCATGGCATGCTGAGAGCATGATTCTCCATCCACACCACTGAACCTGGTCAGCCCATCCCGGAATCTTACAGGACTTAAACAGGGAGCAAAATACTCTATGTACTAAATGGTAGGTTTGCCTGGGAAAAGATTAAGAAGGAAGTAAGGGCTTTCAGGATTTGATTTCCTGGATCGTCAGTACTGGCATGCCCTTCAGAAGGCAGGCAATGTGGAATATTCCACTGTCTCAGGATCTCTGAGCTCTGTATTTGGATACTCAAATGCTCACTTAGGTGCAGAACGTATTTTCATATCTGTCCAATTTTATTCGCCCTTTAGAAAGCCTGAGTTCTTCCTCCACATGGGCCACTATAAAAGCCCTGGTTACACGCTTAGTAGCTTTAGACAAGATCTCACCACCACCCCCTTTTGAAAATTAAGTGATTTTCTCATACGCACCTGAGGCCCCAGGTCTCCTGGTTCACCTTTTAGTCCTCCGCTGCCTGGGGGTCCCTACGGATGCACAATACAGTTAGGTTAAGCTTTGCCATGGGCAAGACTTGAACGATGTCAAGAAGGACCCGTTAACCCCTGGGACCACGAGAGTTGACTGGGAACCCACGCATTAGAATAACAGCTGCTCCAGCAATTGGAGCCTGGGTGCTGAAACAAGCACTTTTCCAGGAGTGCGTGGCCATGTTTGGTGCACTGCCTCTCTTTGCCACAAGGTTTCATTCACAGAAGATGACAGGGATGTTGGCGGACGTGGGGGAGCCCAGGGAAGCTGTGACAAGATGGTTTGCCCCAAAGCAGTGTGCACATCCAAATCCCTACACAGGGGCATGGGTCAGTGAGCAGAGGCCAGAAAGCAGGTGCATAAATGTGTGTGTCAGCAAAATGAAGGCCCTCTGACAATCAGGGCACTAATAATATCAGAGATCCAATTCCAAGGCAGTGCCCTGGTGTCAGCTTTGCCTTCTTGTCCCCAGTGTTTGGCTACTTACTTACCAAGGGGCCTGGTCTTCCAGTAAGACCCATAGGGCCAGCAGGTCCTCTCAACGCCAACTGCAACAGAAAGGGAAAATCATCCAGTTTCCTCTACATCCTACTACCAGACACAACCAAAGCCAGCACGACCCACACCTTGTGCTGTCACCAGCAAAGGCGCTACACCACTGGGACCAGAAATCTTGCACAGTGGGCCAAAATCACTAGTGGCAGATGCTGGTGCAACATCATTAAAGCCAATGGGCTTTGGCCCAGTGTGCATAAAACAAACCATGTGTCCAATGCATGCAAAGAGGCCCAAATTCATCCCTGATACAACTTCCTTGACTTCAATGCAGTTAGACCAGGAATGAAGGTGCCCCAGACAGCCTAGTACAGATATGGAGTGTTAACTCTCCCTACATGCTCCTATTGAATAGAACGTACAAGGTTTCCAGCTTATGTGTACAGTATAACCATTTTTGGAGACAATGTATGTTTACTCTGCAGTACAGGGAGTGTACCTTCTGTAGGGAAGATTCTCTTGTGTAGAAACTATAACCTGTCTTGATAGATAAATGTGTACATACACACATGAACACTAAAGGCCTGTTCCTTAGCTGATGTTTGACCTCCGTGGAGCTATGTTGATTTACACCAGCTGAGGCTCTGGCTCTATAGGTCTGAGTCTCCCCTCACTTACACTGGTGTAGAACCAACAGAGAGATTAATAAGGCTCTCTCTACAAAGGTGCTGAAGACACACTGTAAATCTATATATGCCTAGACTACAGGAGTATTCTTCCCACACTTTTGTTATCCATATCATAGAATCATAGAACTGGAAGGGACCTCGAGAGGTCATCTAGTCCAGTCCCCTGCATTTGTGGCAGAACTAAGTATTATCTAGACCGTTCCTGACAGGTGTTTGTCTAACCTGCTCTTAAAAATTTCCAATGATGGAGATTCCACAACCTCCCTAGGCAATTTATTCCAGTGATTAACCACCCTGACAGTTAGGAAGTTTTTCCTAATGTTCAACCTAAACCGCCCTTGCTGCAATTTAAGCCCATTGCTTCTTGTCCTATCCTCAGAGGACAAGACAACCAATTCTTCTCCGTCCTCCTAGTAACAACCTTTTATGTACTTAAAAACTGTTATGTCCCCTCTCAGTCTTCTCTTCTGCAGACTAAACATACCCAATTTTTTCAATCTTCCCTCACAGGTCATGTTTTCTAGACCTTTTATCATTTTTGTTGCTCTTCTCTGGACTCTCTCCAATTTGTCCACATCCTCCCTGAAATGTGGTACCCAGAACTGGACACAATACTCCAGTTGAGGCCTAATCAGTGTGGAGTAGAGCGGAAGAATTATTTCTTATGTCTTGCTTACAACACTCCTGCTAATACATCCCAGAAGGAAGTTCATTTTTTTTGCAACAGCATTACACTGTTGACTCATATTTAGCTTGTGATCCACTGACCCCCAGATCCCTTTCCGCAGTACTCCTTCCTAGGCAGTCATTTCCCATTTTGTATGTGTGCAACTGATTGTTCCTTCCTAAATGGAGTACTTTGCATTTGTCCTTCTTAAATTTCATCCTATTTACTTCAGACCATTTCTCCAGTTTGTCCAGATCATTTTGAATTTTAATGCTATGCTCCAAAGCACTCGCAACCCCTCCCAGCTTGGTATCGTCCGCAAACTTCATAAGTGTACTCTGTATGCCATTATCTAAATCACTGATGAAGATATTGAATAAAACCAGAACCAGAACTGATCCCTGAGGGACCCCACTTGTTATGCCCTTCCAGCATGACTGTGAACCACTGATAACTACTCTCTGGGAACAGTTTTCCAACCAGTTTTGCACCCACCTTATAGTAGCTCCATCTAGGTTGCATTTCCCTAGTTTGTTTATGAGAAGGTCACGCGAGACAGTATCAAAAGCTTTGCTAAAAGTCAAGATATACCACGCCTACCACTTCCCCCCATCCACAAGGCTTGTTACCCTATCAAAGAAAGCTATCAGGTTGGTTTGACACGCTTTGTTTTTGACAAATCCATGCTGACTGTTACTTATCACCTTATTATTTTCTAGATGTTTGCATACTGATTGCTTAATTATTTGCTCCATTATCTTTCTGGGTACAGAAGTTAAGTTGACTGGTCTGTAATTCCCCAGGTTGTCCTTATTTCCCTTTTTATAGATTGGCACTATATTTGCCCTTTTCTAGTCCTCTGGAATCTCTCCCGTCTTCCATGACTTTTCAAAGATAATCACTAATGGCTCAGATATCTCCTCAGTCAGCTCCCTGAGTATTTTAGGGTGCATTTCATCAGGCCCTGGTGACTTGAAGACATCTAATTTGTCCAAGTAATGTTTAACTTGTTCTTTCCCTATTTTAGCCTCTTCTGATCCTACCTCATTTTCACTGGCATTCACTATGTTAGACGTCCAATCACCACCAACCTTCTTGGCGAAAACCGAAACAAAGAAGTCATTGAGCACCTCTGCCATTTCCACATTTTCTGATATTATTTTTACCCCTTCACTGAGTAACGGGCCTATCCTGACAGTTCAATTTACAGATTTTTTGCTATTTAATATTCCCATAAATAGAACCGCAATTCAACTTCAATTTTTTTTTTAACCCCAGTAATTAAAAAGCCATATAGCCAGCACCAAGTCAATAATTTTCATGGCAGGTAATGGGACTGTCCACACTTTATAACACCACTTGGACAATTTGTTCCATTGCAGTAATTCGATACTTTAAAAGACTGCTAATTATGTCTGTGCTCCAGTAATTAAAATCTACCCGTGCCTGCACTTGTAATGAAATAAATATTACACAAATGTTAGATTATTTATAACTTTTATATTTTTACCACTGCCCAATAAAAACGAGCTGCTCTGAAATACTGCCAGCTGGGACAACATTTGGCCTCTTTACCAAGAATCAAATTTCAGGGGAATATATCACTTTAATAATGTAATTAACCAAAAACAAGAGAAGAAAAAATCTACCCACCTCAGGATTCCCTTTCCTCTCTCAGCCTCCCCAAAACCCTTTCAGCCTTCACCACAGAAGACTTTGATCTCAATTTTCTTATTAATGATCCCAGTTCAAATGGCAAGGTCTGTACGCAGGGTACAGCTGGTTTCCCCCCCCCTTGTGGAAAATTTTAAACTTTTCACTGAAAAAACATAAACCCATAAACTGTGTGTGTGTCTCCCCCCCTCCCGTCCCCCACTCTCCTATTTTCACCAACTGATAACCGAAAAAGTTTGGCTAAAAACTGAATGAAAAAAAAATTGAAATATTCCCTGGGGAGAGGGGGGAAATGTCCTTTTTCAGTTTTTGTTTTTGTTTTGTCAAAAAGAAAAAAAAATCAAAAGTTTCACAGAAAAGCAGACGCTTTCCACAAAAAAATTAATGTAGTCAAAAAGCCCATTTCCCATCAAAACAAGTTTTTAAACGTTTTTAAACTAGCCCTAACACTGGCACTAAGTAGGCATTGGTTAGGAACATGATCCTCCAACGTGTCTCCGAAAGGAAATTGTAGGGACGGGGAAACAGGGCAGTTTGTAGTACTATGCCCTTCTCTGGAGTCATAGCCCCGTATTCTACCTGCATGCGAATAAAACTGGACTGATTGTAAATCTGAGACTGAATGGGAGCCCCAAACCCCCCACCTACACCAGTCTCTTCATTAGGAGTCCTAAAAGAAGAAAGGGAAATCTGCCACCCTGTTAGATGGACATTTTTATGGACCTGATTTCATTAACTCATGTAATATCTTTCTTTTGGGCCACTGCAGCAAGCATGCCCCACGCCTGTAGCTAAAGGGAGCGTTGACAGCTTAGCAGTAACACAAGGGCGGTACCTAATTTTCATGCACAGGGCTGGATTCTGATCTGGGTTCCATGCAGGCACAAGGGACCAAGAACCTCCTTTTTAATCCCGGGCCTAAACTACCTGGCTCTTGGGTCCAGCTGTGTGGAAACAAACAGAGCTGTGCACTCACTTAATCCCTGCCTAGAGCAGGGAGGAGTGAGAAACGAGTGAAAACCTGGGTTCCATACCCGGTGCTCAATGGCTGGAGCTGACCAGCCAGTGCAGGTGCTGATAATTTGCAGCCGGAACTAGGCCAGCACTAAGGCCGTGTCTACACTACGAGCTAGGAGCGTGAGTCATATACATACCCACGGTAGCTCAATGAGCGTGAGTATAAACAGAAGTGTGACTGCAAACGGGCAGCGGCAACGGAGGCACGGCTGAGATGTGCCAAGTATCTACCCACTGGTTTCAGGCTAAGTCATGCCTCCGTTGTGGCTCCCTGTGCTGCTGTGGCCACAATTGTATTTACACTCACGCTAGTTTGAGGAGGGCTAGCGCAGTAGGTGTACAAGAGCTGGGGAATCTCATCCCTATCTTGTAGCTAAATTACTACCTCCCACTGGCGTGGTAGATACACTGGAGGGTAGGGATCGGACACAGAGGGACCTAGACAAATTAGAGGATTGGGCCAAAAAAAACCTGATGAGGTTCAACAAAGACAAGTGCAGAGTCCTGCACTTAGGACGGAAGAATCCTATGCATTGCTACAGACTAGGGACCGAATGGCTAGGTAGCAGTTCTGCAGAAAAGGACCTAGGGGTCACAGTGGACGAGAAGCTGGATATGAGTCAACAGTGTGCTCTTGTTGCCAAGAAAGCTAACGGCATTTTGGGCTTTATAAGTAGGGGCATTGCCAGCAGATCGAGGAACGCGATCGTTCCCCTTTATTCGACATTGGTGAGGCCTCATCTGGAGTACTGTGCCCAGTTTTGGGCCCCACACTACAAGAAAGATGTGGGAAAATTGGGAAGAGTCCAGCGGAGGGCAACAAAAATGATTAGGGGTCTGGAGCACATGACTTATGAGGAGAGGCTGAGGGAACTGGGATTGTTTAGTCTCCAGAAGAGAAGAATGGGGGTGGGGGGGGATTTAATAGCTGCTTTCAACTACCTGAAGGGGGGTTCCAAAGAGGATGGAGCTCGGCTGTTCTCAGTGGTGGCAGATGACAGAAGGAGCAATGGTCTCAAGTTGCAGTGGGGGAGGTCTAGGTTGGATATTAGGAAACCCTATTTCACTAGGAGGCTGGTGAAGCACTGGAATGTGTTACCTAGGGGAGGTGGTGAAATCTCCTTCCTTGGAGGTTTTTAAGGCCCGGCTTGACAAAGCCCTGGCTGGGATGATTTAGTTGGGAATTGGTCCTGCTTTGAGCAGGGGGTTGAACTAGATGACCTCCTGAGGTCCTTTCCAACCCTGATATTCTATGATTCTATGATTCTCCCGGGAGGAGGAGGACGCAGGGAAGGGATTGTGCCTCAGAGGGGTGTCCCTGAGCACACTACCTCCTTGAAGTATTCCTGAGTGGGTGCAGTTTACACGCCAGCCTTTGTTCATGGCTGTGTCTAAAGTCACAATCTAGTCCCTATTTATGGAGAATCTCTCACATTCTTAAATGGATTTCCGTGTACCATAATGCATCTAGCGGGTTTTCACTTCACACAGGCAAATGACAGAGTTTTCTCTCACACAAACGCTCGTGGAAAGTGAATTTCAGCATTGTATTCACTGGAACCAAAGTTTTCATTTGAACATGTGAACATTTGGGCCTTAAGGGCCTGCATGTTCATCCAATCAGGGAGCGGACATAATATTGCGGGACACATGTGACCAATCAGAGGTAACCAACACAGCTCGAATAACAAACCCGGATAGGGAAGTTTTTACAGTCAATCCACAGGATTCAATATATGTAAAAAAATATTTGCAAGGATACTCATCACATACTTTCCAATGAATACATTAAAAGAAAGTGTGATCTGCAGGCTGACATTCATGGAGCTGAGAAACAACTTACCTCTGTGGCATTCATTTATTTATTGAGAGTGATATACTCAAAAAATAAAAACATACAAAACTTTTGCTGGAGGTTTTGAGCATAAAGAACCAAGTCTTGTAAACAGCAGAACTCCACTGAAGCCCACAGGTCTATGCCTATTTACATCAGCAGAGGATTTGGTCCAAAAGGCGTGGGGGCATTTTGAACCATAGTTTGGGGTTTGGCCCATTTCTAGCTGTTATTGATAGGCCAAAGTATGCTAAGATGGCTAACACACAGGGGTCACATTACCATGCCAGGTACAAAATCACAGCCAACGTTGAGACACATCACCTGGGTGCATTTCTTCCAACGGTACCAGAGAAAAGAGACAGCCCCACTTACCCTGGCCTGTTGCAGTATGGCTTGAGCTTGGGATTCCTGTGCTGAAACGAGAGGTCCTTTTGAGCCACCATCTCCTCCCCCAGTAAAGCGGAACTGTAAGGAGCAAGATGCAAGATCCATGTGACTGTGCTGCTGTCTATTCCCTCTCTCCCTCGCCTGACTTTCTATTCAGCCTCGCTGGATTGGCGAGCTCAGCTCAGTCACTGCCCTACTGGTCTCTGACGAACTTACTAACTGCCACACTTGTCTAGCACCTTCTCTCAGAGCCCTGTGACATTCGCTTCTGATGGGAAAACCAGACAGGTGATCCATCTTATTTATGGTACAAGCCACGTTCTTCCCAGTTAAGCACCTGCAAAGTAAATCATTGCAGCTCAAAACAATCCATGGATAAAAATGCATGAGATCATGATATATGCTTTAAAACCTTAAGGATTCATCATCAGCTCAAAACTTGAAAGCCAGAACATTCATAGGCCTGATGCTCTCCTCCCAGCTGCTCTTGGCCAGGAAAACCCTGCAGATGTGATTGCATGAGGGTGGGAATGAATCACTTGGCTTTAGTTTCCAGTTTACTAGAGGACATAGCCATCGTTTCTAGCACAAGGCCTATAGGTTTGTGCTTGTGTGTTTTAAAAGCTCCCCATGCCAGGACACCTGACATTTGCTTGGAAATAGGACACAGTCCAAACAGGTAAAAATTTGAGCTTGGATTAGTCCAATCTGCAGCAGCCTATGAGGCAATAACAACAACACTGGGGCAGCGGTATGCAGGCAGAAATGCCCATTCCTGGATGCATTCGCGGTGCTCTGCAGCTTTGCGTGGTGCTTTCCCTCTGAGGAATCTCAGAGCGCTTTCCAAACACGAATTAAAAACTTTGCTACAGTGAGGCGGCAGGATGCATGGTTTTTATATCTATTTTATGGCAGGGAGAAAGGCAGTGGCCCAGATTTTGTCCAGTGCTGAGGTATGCTTCAAGGAGTAGAATTCAGCCCATAGTTTATAAAGTGTTTTGGGATCCTTTGGCATGGAAAGCACTCGAAAATGTAAGCTGTTGATATTGGACATGCCTTCTGTTGGGCCATTATTTTCCTGAACTTCAGGAGGACTAAGGCTCTTCCCACTTCTGACATCTCCGAACCGACGTTCTTGTAGCAATACCCTGTTACTGGCTTAATTACCAATGTCTTTAGAGCATTCCAAGAGTGAAACTGCAGACTGTAGGTCCTAGTTGGTAATGCTGCTTCACCTGGGTTTCACCTCGGCCTGTTGCATAGCGAGAGGCAATGAAACCAAGTTCCAACATGAACTTGGCCAACTGAACCAAACCCCACAATTTACGGGCCCAGGGTTGGTTACTTTATGGGCCAGAAGAGGTATTGTAATGGCCAGCTAAGCATTGTAACAATGTTGTGCAGTTGGCCTTAGCAGCACTAGGCTCCCTGCCAGTAACCTACACATGCATTACCCTCCCATTTGGAACCTCTACAAGTGCACAGTGGTTTTTATTTAAGACTCTTCTCTTAGTACCAAACTGCTTATTTTCCAGCCGCTAGGCTCCTTTGGGTTCTGTCGCATCAAAGCAGAGACAAAATACACTCATCATCATTCCTTTGGTGTCCTGGGACCGAGAGGGCTGACTCAATGCTTGCTCGACTGGCATCTAGAAAGAATAGTGCCACGATCTTCAAAAGTGACTAGTTCATTTCGTCGCCTACAATGTTGGATGTCCAATTTGAGACCCCTTTAAATGGCCCTGAATTTCAGCACTGTCACAAATTTCAGACGGGTGTTCAGCACTTTCTGAAAATTGAGCCCACTTTAGGTGTCTCAAGTTGGGTCCAGCAAAATTGAAGCGCTTGAAATCATGGGTCAATTTAGAAATTTTTAGCCGACTTACCCCTTTCTTTTCCCATATGAAGAGCTCACAGCATTTTACAAAAGGTGGGTAATAATTTACTTAAGAGCGGCCATACTGAGTCAGACCAATGGTCCACCTAGCCCAGTATCCTGTCTTCCGACAGTGGCCAGAGTCTTCTAAGGAAATGAACAGAACAGGGCAGTTATCAAGTGATCCATCCCCTGTTGTCCAGACCCAGCATCTGGCAGTCAAAGGTTTAGGGACTCCCATAGCATGGAGTTGCATCCCTGACCATCTTGGCTAATAGTCATTGATGGACCTATCTTCCATGAACTTATCTGAATCTTTTTTGAACCCAGTTATAGTTTTGGCATTCAGAACGTGCCCTGGCAAGGAGTTCCACAGGTTGTGTGTTGGGTCTCTATTCCACAAAAGGGGAAAGAGAGTCACAATGAGGTGAAGTAACTCTCCCAAGGACAGATAGGATGTCAGTAGCAAAGTGCAGGACTCCTGATCTCCAATCTTCAATATTAACCATGCCCTTTTGTTACAATTGTACTTACAGGCAGCATGAGCATTGTCCCTGGTGGTCCTGGTAACCCATCTGCTCCTGGAAGACCTGGCCGGCCAGGAGGTCCCTACAAAGGGGAGAAATGAAGAGAAATCACTCGAGCATGTATGTATATATTATTTAATTCAATCTTCCCCATAGGTTGCTGTAGCTGGAAGGGCCTTTGCTTCTCATTAGCCTTGGCAAAGCCAAGTACACTCAGATATATACACATTTTGATGGTATCCAGATCGATGGTAAGGCTGTTACCTTAGAGATGTTTACAGTGGCCTGTAGTGTGTTGCTTAAACACATATGGTATTTCTTAGTAATTCCATCCCCCTGCTCCCTTCCCTCCATAGTTTCAAGTCGGCCATGAGCAATTTTCAGATGAACAATAAAAGCCTTTGCAATGTTCCAGATCAATGGTATCAATGTTTAGTTGAGTATATTAAGCCCTATTAAAACTGTATATAAAACCTGGTGTAAAATATAACTCAGAACAGTGAAGCAGAAATGCATCGAAATGTATTTATTCTTCCACATGTTTAATCGCCTGGTTCTTTCTTTTCATTGTTTTTTGGTGGGTTTTTTTTGTCCTACCAAAATATTTCCATCTGCCTTGGGCCAAACAATCAGCTGGTGTAAATCAGCAAAGCTCCACTGACTTACATGAGTCGAGTACCTTGATCTCACTCTATAGGAACAACCTACGCATTAAACATTCTACAGATGAAATTCTAAATAACAGCATAGATCCAACTTTCCTAAAACAGTCTCCAGATTATTTGCACTCACAATTCTGTGCCTGCAAAAAAGTCCAAATTTTCACAGACATCCAGCAATACAGCATGCAAATGAGGACGACAGCTAACTACTCAAGGTGCATGCATAATTCCAATTTTTCCATTAGCATGCAAAGCTGTGGGCGTTGTAGACTTGATCCCGTCCTATGAAGTCAATAGGAGTCTTGCCATTCATTTCAATGATGGCAGGAGTGGGCCCTATCTGAGGAACATTTCTAGTTTCAGGTGTAATCCACCATCTTCCTGCAGGTTTCAGAGTAGCAGCCGTGTTAGTCTGTATCCGCAAAAAGAACAGGAGTACTTGTGGCACCTTAGAGACTAACAAATTTATTAGAGCATAAGCTTTCGTGGGCTACAACCCACTTCTTCGGATGCATATTGAGTGAAACATATCGAGGAGATATATATACACACATACAGAGAGCATGAACAGGTGGGAGTTGTCTTACCAACTCTGAGAGGCCAATTAAGTAAGAGAAAAAAACTTTTGAAGTGATAATCAAGGTAGCCCAGTACAGACACTTTGATAAGAAGCAAGTGTGAGAATACTTACAAGGGGAGATAGATTCAATGTTTGTAATGGCTCAGCATCTTCCTGCAGTTACTTAATAAGGTCCCATATTAATTTTATTTTCCCCCTCTTCTTAAATGAAAGCTGCAGAAATCCCCCTTGGGAAGTTCTCTGGAGCAGGATAGGTGAGCTGCACCAGCCATTCTGAGCCCTTAAAAATACGGTCTCTCTGAGTATGTGCAGAGAGTTGCTTTTTTTTTTTTTTTTGCACCTGTCTGATTTTGCATGTCATGGATGATATTGTCTGTCTAGGCTCTTCCCCCCAGGAGGTGCTGAAGAATCTGAATTCTTGAATGGATATACAAGAAACCCAGACTGGAGTCTTGCTCATTCTAATTCTCAAATCAGTGATCTGCAAACACAGTCACCCTCACCCCAGGCAAACACCAAAACTGTGACACCAGCACCCTGGCACAAACGAGTCGCCTTTCTTGTGATTAATTGTACTGGAGTGCCTAGAGATCGGGTGCTGTGGATACACGTAATAAGAAACGGTCTCTGCTACAAAGAGTTTACTATGTAAACAGACAAGACAAAGGGAGGCCAGATTTTTAGAGGTATTTAGGCACCTCGCTCCCATTGACTTTCAATCAGACTTAGGCTCCTACCTGACCTAAGTCACTTTTGAAAACGAGACTTCGGGTATGTCTACACGACCATAAAAGACCCACGGCATGACCGTGGCAGGTCTACGTTAGCTGACTCGGGTTCGTGAGACGCAGGCTGCGGGGTGGTAAAACTTCAGTGTAGACATTCGAGGAACAAGAGTCTCAGAGCCCAGGCTCCAGCCCACACCCAAACGTCCACGTGGCTATTTTGTAGCCCCACCTCCTGAGCTCCAAGTGCCGGAGTCAGCTGACCCGAGCTCTCAGTCTCAGTGCCCTGGGTTTTGTTTAGCGCAGTGTAGACGTACCCTGAGGCTCCGAAGTCAGTTAGGTGCTTTGACAAATATATCCTAAGCGATTTGCCCAAGGTCACTCAGTGAGTCTGTGGCAGAACTGGGAACTGAACCCAGGTGTCCTGATCTTAGTTCTGTGCCTTAAGCACCAGGCTACCCTGCCTCCTTACATGGTCTATGTACTTTATCTATTTTTGTATTAGAATACACTTCTCCTCCCTCCCTCCCTTTTCACATTCTCTCTGCATTGTGTGGGGTTTTTTTTTAAACTCTGTTCCCTCTTGCTTCCTCGGATTTTTTCCCCTCTCTCTCCTGTGCTCTCTCTCCCTTTCTCAAAAGGGCACCCAATACCATGCCAGTCCAATCTTCAAGCCCATGATTAGTGAGTCCACAATTAGGGAAAACAACACTGCCCAACCCTCCCCTGGACTACACATACATCAGCTAGACTATTTAGATATGTGATGCCCCATAATTAGAGGCACTGGAGAACATTACAGATGAAGAATCCAGGGTTCGCGTCACCCTCCAACTGACCCAGAATAATAACACAGCTTGAAAACCTGCAGTAAACAGCCACTACAGCCAGTGATTTATCAGCAGAAAACACAAGCAGTCCCCTCAGCTGCTGGAGGCAGGCTGCATATCAAATCCACCTATCCATTTTTCAAGACTAGCTCGGGAAGTTACTTCCACTTTGTTGACTTAGCCACTTCGACACAGGAGTCCCTGACTCAGCTGATGAGGAGTTGATAGGTAAACAGTCCCATCTGTTGGATTAAAAGCACAATAAATAATGTAGGCCAAACTTGTCTTATATAATAAACTCTTTCTCCCCACCTCGCCCCCACGGTCCTGATGTATGATTGATCAGCTCTGGGTTTGTTTATCGCTCTTTGTGTATTCTGTCAAACGAGTGTGTTGATAAAATGTTTTTACACAAGCATGTTCGTTGGGGGAGTGGGTATTTTCAAAATACCTCAAATTTACATTCAATTCAGTTTTCCAAAGGCCTTTGAGTAACTTTAAAAGAAAACTGTTGCACGTCAGTGTAAATTGGGGTGGCTCCAATGAAGTCAATGCTGCTATATCGATTTACAACAGCTAAGATGTGCTGCAAAGCTTCACACTGCTTGCAAATGTTAATGCAATATGGACACTGGTCAGGATTTTAGCCCAATTTTTTCGGCCTCCAAATTTGGTCCAGAAATCTCAAAGGATTAGATTTCTGACACTTCCATTGCTGGCCCAAATGCCTGTGAGAAAAGCCTTTCAACTGGTATTTCAGCACTTCTAAACCAGGTGCCACCTGAAACCTAGAAGGAGAAGAGCACCCAAGACCTTCCGACAAACATTTCAGAACCATGACAAAGGTCTGGACCCAGATGCTGTGCCTGTGAAGCCAATGGAAGTTTTAGCATTGGCCTCAATGCTACCCTAAAAGAGGTGCATGGGTGTACAGTCTCAGGGCCAGATCCTCAGCTGATGTAAATCAGTGTAGCTCCATCTAGTTCAATGGAACTTGGGGACAGTACGATAGCTGTGGATCTGGCCTATTATTCTATTTCGTTCTCTATTGCATGGCACAGTGTGTAAAAGGGTAGAAGCATCCGGGGTGTTATCCAACTAATTAACATGTTCTCAAAAGGAGAAAGACAAAAGAAAACGGCTGTGCATTTGCCTCGCAAGGGGCAGAGCGATCTGGAGAAATCCATGGCGCTCTCCTGAGGCAGGGATCATGATACGTTTCTCTGCTGAACGGCGGGAAGGATGTTTTCCGGAGCTGGTGTTTGTATTCTCTTCGTGAATGCTTTGGAATTCAGTTCGGATGGCCTGTGACACTCAATAAATCACTGCCGTCCCCCCGCCGTTTGGCTACATTCATTCACTCGGCATGTCGTTCTTTAATTATCCACTTGTAAAGACACAATGACAGAAAGAAACTGTTCGCACCTTAGGGCTGAGCGCTCGGGAAACACACACAGTTCTGAGAAACAAAGGAATCTGCAGAGAGAGGCGTGATCAATGCCCGGCATAAAATCAGGGGAAGGACTGTCTATCAGCCTGAACAAAGCTTCTGAACACGTCTAACCTCGTGGGTGCCAAGAGACGGCTGTTCTTCCTTGTGCAGAGACCAAGGCAGACTGATGCAATGTCCTCGTGGTGGTAAGAACACCAGATCTTCCTGATGACAGGTTAATTTACACCTTGGATATGTGGAAGAGCCCTTCCTTGCTCCATTGGCTAAAGTCACATTGTCCAAAGGAGCTCCCTTTCTCCATCAGCTCATTCCAGTTCACAGTTTCTTGGGAACATGGGGATATACTTGGAGCCATCTCCCAAATGCCTCTTCTCCTTAAATCCTGCCTTAAGCCTTCTTAAGGTGATCTCCTCACTGGTTGTCCCACAGTTCCCTCCCACAGCTGGAGCTCCTCGTGGTTTGGGGCAGTGTGGCTGGCGGAGCTGCTCTGTAGTGCTTCCTTCAGAGCCATGTGTGGTACTGCAGCCATTTCACTCTCCCTCCCTCCACCCCGCTTAGTCTACAAGGTTTGGCCTCCAGCTTGGGGCAGGGCAGTCTGTGCTGTAAGTTTGGTGCCAGTCTCTGAACACTCAAGTAAGAAAACAGCAACTCTTAAAGAAAGAGGGAAAGAACCCTTCAAATACAAACCCTCTGTTGCGGCACTTAGGGTAAAGCCCTGACGAGGGCCCAAGTTCTGGGTGAGCCCTGAGGAACCATTCCCCTGTCCTGCTCTGAGTCTGAATAAAGGCAGGCAAGTCTTCTTAACTGGCCCGCTGGTTGTTGATTGGTCATT